CCACCTATCCTCTCCGAGCTGACAAACTGGGGGCCCCATTAGAAGAAGAGTGGAGCTATCCAGCTGCAGTTGGAATGCTTCTTTATATTGCGGCGAACACTCGCCCAGACATCAATTTTAGTGTGCACCAGGTGGTACGATTCAGTCACAATCCAGGCATTCCCATGCTCAAACAATCAAACGTATCATTCGGTATCTGATTGTCACAATTGACAAAGGCATTTGTTTAGCCCTAAACTTGATCAGGTACTTGACTGTTGGGTCGATGCTGACTTCGCCGGATTGTAAGGATATGAGGATGAACAGAATCCTGTGTCCGTCAAGTCTCGCATTGGATTTGTCCTGACTCTGTTTTGGTGCCCTATTATCTGGTCGAGCAAGCTACAGACTGATATACTTTGAGCTCCACTGGCTGCTTAGTATGGTTGCCTTCAGCATGTCACCCCTAATGATGGGAGCTGCTTCACTATTGCGAAAAGCAATTCCTGCTACAAACCAAGAAAATTGGTAGCAACTGAATATATCGCCCACGAAGTCACATCTACTCGAAGTCCACATTGTGCGCTCTAAGCAGTGTTCGAGAGGCTTTGCCATTGTTCTCTTGTGAATGTTCCCAAATTGTCTGCGCGCAACAAGTATTTGGCAATTGAAGTACCAACTTCTTTAGGTCCAATTATCGGGGAGTCGAAGGGCATGTGGCTAAGTATATTCCGACTCTGGAACAACGGGCCGACATTTTCACTAAGGGTCTTCCGGCTCCACAGTTTGCTGTCATTCGGAAGCTCCTCATGGGATGGTAATTTTCCTCAGCACTTTGCTGGGGACTCTCTCCTATCGTTTCTTGCTCCAGCTTCATTTCAGCTGTAAGGGAGTGCGACGGGATACAGCTTACAATTCAGCTTTACAGCTTTACAATTAGCAGGCTTATTCTAGGTGTTCACAACGTCCGTTTCGAAGTAAACTGGAAACACATCAAAGAACGTCGCCAACGACTCATCTAGAAAAACAATGATAAGGAAAACGCGACGCGTGTCCCTCATCAATACAATGTCAACGATACTGTGAGGTTTCAACAGTATCAGCACCGCAAGTACGGTCAGCCCAAGTACAAGGTCCTTACAATATAGACCGAGTCAATAACAATGGCACTGTACGGCTCCGACATGCTACCGCCAATGACGGCACAGTCTACCAGACTTGGAACATAAGGTATTTACACCCATACAAGGCCTGATCCCCTTGTAGGATTGCCATCGTGCGACGCACATGTCTACATCCAATCTCCGGAGAGTGCCCCGCACTTTAATTCGTATGTTCTCCTTGTCCGACTGATGTCGTGCCTTCTGTGACCCTTGTCAGGGGGCGAATGCAATACACGGCTTTTAGCCTTATTCGCGACTCGATCCTAGATAGGGTTTGAGTTCGACTCATGACGTAGTCCTTCGCGAATAGTCATTGAGACAGGGTTCTCATGACTGCTAGTCATACTAGGTTGTCGATGAAACATCGCTCTAGATATTTAGCCAGCATGGAAAGCTTCCACGCTACTAGACAGCTACTAGCTGAAGTTTCCACGTGTTCCGAAAATGGACCGTGGAGTACGTAGAGTTATTATCATAATCTACGATATCACACTTCGAGGCCTCCCGCGGGAGACCAACTTCAATGAGCTTCACAACGATCTCTCTCATGGATTAGTTTTCGTAGCTTTCTAATCTCTCTCATAACTTTCATTCTCTCAAACTCAAAACACTCGAAAGATCTTTACACTAGCTTTTAGCGTAGTGCACTAGATAGGGTTTGAGTTCGACTCATGACGTAGTCCTTCGCGAATAGTCATTGAGACAGGGTTCTCATGACTGCTAGTCATACTAGGTTGTCGATGAAACATCGCTCTAGATATTTAGCCGGTGTGGAAAGCTTCCACGCTACTAGACAGCTACTAGCTGAAGTTTCCACGTGTTCCGGAAATGGACCGTGGAGTACGTAGAGTTATTGCCATATCCTACGATATCACACTTCGAGGCCTCCCGCGGGAGACCAACTTCAATGAGCTTCACAACGATCTCTCTCATGGATTAGTTTTCGTAGCTTTCTAATCTCTCTCATAACTTTCATTCTCTCAAACTCAAAACACTCGAAAGATCTTTACACTAGCTTTTAGCGTAGTGCATTACTGGCTAAACTCCGTTACCAGTACCTTGCATTGGATCCTTATGATGAATACATGCACAACCGAACATTGTCAATCCAGCCATCATAGCTAGCTACCGTAGAGTTCATCGATCAGTGACAGTGGCAACAGTACCGAACACACTGCGCTCAGGTTCGGCTTTGCTCGTGCACTCGCTGCACTCGGTTACCTCGCATTGGATCGTTATGACGAATACATGCACAAAACCAAATATAGTTAATCCAGCCATTGTAGCCGGCTACCGTTACATCGGTGACAGTACCGAACACACTCAGGTTCCGCTTTGCTGGCTACACTCCGTTGCCGGTATCTTGCATTGGATCCTTATGACGAATACATACACAACCGAACATTATGAATCCAGCCATTGTAGCCTGCTGCGGTATAGCTATATCGACGACAGTGGCAAGAGTACCGAAACTTCGGCTTTGCTCGCCACGGTTACCGGTACCTCGCATTGGATCCTTATGACGAATACATGCACAACCGAACATTGTCAATCCAGCCATCGTAGCCAGCTATCGTAGAGTTCATCGATCGGAGACAGGGCAACAGTACCGAACACACTCAGGTTCCGCTTTGCTGGCTACACTCCGTTGCCGGTATCTTGCATTGGATCCTTATGACGAATACATGCACAAATTCCACAAAATTGACTGTCATGGGCCGAGAACTGACTGCCATCCCACCGACCATAGGATTCAATGAGGGATGGCTTTCCATTCTGCACCGGAGACTGACGGCTTGAGTGAGGCTTGATAATAGAGATAATAGAGGTGTGAACGATCGACTCGAATAAATAAAACAACTCACCTGTGACGGCCGAGATTTGACTGCCTTCCCGCGGTCCATAGAAATTCAATGAGGAATGGCTTTCGAATCTGCACCTTCAAAAACACTCTTGATTTGTACCGTACCAGTCGTTCGATCGATCCAACACCACTCTTGTCGGCTAGTTACATCTATCGTATGAAAGAGGGCAAGTCGGTCGCTCGCTCGAGGACTTGTGCATACAGGAAATTGGGTGCCGACACAGGAATTACCACCAAATCACTAGGAAACAACACTGGAGAGATGAATCCAGTAGTAGGATCCACTCTCTTGTGTGCATGCGAGTGTTGTCGTGTAGCCTCCTCCTCCGGTTGACTGTTGCCATTCAATGACTCGACGACGTTCAGTGTGGTGATAGGGCTTGAGTTAACAGTATTCTCCGTAGTGGTAGCCTCTCCTCTTGTATCCGTCGTAGCGATCGATCGTTCGAAAAGGGCTCTACAATGGGATTTCCTCGGCCGTCAGCAGTAAGAGAAGATAAAGTAAGAAATAGATATGGTTTTCTCTTCTATTCTGATACTGCAGACGACCGGAGACTTACCCTTGTTTTTCAAATTGCACCAACTTGGCCTTCATGGGCCGAGAACTGACTGCCATCCCATGGTCCATACAATTCAATGAGGGATGGCTTTCGAATCTACACCGGAGACAGCCGGCTTGAGTGAGGCTTGATAGAGGTGCGACCGATCGATTCGAATAATTTTTAAAAAAAGCAACTCACCTGTTGACGGCAGAGCTCGGATTTCTCTTCTGAATACCATAGAAATCCAATGAGGGAGAGAAGTCAGCGCTGTACCTTCAATTAACACTCTTGATAATAGAGCGATCAGTTTATCCTTAACCTCAGCAACATCAACGGTTCTTTTGTCCACGAATCGATCAGGTTTGGTACTTAGGCCGGTCTCTACCGGAGCGACTAAAGTAGGGACTAAAGGAATCCTTTAGGTGGTTGTTTAGTTCAAGATTTAGTCATTATCCTTTAGTAATGGTGGTGTCTACCAGCAGATGACTAAATCTCGGACTAAACAATTTAGTCGAGTTTTTAGTCAAAACGTGGTGTCTACCCTGGGACTAAACAAATTGACTAAACAATTAATAGGAATAGTAGTGGACTTAAAGGACTCAAAAAAGATTTAACAAAAGTGATCACTTGGTGGGCTACCAATATTCTATCAGCATGGTGGATTTAAAAGACTCAAACAAAGACTTAAAAGAAGTGATTACTTTTTTGAGATAACAAGACTCAAAACACACCATTGCAATGCACCTCTCCTCTGTCGTTTGCACCTCTACTATCATTGGATCGTTCGATCGTTTGCACCTCTACTATCATTGGATTGTTCCATCAACCGAAGACTGTTGGCTTGATAAAGTGCGATAGAGGTGCGGCTGATACTCCTCTTCGATCGTTCGATCGTTCGATCGCATCTCTACTATCGGCCGATACTCCTCTTCGATCGTTCGTTCGATCGGTTGCACCTCTACTATCGGCCGATACTCCTCTTGGATCGTTCGATCGGTTGCACCTCTACTATCGGCCGATACTCCTCTTGGATCGTTCGATCGGTTGCACCTCTACTCTATCAGCTCTGTCGCGATGCTCTGATAGTGAGGCTGTGCAATGAGAGGGTGCTGTTCTTTTTTTAAAGTGCTGTTCTTTTTAAAAAGTGCTGTTCTTCTTAAAGAGGCTTTAGTTGGTACGTTCACTCACCGACTAACCAGCCTCCCTTTAGTCGGTGAACCAACATTTTGACTAAAGGCTTTAGTCTGTATGACGTTTAGTCGCTTGGGTAGACACCACCCCAAGAGACTAAACTATGGACTAAACTACAAAATATGGCTTAGTCGCTACTTTAGTCGCTCCGGTAGAGACCGGCCTTAGGGATACACATGACCGTTGATTCTGCAACTGAAGTGCGGCTACTCTAATTTACACAGTAAACGCCGGCAAATCGATTTCAGCGTGCAATGAGGGGGTAACCAAAAGGAGCGTCGTCTCAAGGAGACGTAATTACAGCTCTGCAGGTTAAAGCTAACGGCTCTGAAGAAAGATAGGGGAGCATCGCGGGTGTCCGGTTGGCACAATCAGCGGTATCCCTTTTGCGGAGGCAAAGCTAGGAGAAGAAGAGCCCACAATAGTAGCTCGCTAGACCTTCTGAAGAAACAAAGACTACAAGTTTAGTTGGTAATGGTGGAAGCCAATGGTGGAGTAAGAATGTCCGAAACAGAAGAGGAAGCAACGCCGAAAGTTAACAACACCAAAGTCGTGGATGTTTCCAAGGCAGGACCGCCCTTGACGGCGGATACCACTACGGACGACGCGGTAGACCTGGTGGCCACTTCGGGAGGCGTCCCCAATGGAGAATCGTCCAATGGATCCAAAGAAAAAGGCAGCAACAAGAGCACCACTGCAAGCATCAGTACACCTGGTGGCACAGCTGCGCGAGGTGTTGGAATGCGGATTCATGTGGATACACCCATCCCCAATGCCGACCGATGTCTCCGGATTCTGCGCAAGTTCCTTCATAAGACTCGTCCCAAGATTGCCGCTGAGTATGGAGGAACTAAGAGTGCTGGTCTGATGCGATTTTTCCGAAGCAGCTCCGTGAAGGAAGATCCTACCTTTGTCCCTTATGGCAAGCTCGTGAAAGAGCTGCTAGAGGGCGAAGAAGACAATGACGAAGGTGACTTGACCGATACCGATGAAGACAATTCTGAACAAAATACCAATATCACGGATGAATCGGATTTTGTCGTGGATTCCATCTTGGGAGCCTCGGGAGATAGCATGGCCAAAGCCAGGGCTTCCGTGGCGGCTTTTTGCCATCTTTTGTCCGTTTGGAGCCATGCCAGTTCACGATTCTTCGAACAGCAAGATACAAAGAGCCAAGAAGCCTTTTCGGAGATTCTTTTCGCCGGAATTGATACAGCAACGGAATTGGTGTCTCATGGATGCCTAGATGGAGTGGAAATTTGCAATTTAGCCAGTGCCGACGATTATCACCCCTGCATAAATATCTTTGCCCAGTCGATTCTTGTGGCAGATGTAACATTGGAGAGAAGTGAACTCGCAGCAATGAAGTTTCTTCTATCGGCGGGTTGCCGCGTAAAACCTGGAGAAGACGCCCTTTTGCGTGGAACTCATCTCTTGCAAACCATTCGGATGCTGTATCACATTTACCTGACCACCGATTGCGAGGCCAATCGAACAACGGCCAGAGCTGCTTTGCAGCAATTGGTGACCAGCATATTTGCGAGACTGGTAAGGACCCAGGTGAACATGGACATGTCCACATCGGCACCCTCCACGCCAGCATCCATCAGAAGTGAACCGTCGACTCCAAATACACCAAACAACGGTTGCAACAGCAACATATTCCCGTCGGAAAATCATCGAGATGCATTTTTGGTCCTGCGTTCAATCTGCAAACTGAGCATGCGAAACATGCCAGACCCCAGCATGCACAGCCACATTGGGTTGCAGACAAGTGGAAGCAACGCTATGTGGGACGGTGACCAAGACGGAACGGAAAGCGATGGAGTTGCAGGTGTTGCCGAGACACCGAGACCAAAGGAACAACCTCATCTTGTTTTCACGGGAGCGATCCATCCAGCAATGGAATCAAAAGTCCTGGCGCTGGAATTGCTTCATTATGTGTTGGAAAATGTCAAATTCACTCGCGAATTTGTGCTGCGCAGTGGACCACAATTTCACAGCGCTATTCGTAATTACCTCTGTGTTTCCCTGCTGAAAAACTGTACTTCGGATAACTCCAGGGTGGTGCATTTGAGTCTCCGAATGTTTGCACTACTTGTGCGAAACTTTCGAGCCATTTTGAAGAACGAAGTAGAGGCCTTTGTCACCAATGTTTTCTTTGTCATTTTGGATTCCAAGAATTCACCAATTGAACATAAGAGTCTGGTGGTGACCTTGTTTGAAGAAATCTGTTCCGACCCCAACACGCTGGCAGAGATCTTTCTCAATTATGATTGTGACCTCAGCGCCGTCGATCTATTTCATCGCATTGTCAACACTCTTTCTCGCGTGGCACGATCGGATGCCGAAGAACCGAAGAGCGGGACAACGATTGGCTTGGTTGCTGGTGCAGGAGCTGCTCGAGCGGAAAAAATGAGAAATGAACACCGCGAGCTCCGTCTGGATGCAATGCGAGCGTTGCGTCAGGTCTTGGCTAGTTTGCATGCCTCGATTGTGGAGCCCATGGGCAACAGAAACAGTGCAAATCTAGAGGCGCTTAGCGACGCCGTTGATAACTTTCCACCGGAAGAAATCAGTTCTGTGGCGTCGGCGGACAACTCTGTTGGGAGTGCTCCTGGGACACCAACCCGTGCTTCCAAGAATGGAGAATCGGGAAAACAAAGTCTCGTCGAAATATACGATTCCAAGAAAAAGAGGCGACAAGAAGAATCCGAGGCGGTTCTGCGATTCAACCAGAAGCCTGCGGCGGGCATCAAGTATGCTGCAGAATGCGGGCATGTCGATGGTGATGAACCTTCAGATATCGCGCGGTATTTGCTAGTCAACAAAGACAAATTTGAAAAGACACAGATTGGAGAATATCTGGGACGGGAGGCAGAATACCAAGGTGGGATGGCCTTGAAGGTGCTCAACGAATACGTTAGATTGATGGATTTTGTCGGCTTGCAGTTTGACGATGCCATCCGTTATTACCTCAGTGGGTTCAGGCTACCAGGAGAGGCTCAAAAGGTGAGTGTACCCTGCCATATCTCGCAGTTGCTTGCTTTCGTTCCTTCGATTTCCTTACCATAGTTGATTCGATTCTAGATTGACCGTATCATGGAGAAATTTGCAGAACGCTACACGGATCAGAATCAAGATATCTTCCCGTCAGCTGATGTCGCCTTCATCCTTGCCTTTTCCATCATCATGCTCAACACTGACCTTCACAACCCAGCAATCAAGGAAGAACGTAGGATGACGAGGGATGGTTTTATTCGAAACAACCGTGGTATTTGTGACGGCCAAGATTTGCCTGACGAGTTTCTGTATGGCATCTTCGATCGCATTAAGGCCAACCCGATCAGTCTGAAGGAAGACGATGAAGCACGGGAAAAGGCCGGCGATGGAAAGAAAGCAGGCACGACTAATCTTCCTTCGGCTTTGAGCCCGGCAATTTTCTTCAGCAGTCATTACGACGACATGGATAGAACACGCGAAACAAACTTTCAGAAAGAACGAGATCACATTGTAAGGACCACCGAATCGCTGTTGAAGCGTCGGCGGCACAGCGCCCATCATCCCGCCGAGAAAAAGAGTGCCGCCTCGAGGTCTGGACACCACGGGAAACGGGCACACAGCAAATTCGTTCGAACCGAAGATAGCGGTCTTCGTGATGAGTATGTGTCTCCCATGTTTGAAGTTACCTGGGGCCCAGCACTGGCTGCCTTTTCCACTGCAATGGAATCCGCAAACGGCACTGTTGGAGCACTGGAAAATATCGCCACTGACGAAGAGCTGGAGCTTGCCGCCGAGAATGCGGCTGAAACAATTGAAGTCTGTTTGACAGGATTCAAACTTGCAATCTGCACGGCAGGGTTGTGCGGTAACGAAATCGCGCGAGACGCATATATGCTTGCCCTCAGTAGGTTCTCTCAATTGGGCACAGGTGTTCTATTAGAACCCAGGCATCTACGATGCATCCAAACAGTTCTCAGCTTGGGACGCGACGACGGGGAATTGCTTGGATCTACGTGGGAGCATGTTTTCAAGGCTCTTGCCGAAATCAACAGATTCCATCAACTCTTTCACTTGATGGCAAGAAATGACAGGGCGGCGGCTGCTGCAGCTGCACGTCGTCGCAAGCGGATGGAAGAAAGAGCTGAACGGCAGCGCGAAAGAGAAACACAATCTGTTGATTCCTTGGATGACATGGACTCGTCGACCCGCAGTGGGAGCCAGTGGAGCCAATCGGGGTCTTTGGCAGAAGAAGACCTCTTCTCTGATGACGAGGACCTGTTCTTCGATGATGAAATGGATGGAAAGGCAATCGACGAAGCAAATGCTCGGGTTGTGTATGAGGCTGTGTCGGAATCGATGATCCAAGCAATCTACGAACGGTCGTCTTCTTTAAGCACCAAAGGGGCTAAAGAGTTCATCTTTGAGCTTTGCCGAGTCTCTCGAATGGAGATCTCCGTGAGTGGCTACGGCGGACATGTAGGCAGCGACGCCAACACTGTGGATTTGACAAAAGTACAATATCGACAACACCACTCGCTTCTGAGCAACAACACCAATGGCGACCAGCAGTTTCATCACAGCCAGCCCAACATTTACAGCCTCCAGAAGCTAGTGGAAGCGACGCACTACAACATGGATTCAAGACCACGGCTCTTCTTCTCTGAGATTTGGACAACTGTATCAGGACACCTCACAAGCACTGCTTTGCATTCAAACCCTGCTGTTGCCATGTACGCTGTAGATTCTTTCCGTCAGCTGAGCATTCAATTTCTTCAGCGCGGTGAAACCGAAGGATTCGAAAACCAAAAACGATTCCTCAAGCCGCTCGAGACTGTCATGTCTCGAAGCGAGCATGTTAGCACAAAGGAACTGTTGCTGAAGTGCGTGGAAAGAATCGTCTTCATGTTTGGATGCGATGACGTCGAAAGCGAAGTTGGCGGCCATCGGAAAGGGAGTCTGAAAAGTGGATGGGTGGCAATATTGAGAATCATTGGCATTGCTGGCAGAGACGAGGACGAGAGTGTCGCAAAGATGGGATACGACATGCTGAAAGAACAGCTAAGGAAGAGTGTAGAGATTGAGCAGCGCGGAGAGCGAGCTGCCAACCCGCAATCGTCTTCTATTCTTGCCGAGCATTTTGTGGATGCAATCGATGCGTTGTTTGCGTACGTTGGAGGAGTCCACGAAGAACTGAGTGCTGCGGCCATCGACGAGTTACTCTCTCTTTGCAAGTACCTCGGAGACGAAGGGATGCCTCTGCCTCCTCTTAGACGAAAGACTTCTCATCTTTCTGTGAACGGCGATGGAGAACCAAACGGTGGCAAGGGCGGAGCCAAAGACTTCGAGCACTGGTGGCCGATCTTGCTTGGTTTGTCGAGATCAGTGGATCACCCCAATGTTGCAGTAAGGTCCAAAGCTCTCTCGGGCCTCTTGAAAATCACGGAGCAATACTTCTTGGCCAGAGGTGGCAAGGGCCCAGCAGCAGAAGATCGAGTGCAGACACTGCGTTTGATATTCAGAGGGATCTTGACACCGGTGTTGGAATTCGCCGAGACCTCTTCAAATACCAAGCCACCTCCACTGCCAGATGACTTCGTCCGGCACCTCACAGGGGACAAGGCCGGCGAACCTGAACAAAGCAGTGGAGGGGACGTCGGCGAAGGGGGCTGGTTGGAAACTACCTTTGACGAGTTCATGGATGGTTGCGTCTCAATCTGCTTGAAGTCAATTTCAGTGTTCGAAGATGATTTACTGGCGGAAGAGATCTTCGCCATCTTGAACACATGTTTGCTCTCGGATTCGGGAGAGTTGGCTGTGCGAGGCCTGAAAAGGCTTGAAAAGTTTGTCGCGGAAGAGCTTGATTCCAAGTACGTTACCGACAACACGTGGGCCACCGTCAGTCACATGTTGCGACGGTGTTTGAACCTGAGAGGTCTACCAAAACTGAAGGACTCAACTTCGCGCGCAGGGAACGGAGAGGAAAGAAGCGAGCTCAATGCTGAAAGCGAGCATACCGAAGACGAAGATGATATTCGAGAGTTTGTGATGGAAGACAGCCTCCTTCCGGGGCGACGATACGTTGGAAGCAACGTTGTCATGGTGATTGGGTCGTTTCTAATGAATGAACGTTTCGTCGGAGAAATATCCATGAACTGGCGTTTGTTCCTTGTCACCGGCCTTGGTCGAGGTATTCGAGACTGGGAACAAGCAGCCACCGTGATCAGCCGTTTTGGTTCAAAAGCCTCAGAGACACGACCTGTACCGTAAGTATTCGAGACTGATTTTTTCTTGTGGCTGACGCGTCGAGTCTAATATTCAGCTTTTTGTTTACCCAGGCCTGACTACCGTGAAACTGCAGTGTACGGACGAAAATGGATGTCTTCCATCATACTATCGCTCGCACCCACGCAGAGTGTAGCATACACTCCAGCACCGTCCGACCCCACAGCCAGTATTGTTGCTGAAGCTCAAAAGGTTGTAAAAGAGCAGACCCAGAAACTTTTGTCTGCTTTCATAGCCAAAGAGAACACAGCCTCCCAGAAAGGCGCCAGCCCCGATGATACTGTGCTGTATGAAGTCAGCAGAGATTTGGTGCTCGAGTTTTTGTCGGGATTTGGAAAGATGGATTCTGCCATTCTTCATCACCTTGACTGGCTCAATCCGGTGCTTCTGTCCTGGTGTACACGCTCGAAGCACAAACCTATACAGCAAGCAGTGCACGACCTGCTTGAAAACACATCGCCCGCGTCACCTCCAAAGAAGTAATGCATCGAAATCACCGAATGTTTGAAGAGGAAGCGTAAAGGCAGATGCACACTAACAACTCCACAGCAGACAGGCCGCTCCTAGTTCGTAGCTAAAAGGTGGCTTTAGAATAAGGCTACAGCAAGTGTAGCCTCGATTTGTGACCAGTAGAATCTGAACATAGCAATTGACAGTGTAGCTAATTTACAGTTGACATCGTTAGGGGTCGTCGACCTGCCCAATCATGAGTCGAGTCTCATTCGATGCATTCACGATATGCATTTTCGTTCACAGAGTATCGGGAGCTAGATCGTTTGATGACGATTTCTTGTTTCGACTATTTCGGGCTGCTCCCGCAGCATGAAGTACAGTCCATCAGTGGCGTAGGCATTGGTAGCGCGAGCTAGGACATGTGGCCACAGGCCCTTGAATGGGAGCTTCTTTTCTTCGTGGAGGACCCGGCGACCGGCCCTGGGAGAGGAGCTACACGTGAGTGGCATACTGCCATCATGGTGGACATGACACCCACTTTTCTTCACTTACCTGTTCAAGCGGGTCCAGTGTTGCATATCTTGAAACAGTTTGTCAACGGTTCGATTACTTGGACCAGCATTGAGTAGGTACAAAGATTTGAGGTATAGATTCTGTGAGAGACCGGAAACAATCGCATCAAAGCCACTTTCACCAAAGAGATTGAACTGAATTTGCAATGACATCAGGCCCTTCCATTTCGGCAAACTTTGCCCAATGGCCACCGCTCCCTCGTCTCCAAATCGATTAAATGGCAGAATGATTTCCTCCAACCGTGAGTTTGATTCCAGGGCTCGTGCTAGAGCTGCGACACCAACATCACCCAAATGACAGCTTGCCAATCGCAGCGAAGTCAGTGGGCAAGGCTTGCCATTTTTTCCACGCATTGTCAGCAAAGCACACAAGGCATTTGTGCCCGTCGTGCCAAAGGGATTTCCACTAAGGTTGAGTTTCCGTAGAGCACTTCCACTTGACGATTCCAGCAAGCCTTTGCACAACCCTTTCACACCCTCACCTGCAATCACTGCATTCTCCAATACGAGATCGGTGAGGGTCTTGTTCAGACACAACATGGCACCTAAAGCTACAGCGCCATCATTTCCCAGAAAATTGTAGGATAAATCCACTCGTTGCATGGACTCATTGGTCTTGAGAACACTGGCCAATTCGTGAACACCTCTTGGCCCAAAGCTGTTATCTTTCAAGCATAGTTCCTGGAGTGTCGAGTTTCCCTCTAACCCCTTGCGAGCGAGCAAAGTGAGGCCATCGTCTCCAATGTTGTTATCTTCAAGGATCACCTTTCTCAAAGAGCAAGCAGAATGGAGGATCTCAGCCAACGCACTGCAGCTGTCATCTTCCAACGAATTGCTGCGAACATCGAGTACGTGCAAAAAAGGACAGGCGTGTCGGCATCCTTGTTGTAGATTTAGAATACTCAGACCGGTGAGTTCACATTCCACCAATCGGAGTTCTTCCAAATGAGGGTGCTGCTGCTGTTCTTGGTCGCCGCCAGGGCTTTGCGCGAGAAGCCAATCAATCGCATGCGACGTACTCTCCACCACAGATGGAGGAGCAGCAGTGATATCAACATCGAGTCCGATGGCGCTGCTGTCAAATGCAACATCCGCTATTTCGCAGGCAATGATGCATAGCTTCTTCAAGTTGACCATTGACCCAATGGCTAGAATCAGATTGCAAGCTGCAGAAGCTCGTGCCTTAGCCACAGCCTTGGCTTCGGCCTCTTCTTGCATTTGCTTTGAAGTGTACCCCCTCTCCTCATCAAAAGGTATTGCCAAGTCAGTTTTTGGTATATTATTGTCTTCGGTTGGGGGCGCTTCCTCTTCTGTCTCTGTATCAGATCCGTGGGAAGGTGCAGCGACAAGAATCTGCAGCAACTCCAAAACTTGCAATGCGTGGTTGGCTCTCAATCCGGAACAGACGCATTGCAAGGCACCAGTATCCTCCCATCGAAATCCCTGCAAGGCAAAACGATGCATGGTATTGTTGCGTTCCAGCATGGATTGTAGTTCTTTAGCACAATGGAATGGCATGATACTGGTCGTCTCGGCAGATGCCGACATTTCCCCCACCTGTAGAGTTTGCACGGATCTGTTTGCAGCCAGTCCTCGAAAGACAGAGGCCAAAATGAAAGAGCAGGAAGCAGAAATACGAACATCGACCAGGCTAGAATTGTGGGCCAAAATCGTCTCGAAAGGCGGTGGAATCCAATTCGTTCTGGTGACGTTTCTTCCCGGAAGCCCCATATGTTCATTCTCGGCAAATTCTTGATCTTGCCGATCGTCACCTTGATGGAGACTCATGTCAAAGGTACTCACATGTGTGTTGAATTGTAAAGATTCAACCACGGCAAAAATCTCCTCGTTGGTCACTTCCATGAGAGGCAGCGACCGCAATGATAGATGACGAAGCCGAGGGTCATTATTCTGGGCCTGTTTTACGATTTGAGTAATGAGGGGATCCATGGAATCAGTGATGGCATTGATGACCAACACAAATCAAACGCCTTCTTGTGAGCTTGAAACAATTGGGATGGTGCTTCCTCATTCGCAGCGACGTCTTTGTCTTGGTCGAAAATGGTTGTTGTTTTCTTTTTTGAAGAGGAAGCCCCAAGAGCCAAAATCATCTCTGAGAAGTCGAATGAGTCGATGACGAGAGGGAAATCTGTCACTTAGGGACTGCCTACTTATGAGTCACACGAATCGGATTCTAAGTCTTTTGGTTTCCCCCTGAATCTGGAGGTGCACCCGCGCGTGGGAATTCTCGCTCCACAATTCTCTCGGAGGGTTTTGCTGTCGGACCACGGCGGTCCGTACCAGGTACCAGGTACCTGGTACAGTACGAGATTAAATAGAGTTTCGAGCGGGCAGTAGGGCATGGACAGGATTCTACGGGAAAAAAAAAATTTTCGCTTGAAGTAAATGACTGACCCAAATGACCTCTCTTGTTATGTGATTTGACCGTTTTATTAGCATAAATTCACCTTATAATTACTACGTTATGTCCTGTTGACAATGTTGACTTATGCGCTTGAGTCCTGTGTGAAAGTTTTTTTATTATCCTTTAATGCTTTCTAAACTCAGGCATTAATACGAGCGAATGAATGTTCTGTCATTATCGCTGAAAATGACTGGGTCAGGGCCTATAGTAAATCGGCCTGACCCAAATTGCTCCCTCATAACCCAATTTAATCCTGTAGAGTGATCTGGGCTTTACGACCGACTGTTTCCCGGAGTATTCTCTTCAGGGCTGTATATCGAATATAGTACATGTAAAGAGGGGAATCGATAGAACACATGTAGTTGAGTATGCCATAAAATTCGCAACCTCATAGTGTACTTATTGGTGGAGTTATGGACGGTTGAAGATATGCAGTCAACGGTCATCGAATTCTTTTGGCTGCAGATTAAGACCGAATGACGTCAGTCGTGCCTCTAGTACTGAATCTACGTAGGATCATACGTACGCACCTCTATCGAGTGAAACACCAGGACGCACCTCTATCGAGTGAAACTCCGCGGTACGTATCTTTCGCACCTCTATCGTTGCTTCGCTCCCGTAGAGGTGCTTCGCACCTCTACCGTCTATCGTCTCTTCCCACATGCATAAAGCACCTCTATCGACACTTCTTCTTTTATCGTTCGTCTACCGACACTCGAAGCACCTCTATCGACACTCCTTCTTTTATCGTTCGTCTACCGACACTCGTTCCTCTCAAGATGGCCGTTTCCGACAGCAGTGACGATGGCATTGACGAAGGCATTGACGAAGAAGACGATGGCATTGAGGACGAGGATGGATGCATTGACGAAGAGGATTACGAAGAGGATTACGACCATGATAGGGACTTCCAGATCAAGCACGTTGATCATTACAAGCAGGTTGCCGTAACGGACTTCTTCAAAAAGAAAAGGAGCCGTGGTCGTCCCAAGAAAAGGCCGACAGTTGCAGGCGAGAAAGTGTTTGTGACGAAGAAGAGAGGCCCTGGTCGGCAAAGGGATCCACCAAATTCAAAACCGCTACGGAGAAGAGAAAGCACAGGAAGAAGAAGATACGTAGCAAGAAGGCTCCTCCTCCGCAAGGTCGCTGGGCCAAAGAGGAACGCATGAATTGGTCTGCGCTCGAGAACAAGCCGAATTTGATTTGGCAAGACGGAGTGGTTCAACAAGAGCGGAAGAGCTCTTGACTCCAATGGAGAGTCAACCCTCTCTATGGCTCGATTCGCCAAGCTAGTTGGTATTCCCTATAATACTTTCAAAGCTCATGTCTGTAAAGACGAATCCAAAAGGCGCACAATAACGAACGGCCAAGGACAACGTCCTTTGGTTGCCAAACGGATCAAATCTTCATTGCGACAGTTGCTGCCAGGTTGGATAGAGGCAAGACGGGGCCTCTGCCTCGAATGTATTGATATGGTACAAGAAATTGAACAGAGCTCACTCGCAAGCAAGCCTCAGAGCACTTCCACCGTATATTTTGAAGTCGTACCCAACAATCATCAAGCCTCGGACTGTTGCCGCCCAAGCCTCCACTACAAAAAGAACCACATCAATGTGGGCAACAGTACCGTTGGACAAGACCGTTGACTTTGCCTTCGAACAGCTACGACAGAGGAACCAAGGCGCTGCAACCATACGGAAAATCCTTTGGAGAAGTATTGACATTTATTACGGGAGGAGACGAAACCTGCTTCATGGCTTGTCCCGATGGTTCCACCAAGGTGGTCGGTTCGGCCGGCAGAACCAAGCATGAGAAGCGCACCAGTGATAGTCGAGACTCAATTACGATGTACCGCACTGGAAGCGCTGCGGAGAGACTGGGCCCACAATGTTCTTCTCAAGGAAAGAAAAAGCAAGAGTTACACTGATAAGTTTTTGCTAGACCATGGAGCAAAGTTGGGATCGACCATTATCATGACGCCAAATGCTTTCATGACAACGGAAGCCTGGGAAGAACTCACGGTTCCTCTGTGCAAAGGGCTCCGGAATATTGATCCCATTGTGGCTTCCAACCCACATTGGTGGATGCTGGAAATCTGGGACGGCTTTGATGCTCACATGGCCTCTTTTCCTGCTTTACAGAACAGGTACGATTACAAGATACTGTCACTAAGGAGGAGGGAGATTCCTCTCCTGTGAACCAAGCCTATGACAGACTTGTTGCAAGGCGGACAAGGCGGCAAAGAACGATTGTTGTCTTATTTGAGACGAACGGTATTTGAAAATCGTGGAGTCGTCGACCAGTGGTGTCTGATTAGTGTTGGTTTGTTCGCCATTCGTGCCACAACCTCTACGGCATGGGAACGTTCATTCACGGCCGTCAATTTGAACCCACACACCAGACTCCCTTTTTCCGAGTGGTGTGTCAAAATAGCGGACTTCATGCAAGGCGTGATTCATTCAAGAAAGAAGGAGTAACAGATCTGTACGCACTCTTGCTGTCATTCTGGCACGGCATGACTCCTGAAGAGAAGAAAGCATCCTTGGCTACTTACAAGAAACACGATGGTTGTCCGTCCCATGCATCAAAGCCATGATGGAGCAAGCCTTCGTGCCACCCGCTCAAATGCAAAACGCCCGTTTGTGTATTGAGTTGGCAATTGAAGATCCTTCACATCTAGAGAGAATGCTTCCTGCGAAAGATGTTCTGTCGTTGGCTGCTTTAGATCCGGAGGTGAAACAGCCGAGGCCAAACGGAAGAAGGCCGACGAGGGCCTTGATATGTTAATACTTAAGCCACCTTCAAAACAGGGACTCGAACTGTTGAGCATATGTGTGACAAGCGGTCACTGTTTAGTGCGAAGATGTCACCGTCAAAGCATCTCGACGTAACCATGTCTTCACAAATCGGTCGAAGCTAATCCAAGCTACCGAAGCAGTGACCGTCAAAAGGAAGATCATTGGAAACAAACTAGTGGCAGTCAACAAGATGAAGGCTGCTCAGAAGGCTGGATGCTACTGGCAACATTAAGAACCATGCCGCCTGGTCAACGATGAGAGGGTTGCTCAAGCTCAAGAACAGGCAACGACTTAGGATGGCATGGCCAAAATCGACGAGTTTAAAAAGAAACTGGCACTAGAAAAGAAGCGCAAAGCCAAGAAAGCCTCAACAGTCTGGCCCCAAATGCAAAGGAGAAGCTCAAGCGAAAGCAGGTGTTGCTTCCTGACCAAACGAGATCGTTCCCTGTTGACAATCTACTTCAGGTCCAAGTCAGACTGCAAATTGGCCAAGGGAACCTTGGTAATTGAATTGGAGAACATGATTGATGCCAAGCCTGATGTGCTACAGGTACAGTTGAAGCCTAAAGCAGCTCCAGTAGCTGCTTTGGCTGCTGGGATGCCCTAGATCCAGCCAGGTCTTAAGCTATATAGCCATAATAATATTATAGTCTTAAGGTATCAGCCCAGAATATTACAATAGTCTTAATGCACTGCAGGTCTTAATACCCAGATCACTCTACTGTAATTCCTAGAGACTGTAGCTGGAAGTCCCCCGATTGGCGATCGTGGAAAGTCGCGAAAGTCGTTAAAGTCGCGAAAGTCGTTAAAGTTGCGTCCAAAGTCGCGTTAAGTCGCGCGACTTTGCGAAAGTCACTAAAGTCGCGGTACAAGTCGTTGAAAGTCGCGATTAATCACTAGTAAAGTGCTAGCGAAGTCGCGAAAAGTCGCGAAAGTCGCGGTGAAAGTCGTTCCAAAGTCGCGCGCGATTTTCCAAAGTCGCGAAAGTCGCGAAAGTCGCGCGACTTTCGCGACTTTCACAGGAAAGTCGTTATCTCTTTAATCGGGGGACTTCCTGGTTGCCGCTGGAGCTATCGTACCGTACAGTACTGTAGATTACTTAGTTCTCTTTCTTTTTCCTTGTAGGGGCAGTGTTTGTAATGAGCCCCATTGCCGGCCTTGTTGGTCCCTTGGTGGAGGCGTCAGCTTTGCCTCTTCTGATAATCGTTGTACTGCCAGAAGTACTAGTGATGGCAGGAGCACCACTGGCTCTCCCCTGCTGTTCGGTTGTACTAGTAGATGCCTTGAGATTCTCGCTTTTAACTTTGGTTTCCATGTCGCCGTCAAATGGCAGACCCGTTAGTTCCTCGCTCACTTTCCAAAGGGCTTCTCCTGCAGCATCGCTCCCAGCTTGTGAAGACGGCAACCGTGGTTGTATGAATCGGTACCCTATAAATGGTCCCAGCATTTCCAGTACGGGAAAGGGGGCCTTGCGACGTGCGCTCTCTGGCATCCAATAAGGTTGCAAATAGAAATCATTGTTATTGTCAAAATCTCCCACGGCTGCCGCCACGCTTGTGGCGGCCCCTTGCTCGGTTGTCAAGAAAATAAGCCGAAACAAAGGAATTACCAACCATTGCAGGTTTGCACTTCTCCAGATGCTAGAATTCACAGCCCCTGGGTTGGCTGCAAAGGCACGGACTCGTCCAGAGTACCGCCGATTTAGTTCCAAAGTAAAGAAGATTGCTGCCTGTTTGGCATTGGGGTAACTCTCGTTCCGCCTATATGCCAAGAGAGCACTGCTCCTCCAATAGCTCTCATCAAATGATACAAATCCCGTGTAGTTGCTTGGGAAGTGATGCTTGATGGATGATAGATTGACGATTCGGCCGCTTCCATCCAACGGGAACAAATCGAACATAAGGTTCGTCAACAGAAAATGACCCAAAAAGCAGGCTTGAAAGAGCAAATCGTAACCATCCTCAGTTCTACCAGTTGTATTTAAACCAGCGTTGTTCACCAGAACATCAATCTTGTCGTATCTCGAATGAACCGTCTCTGCAAAGGCTTTCACTGAAGCAAAGCTGCTCAAATCGCACTCTTGCAAGAAAACGGCACGACCTTGTTTGCTGGCGTCCGCTTGACTGTTGATGGCTTCGGCAGCTGCTCTTGCTTTCGCTCCGCTTCGACATGCCAGTATGACGCAAAAGTCATGATCCAATACTAACTGTTTGGCTGTTTCAAGACCGACACCAGTGTTTGACCCCGTGACGATGGCAACTCGTTGGCTTTGAGGTATACTCTGACTGATCCTATTGGTTTTTGAGGATGCACACTGTATCTTGGGCTTGGTGACCACACCGCATTGGAACAGGGCGTGGACCGAAATCGTGTAGACAAAGGAAAGAACCGCAAAAGCACTGTAGCAGGTGTACTTGGGATAAAACCATGTAGAACACAAGCTCTGTAAGTCTGTTCGAGAAGATGATGAGAGTGCCATGATCTTTATGGATCTGCAATGCTACATGTATGAAGAAGGCATTTGGCGGGTTGTTTTGGTTACCTCACCTGGAACTTGACGGTGTGAGGTCCTTACCCGAGACGAAAAATTGATGCTCAACGACTAATCACGTGGCACCATGGAGTAATCCTCCTTGACTGAAACATCGAAAGGGGGATGAGCAAACTTGCACATAGCACTACATTGCATTGGTCTGTGGTACTTTACCCGTCATAATTACCGGTACATTGATATAGAAAAGCAACTGACTTACAGCAGTGCCTAACTAACATCAGTTGAAAATTAAAAAATTCGCGTTTTGGCTGGAAAATGAGTTCAATTGAATTGGATTGGTTTGAATTGGATTGGATTGAATTGGATTGGATTGGATTGGATCCATGAAAGTACTGATATTTGTATAGTAAATGCAAATTCAATGCAATCCAATCCAATTCAATGCAATGCAATGCAATCCAATCCACAATATCCATCCAAAGCAAAAAAATGGATCCTTTTCGTACCTGCAGCGAACCGTTAAGGCTAGTAGTAGCTATTAGGTACTGAGTTTGTGGAATTCCAAACTATCGATGTAACGGTACCCAATAGAGTACACTACAGCGCTATAGCAACATTTGCTCATCCCCAAGCAAGAATAAAATGAAATCAGAGGGGTACCGGTACCAGTACAGCTGTACCGTTGAAAGACGCGCTTATTTTAACATTAGAACATCGCTTTTAGGTCGCGCCCAAATCTAAGTCGCGCAACTTTTACGACTTTCACGAATGCGAGACTTTATGACATCACTTGGCGCCTTCCAGGAGCTTTTCCAGGTTCCATGCACCCCGCAGTCAACATCTATCACATGTATTGACACTGCTGGTTCAGTGTTACGGTAAGGGATTGGTACTTGTGGATGCCAGGACCTACCCATTAGCCACCCCTGCAGTGCCAAGGTGATCGCTAAGATCAACCATCCTTGGATCAAGCCAGGGAACAAGTATGCGTACTTGAAGGCAGACCAAGTCGATGCCCTCGGCTGCGGCACCGGTACCTGTGGTTCGACTGTACTGTTTGTACCGTCAGGTTGACTCGACTCTGCGCTGGTTGGATCCCCTAATTCAGTACCAGTACGAGCTAGCAGAGTTGGGATGCAGCAAGCGCTACCGGTACCGCCGCCAGCAGTTGTGGGCATTGGAGAGACTTCCAAAATGAGATATGCGTTCAGATTGGCAACAGTGTGATATCGAGCTTCGGACAACAGCTCCTTTTTGAATACACCGTACTTCGAATACAAGCATGAAAAGCAAAGTTACATGGCAATCCGGACAACTATCCTCCCTTCTCGGCGTTGAAAAGCTGCCTTAACCCAGATCCTGAGAATGCTTCCAATTCAATACCGTCTGTCAAACATAGCGTTGGATTATTATTCTTCCACCAGCTTTGTTCATAACATGCATTGGGACCCTTGGGATGATCACACTTCCTGACTTGTCGAACATTTTCAACTTGCTCCAGTTGGACGACAAACTGCTTGAATCGTTCCATGAACTTCTTTTCTTCAATAGCCGTGTTTTGACCAGTGAACGTTGGTACGTAAATGGCATTACCATAGTTGCAAATGCACTGTCTTGGAGTGTTTTCAACGAGTACCGTAGAGTCCGTTCCCTGGTGAAGGCAGGTAGCACCTGCTACCAAACCACGTTCAAGTCTTTGGTGTAACGGCATGGGCACTCCTTCAAATCCTGCAATAAACAACAACGCGTGCAAGCTTGTTGATAGGGAAAACACCATCGACAGTCGTCATCCTGAGCACGTCGTGGTTTTCGCTGTTTGGCCAATGTCCCAGACAAAATCGAATGTGTGACAGCAAGCTGTACCCTTGCAGGTGTGGTTGTCATTCTTTGCCTGACTACAAAGCTTCGTCACAACACTCTCTACTCTTCAACCATGCCAAGCAGCGGTCCACAATGCAACACGGTGTCCTCGTTCTTGACACCACCGAATCGACTCGACTGCGCCAGGGCGAATGTGGATGCCAACGAGTTGTTTGCCCTCGGAAATCAAAGTGCCATCAATGTCGAAAACAAGACCCAAATGCTGTCGTTTGTTGGGTGTCGGATCAGGCATTACATGAGCTGGTTCCATGCTTCTTTGCTTCCTATTATCTTCTTGGTAACCGGACGCGGGACGCATGCACGTCTCAATCATCACATGTGGGGATCGTTGTGGTGCGTGGTGGGGATCTTTGTTTGGTCTCCCAGACTACGCTCCTTTTGGTTTCCCCCTCAGTTGCACTCTGAAATCGATTGGCTCGCGTTTACTGTGTAAATTAGTGTACCCGCACTTCAGTTGCAGAATCAACGGTCATGTGTATCGTTAAGTAACAAGTTCCTTTCGAAAGATTTAGATTGATTCGTGGAAATAAAAGTGTGTTATTATTGAAGGCGAGAACTGACTTCTCTCCCTCATTGTATCCTATGGTAAACAGAGAGAAATACCAGCTTGGCCAACAAGAGTACTCCTCGTGTTGAATCGATCGACGATCGAATCGATGCAATGAGGTAAGCCTATTATCAAAGAGTGTTAATTGAAGGTCAGCGCTGACTTCTCTCCCTCATGAATTCTATGGTAAACAGAGAGAAATCCAAGCTCGGCCGTCAACAGGTGAGTTGTTTTATATCGAATCGATCGATCACATCTCTTTATCTCTGTTACAAGCCTCACTCAAGCCGGTTGACTCTGTACAGAAGCGAAAGCCATCCTCATTGAATCCTATGACCTGGGATGGCATCATTTCTGGCCATGAGGCAAGTTGAAAAACAAGGGTAAGTCTCCGTCCAGTATCAGAATAGAAGAAAAACCATATCTTATATCTTACTTTCTGTTCTCTACTGCTGACGGCCGAGGAAATCCCATTGTTGAGTCTTTCGAACGATCAAGCAAGAGGGAGGCTACCGCTACGGAGAGTCTGTTAACTCAAGCCCTACCAACAGCCTGAACGGAGGAGATGGTCCTCGAGTCATTGAAAAGGCAACAAGAGGAGGAGGCGACAACGACAACTCGAAACGCACAGAGGAGAGTGGATCCTACTACTGGATTCATCCCTCCAGTGTTATTTCCTAGTGATTTGGTGGTGATTCCTCTGTCGGCACCCATTTTCCTGTATGTACAAGTCGGTTGTCGAGGATTTGGCTAAGTCGATGACTACCACTACGGAGGAGACTGTTAACTCCAGCCCTACCGACAGTCTGAACGTATCGTCGCCGAGTCATTGAAAGGGAACAGGAGCAAGGCTAGCTACTCGACAACACATAAGAGAGTGCATCCTCCTACCGGGTTCATCCCTTCTTGTTATTTCCTACTGTTTTGGTGGTGATTCCTGTGTCGGTACCCATTTTCCTGTATGCGCAAGTCAAGTACTGTTGCCACTAGCTATACGGCAGCTGGCTACAATGGCTGGATTGACAATATTCGGTTGTGCATGTATTCATCATAAAGATCCAATGCAAGGTACCGGTAACGGAGTGTAGCCAGTAAAGCGGAACCTGAGTGTTTTCGGTACTGTTGCCACTGTCACCGATTGATGTAACTCTACGGCAACTGGCTACAATGGCTGGATTGACAATATTCGGTTGTGCATGTATTCGTCATAGGGATCCAATGCGAGGTAACCGAGTGCGGCGACCTGAGTGTGAGTGTCTTCGGTACTGATCGATGAACTCTACTGTAACTGGCTACGATGGCTGGATTGACAATGTTCGGTTGTGCATGTATTCGTCACATGGATCCAATGCAAGGTACCGGTAACGGAGTGAAGCCAGTAAGCGGAACCTGAGTGTGTTCGGTACTGTTGCCACTGTCACGGATCGATGTAACTCTCTGCCTACGGTACCGTAGCTGGCTATACAATGGCTGGATTGCATCTATTCGTCATCCAAGTAGCGAGCAAACTGAGGAAACAGGAGACCAACGCTGAAAAAAACCGAATCCTGTGAATGTTCCTCCTCCAGTTTCCTTCCTTGGTTCTAGTTAGAGCTAGAGCTAACAGGCAAACAATAGCTGCCAAGGGTAAACCTATCTTTCTTTACAATACTGGTACATCTACCGGTACCAGTAAGCATGGTGTTGGCTATTGCTGTTGTGTTGCTTCCATGGCTGGTACCAGTAGGTACTGTACGGTGTACCGGCGCAGGTTGACGACGGTATGGTACTCATATTGTTTGTGCCCGTCGAGATGGCATTTTTTTAAATTTGGATCGCAACGTGATGTATACAGTCCCCCGGGACAAACCTATTATTCTCTAAATAGAACTTACAGCCCTGAATACTGGGGTATCTTCATCGGTAGCCGAGCTTTCAACCGATGCATGCTCACAATTTGGCTGAACTTCGCAATCGCCAAAGCTATCACGGCACAGCCTCAACAGACCTCGAGGGCAGACAGAAGAGTCCGTTGAAAGCCAACTGCCAGAGCGGCGCCTTTCGTCTTGGAAGCAGCAATGTTCACAGCTACCGCCAACAAAAGGAGCTGAATTCAAAATCGTAGATTACATGCGGAAGTTGCGACTACAGCAACTACAACAACAGCGGCACCATGGGTAACACACTCGTAGGAGGTAACGATGATCCTGTCACGACCAAGATCACAGAACGAGGAAAGTCTTACCAGCAACAAGTTGTTTTCGCGGCGTCTGGTATGAAAGGACTTCGGGCGACCATGGAAGATAAGCATCTCTATGCCAACGAACTTCGCGTCCAGGGCGCAAATGAACCATTATCAGACCATTCGCTCTTTGCGGTGTTTGATGGACATGGTGGTGACTTTACGTCAGGTTACGCCGCTGAAAACTTTTTGAATGTTTTGGCAAAACAACCTGCCATGAAGCAGTACGCACTACTACCCAAAACCGGAGCCGACAGTCGCAGCGACGTGGCGGGAGTGCAACTGATTCGACAGGCACTAGATGGTGTCTTTGCACAGCTAGATATCCTCTTGAGGGAGGAGCAACAACAAAAGAATGATGCAATCGACAACAGACCTCACACGCAGGATCCCAATGACGAGTCCATGTTTAACGGCAACAATGCTCAGACGTATGAACACTCGGGTTCTACCTGCGTCTTGGTGCTCTTAACGCCTTCCCATATGATTGGTTGCAATGCTGGAGACTCCAGAGCTGTATTGCGTCGGGCAGGACATACACTCCCACTCAGCTTTGATCATAAGCCATCCGAAGTATCTGAGAAGGATAGAATCACTGAAGCTGGAGGCTATGTCAAGGCTCGTCGAGTCGACGGAGATCTTGCTGTTAGCCGAGCCCTGGGTGACTTTGTGTACAAGGCCAATGAAGGTTTACCCGCCAACAAGCAAAAAGTTGTCCCTAATCCAGATTTCGTCATTTACCCAAGAATGCTTGAAGAGGACGAGTTTATGATTCTCGCTTGTGACGGTATCTGGGATGTTGCTAGCAGCAAACAGTGTTCCGATTTTGTGCAACAGCTGCTGGTCGAGGGAGAGTCCGATCTGGGTGTGATCTGTGAGGAAGCGTTGGACACTTGCCTGGAACGCAATAGCAAGGACAACATGACCATTCTCATTGTTGGGTTGCCTGGAATGAAGACAGCCAATAGCGCTGTCCAGTTCCAAAATGCACTGGTAGGAAGACGGGCCCACCGCATGAGACAACAGTTTGCCCAACACTTGGGGATCGTTTCCCCCTTGCCAGAACTCAAGGGAGATCCAGTTTCAGCCCCAATGGCAGCGCCACATCCTGGAACCAATGCGAGTCCACAAGGCGACGACGGATTTTCCTCACATATGCAAAACACGATCGCACCACAGATGGTAACGGCTTAGGTAGGTTTTCTTGGAATCGGAAGTGATCGACATGAACGAGTTCATTAGAAGACGTCTTGTTCTATACTCAGTAACTAATAATTTATTTAATAGTATTATGTATATTCAGTGTTGGCTTGTCAATCGAAGCGTAGGTAAGTTGCGCCCAGAACATGTAGTCACCGTCGGTCTGGTCTGCAAATCCCTGGAATTGAAGACTCAGCTTTGCCGACATCTCATGCAAACCGATCCCATGGCAACAAAGTACAAGGAAAGCGTCTGGGCTTGCTTTGACTTGAGGAAACCACACTATGCGTCACTGGAATATTACGGTACCGATAGTGGCGGTGCCTACTGGATCGAGCGAATGTCAAGCCCTCATCACTTCCGAACTTGCCAAACGAATCGAATCCAATATTGTCAAGTCTCTTCATACAATCTTCATTCAACTTTCCCCTCTTCTTCATATGTCGTTGCCATTTCACAAAAAGCACCAACTTTTCCCACGATGTCACTCTTGAATGAGCTGATCACCCCAGAGTTGGTCTGTAGCAAGTGCACAGGATCCACAGGTGTGCCCCAGAAAGGAGTCGACAACCACAGCAGCCACAATCAATAATTGCAGCAATGTTCAACGAAACTGGAGAGGAATTGCAGCAATGTTCAACGAAACTGGAGAGGTAAAAGATGACAGAATGCTCAGAAGGTACGAAGTCGACCGTCTTGTCAAAGGTGGCATTTCCAAGGACCTTACTGACCACGTTGGCCATGTGCAGAGTGACCAAGTGTGCCAAGATCCCCACTCCGATCAAACAAAGCGTTGCGGGGATAAGGCCGCTCTGTTGGTACTAAAAAGGAAATTGAAGCGGAGCAGGATCGTGCAGACTGTTGACTGCAATGGAAAGCGCCCCCAGATAGCCAATCGATTTGCCTGAATAGTGAATGGAAAGTGCAGCAAGTCGTAAGATGAAGCAAACACAAAGGGCGTTCGAAGGACTCATGGCTGACAAACCAAGATTTGCAGGTTTCTCTTTTCTTCCCCAGACTAGCTAGCAGACTGAACGCCTTTCGTAGCTGTAGATCCATACTCTTGAAACGAAGGATGCGAGCTCTGTTGGCTCTCTTGGCATCATGTATGTTGGTTGGGCGATATTACTTTAGCAGGTCTTCGATGCCCAGCGAGTGACATGACGACTGAGACTGACTCGACTGAGCGCACCCGACTCGACTCGACCCGACTCACTCACCTTTCCACTCACCTGGAGGGGCTCCGGTGACGTCAGGTTTGGCGAGTATGCCTGGAATAATGAGTCCCGTAAACGGCTAGGCCATCGTTTACTCGCGTTAACCCGCGCACTAACCCTAAAAAACCCGTGCTAATGTACGTCTAACCCGCGATAACCCGCACCCTCTCGCATTGACCCGCGATACCCGCATACACCCACAGCCAAATTTTTACTACTATGAGTTGAAGATGGGATTTCAGCCGCCCGCAACCTATTGCTACTATGCTATTAACGCTATTAACTATGGCATATCGTTGTTGTAGGGTCCAATGATGCCCTTGCGACTGATCTCAGGGCGGTTTTTGACCTGGGTCTGATCCTTTTTGGCTGCCTTCGATGCAGCTTGCATTGGGTTCACACCGTACGGTTTGGTTGCTTCCCTCTTTTGATCGATGCGCTTGGTAAACCTTCGAAGTGTGAACCCCGAATCTTTGTAGATGTCCCTCAATTCGAAGAGTTCCTTGGGTCTCATTTCGTCATGAAGACCATCAACCATATCTTTGTCGAGTTGTTTGTCGGCTTGACTGTCACGCCACAAGGGCTTTTCCGTCGGACCGTGGGTTTGCTGAGGGAATTTCTGCCGGAACTCCAACAAGCACTCTCTATCCTTCTTGGCTGCCCAATGCAACCTCTTTACAGCACGCTGAAGCCGTTCAATGCGTGTTCGGTAGCGCTCTTCATTGAATGGAAAATCTTTGAATTCATCGCGACCCTCATACAATTCTTGATAGAGCTTTGGGATGTCTTTGATTTTCTGATCACATGGTACAATTCCGTCCATGAGATCCTGTACAATGAGGCGCTTAGCAGCGCTGTTGATCCATGTTGCATCATTGAGAGTGGCAGGTGGTCTCGGTTTACTCGCCATGGTGAGGACGCACCTACTGTATGACTCTTCAAGACGACAATCAACCTCCACAACAACAATTGATTCAAGAGTGCTCAAGAAGGCAGCCAGACTTTGGCGGTTGAAGCCTTTGTCTAGATCTTTTGCACTCGTTGATGAACGCTTTGATCACACTTAGCAAGGTGGATTGGCTGACTCAAGCTTTTGTGTGAAGACAACTGAATTTCGGAATTGATTTGAATCCATGAAAATATGCACAAAGATCCACTCTCTCACAATCTTGCCACAATAATGGATCGAGAGCTTCGAGACGAAGATTACCAACTCGATCTTGACGACGAAGAGTTTGGAGACGCAATCAATCCATTTTCAAGCAAAAAGCGACCGGTAAGTTGAGATCGAGTTGGTATTCTAACATGGCTCGACGCAAGTTCAAAGGTTGTCACTGTGTCCGAGCATGTGATTCAAACCTTCCAAGGCAATCGGTGGATCTTCAAACAAAACTATTCCTCATGGGTCACGTCTTCAATGCTGGAGGGCCCCAAGTGTCAAGTCGAGAATCCCGCTGGTTGCTCAACCTTTGTGACGCCTATTCTGATCAACTTGGATGTGATGAATCATTCAAGCGAGAGCGGGTTACGAACTTGATGGATCGATGGAAACGTAGCAAGGACTCCTTCTTAGAGACTCGACAAAACCTGCTTATCAATGCCGACAAGTGCAACACCGAAATGCCAGCTCTAACACCCGCTCAATTCTCTCCTACTTCTTCTTCTTCTCCAACAACAACAACACTTTCTTCCTTGGGAAGCACAGTCTTGTGACACTGCCGACTGCTCCACTGCTACTTGTCCACCAGCAGACAAAAAGAAGAAGGTTAGCAAAGGACCACCACAGCCAGCCAAGAAGAAGTCAGCAGCCAGCAAGAAAGCATCGGCACCAGCAATCAAATCCCCGCCCACAATTAAGAGACAACAACAACAAGCAAGATGGCAGCCAATATCGGAAGTCCTCTACGTTTGACGAACCGTGGTGGTGATAGGCGTGATCATGTGGAGAAATACGCCGCTGATTTCGACAATGAGGATCAGCACGGAGAGTATCTTGTCAGCATGGTGGCCGATGAGAAGATAGGCAAGAAACAAGCCCATTGTATCATGATTGCTCGACCCAACACGAAACTTCCGAGCTGAAGCTGCTTAAAGCAAAGATTGAAGGCAAGGAAATCCACTTGACAGGGCCGCCCAAGAGCAAGAGCTACCTTGAAAAGTCTTCCGACTGGTTGGATATCCTCAAAAAGAACAAGGCGGCATTCAAAGGAGAAAGGCTGCATGCTAGCCTTACCAAGCTTGTCACTAAGCAGAAACGTTCGGTCCGCCCCAAGAAGACTATTATCGATCTCTCCTCTCAAGACTTTGAAGTTTCCAATGAATACTTCTCCCCAGGCTGTGAGGATGGAGCCCTCAAAATGATTCCACTGCCTTACTCAAATGAGACTGTCATTGATGCAAGAACAACAAGAAGAGCACTGTCACGGAGCTCTTTGTCATTTGGCGCGCCTATATAGTCGATTCTTTGGAAGACGCGGAAGAGGATGCTCCCGAGGAAGACGCCTATGAGGTCATGTTGAAATTGATGAACGGTGCGACCATCACTGCTTAGAAGAATGTGCATCATCTTGGTTGACCCAGTAATGTACTAAGCTGTTTGTTTAATGTATTTGTTCTTCTTAGATACAACTGTCGTTCCAGCTCCTAGCGCTGATGGCGACAAAATGGAAGTAGAAATAGAAGGTGCCGGGGGAACTGCAGCGGACATTGAAGCGCAACTCTTGCAACAAATGATTGCGAGTGGCAATGGAGAGAACGATCCAGAGGATGAGGAAGACAAAGAAGAAGAAGATCTTGTTGATCCTTTGTATTACGAAAGCGAAGAGTACTATCGTGAGCTTCAGCAAAAGGCTCGCGAACGTCTTGCTGAGGAAATCCTTCTCGAGTACTACAACGACATTGAGGCCCGTGGAGAGGATACATCTTTCATTGAGCTTCAGCTCCTACATCTGGACAATACGTCCAAGAGCAGAAAGAGGAGCTTGACAAAATCCTGGCTACGCAAGAGACCGGTATTATAAGCAAAGGCAGACACCGGTAAGAAGAAGCGTGATATCAATCAAACTGAAGAAAACAATGATGAAGAAGAACTCGATGATGCAGACACTGCGAGCCTGCTCCCAAGAGAAAGTAACTAGAGACAGACAAATGTCAGGATGTAGACCCATTAAAGATACTAGTAGCAGTTCAGTGACCAAACTTTTCTATTATGCATTATCTAGACTGTATCGAGTGGCTCACCGGCGTCTGAGGTATCTTCGATTGCGTATTGTAGCTGCACCACGACAGCTTTGAACACTTTGGATGCTTATCAATTCCATGGGTAAACTTCTGTTTAAAACACTTGTACGAAGTGATACGCGAGTTGAAACACTCTTGCCGGGCTCTTACAATAGCTTTGAATTTGGCAACTTCATCATCGTCAAGACAATTCTTGACCGCAAAGACTTCCTTCTCATGATCGCTTTTGCCTGTATATCCAGAATCGGCAATAACACGGCAACCGGCTGGAATCATTCCAATAAATTCCTTTCGCATGGCAGTAATGTCATGGGTGCTTCCAGGATCTGCTCGAGAGTAAAGAACTCGGTTTGTCCAAGTAGCAAGAGCTACTTGATAATTCAAACCGGCGATGTTGTACTTGTAGCAAAAATTCTTCCTGTTGCGTCGTACATTATCATCTCTTGGCTCGTTCGTAGGTTTCTGAGTGCCATCTACAGAAGCTCCCATCATTACTGGCCATACTGCTGGACATTTGATTTTCCATTCGTATAACTCCACGAGAGCATCGATAAACATCCAAGTAAATTGTTGCATTTTATCTTCATGCATGTATTTGTGAAAGCGGGCATTTCGAACGTCATTTGTCTCATAACATCGGAGGAAATTGCAGGCCACCAACAAGCCCACAAAATAGTCCTCATCTTCAGCTTCATCCCGTGTCATCACTCCAGATATCTGGAGGTCTCTCCACACTCGTGCAATGTGACGAGGGTGACGCCCAAAATGAGCCTTGAAGACGCGAATGTTGGTTGATTCATACCTCCTCTGCTGAACTTCCACAGCAATGTTGCACATCGTTAGCCCCTTCCGAAGAATAATAAGAGGGTGGATGAGGAGAGGACCATTGTCGGCCATCGTGATCAGCTTCAACACAGCCAACCAACAAGTAAGTGCTTGACAGTGTAAGTTAATACGAGTGGTTGAGTGGGAATGAACTGTGATCGACTAAACTCGCCTTCACCCGCACAAACCCGCACAAACCCTCGAAGACCCGTTGCAGACTCGCATTGACCCGCACGCGGGTCCAAACAACGGGTTTTCGGGGGTTGATGATGGCTCGCTGAAAAGTGGCCTTTTGGTCTCTGTGGGGTACCGAGAGTGACGTCACCGGAGCCCCTCCAGTTCCGCCAAAAAAATCTTTCTGACGTTTGGATGTTTGGATCCATCGGGAAGTGGTTGTCACTCAACTCGATCTTCACCCGATTCATAGCAGGGTTGCTTCCAATTGTGAAATAAGAGCCTTCTTCCACAACCATCTTCGAAAAAGAATGAAAACTCTCTTTGTATATCCCAAGAGGTCAAGCCCTCTACCGGCCCTCCTGTTTTTGGCCTGGCTGGATGCTGCAACGTCCAAGCTAGGCGCCGCTTTGATACTACCTCATGGCGATGTCGCTTTAGATCCTTCCAATCTTAGCCCAGGCACAGCAGCGCGCAAAGCTGGTGACACAATTGCAAAGGGTGCTCGACAAGCAGCACGATGGTTCGCTACAGGAAAGAACTCATCGTCACCTCAAAAAACAACAGGAACAGAAAGCAGAGACTTTGATCTCATTTTTCTGTCTACACCCCATGGAATTCAGCTCACTCATGATTATGGCATCTATTTGGGTCCACATGCCAGTGGGAGTATCAATATTACCGGAGACAATTCCAGTCATGCTCCCTACACTGTCACAATGCCTCCAATTGACTTGGATACGGCACTGTCCTTGGATTTAATAATGCAGCTTACAGAGCAACAATCTACTAGTGGAAAACCAATCCCCGTGGAAGGTATTGCCACTTCAGCGGATGGGGCCAAAGATTTGCCTTTGGAATGGGCGGAAATAATACCCCTCAAGCTCTTGCCAGAACCCCATGCCTTCAAGTATCTAATTTGGAGCTACCCTTTGCGAAGATACACAGAATCTCCATCAATGGTAGAGGAACTGCTGATCATTGGCGCTGCCATTCGAAGTTGGATGGAGGCTCTTCCTCTCAATATCGGTGTTATTATCTCGGGCGATATGTCTCATACTCATGAAGCAACGGGGCCATATGGATATTCGAATGCCAGTGCCCCCTTTGATCACGCCGTGGGGCACTGGGCATCCAATCCGTGCCAAAACTCTGATTCACTACTGCAGACGGCAAGATCCCTACAACCAAATGGGAAGTCTTGTGGTTTCACGGGGTTTGTCCTCCTTCACGCAATGCTGTGCGGCGGCTCGACTGGAGAGACGTTTGATCCATTGGATAGTGATAATGTATGGGTAAACCGCAACGCGACCTACTACGGAATGATGGCCGTCACCTTCGATTCCAAAGGGAATGACCAGCGGGTGAGTTCGGAGTAGATGAGGAAATTTGTTCCTTCACAATTGCTGGGAGGTCGGAGCCATGGTTGCTCGCTTGACATCACCTTCAATTTCCGAACGAAGGGGCCATGGTAGCGGTACACGGTTGCAGGCAATGCCATGACATCTAGCTAGCTAGTGACGAATCTACATTCCTCTATATACCCACAAACGGTTAAAGGCTGGCCCTAGCACGAGGCTCTCACAGACCGTTTCAAAATCTAAACATAGAACACAATCCCTCCGGGGAAAGTGTAATTCTTAAGTTAACATATCTTGTTGGTACAGTCAAGTATAATTCTACTTCTATTCCTGTTCTTCTATGATATCTAATTATGCTCCGCTTACTCCATAGCATCGCAACATCGCCACCTAAAACCTGAACAATCACTGACGAGGAGAGCCAGTGCAATTATTGGCTCTTTCACGGTGGATATTCATTCAGGAGAGGTTTCATTTGCAATCTCAAAGGATCTCCTTCTTTGCGGCTCTTCGCTTCCAATTCATTAAACTTGTTCTTCATCATGACCTTCCAACCATTCTTGTTCAATTGCATTCAGCAGAGCCACTGACTGGGGATGCGTGGAATCAAACTGCCGAGCAAACAAGAACCCAACTTTTTTGGCACTCTTCAGATGCTTCCAGACTTCGCCTTCTCCCTTTACGAGCAGTTGATCCTTTGGAATAGAATAATCAGTCTCGACAAAAGCCGTTGTATTGAATTTTTTGCCCATCACTACTTTGACCACTTGTGGGTGTTCAATGCGATAGCAATGAGAGGGATTCGTGGACAACATCGCGCTGTCGGTTGCCAGATCGTCACGTAGAGCATCCCCACAATTATCGGTCCCACCCCAGAGCTGAAACATGGAAGTGTATTGTTTGGCTTGATTGGGTATTGAGAAAGAGTCTTCATTGACCCAGACACCCAATAGCTCCAATGCCCCCATCCAATCATAATTGTCAAAGGAAGTGCTGCAGCATGCGTATTTCGATGATGCCAAGAGTTGCAGAGCTGCTGGGGAAGACAGCAGACGTCGTATCAAATCCTGAGAGAATATTGCATAGCTCCCCTTTGTCGTCTTATGGTTCAACAAAAGACGATTGGCTTGTGCTGCTGAAGCCAACTCTGGTGGAAGGGTCACCTTTTCTGAAAATATTTTCCCCAGACTAACTGTAGCAGGAATGCTGGTTGTTGTCAGCCGTGCGTGTGTAAGCCTTTTCGTTTGTGTTTTCGTGGCCAAGTTTCCTGCAAGCAGCAGAAATGATATCGGTAGGATAAATGATGAGCAAGTGACAGGGTCAAACCGAGAGAGTCAGCATAATGGAACAAACGGCAAGGTTAGACAGAGAGCTGACAGGGTGGACACACAAGAACCCAAGAAGAGATCAATAATACAAACCTTGTTCCGTCAATGTCCCCAGCCAGATTGAATGTGATGAAGCAAACAAGTACCGCGCCAATTCTTCGGCATTAAGCAATGGAAAAGATGCCCCATCCAGGGTGACATGATAGTCAAAGACCAGACCAAGCTCAATGGTCAACCATCGCATGATTTTGAGATGAATACCACTCATGGAATCTTCTCTATCGGCACGAATGGTACCAAATTGTACCAATTCTAGATTCTCGTACAGCTCAGCAAGCTCTAGGAGTTCCGTCTTCAATTCTTCATTTGCTTGTTGGTCCAAGTGAAGGACAATGTAGTGATGGGGCATGTGGATTGCCTGGATCAGTCGTTTCACATGGGTTGAATCATTTGCCAGTACCGTAATGACAAATGCGCATCGAGCCGAGTTGGCGGGAGCGTCTAATTTCGAGGTATCCTCAAAAGCTTTAGAGTCTTTCACCAAGGCTGGTCTGTAGCGATGAAAATTACAAAATCCGTAGTGCATGGCGTACAATTCCAACAATTCCAAAATAATTTCTTGCTGCATATTGTCAAGTTGCTGGTCGCTAAGTGCTGGATTTGCCTCGTGCAATTCGTATCGCGTGCGATTGACCAATGGAGATGCCCACTCTGTAAAGTTGGTCCAACCCATCCTTTCACTTGTCAATATAGATCGGCAGTGGTGGAGCTCCACAATGTCGCTGTCGAGCCATTCATGGTCCAGCTCGGATGTGTACATTCGTATTTCTTCCGCATAATTCCTCAGTAGATCGGGCAAGAAATCAAATGGCGCTGGGAGCGAATCTGGAATTGTCAATTTGTAATGCAGAAAGGACCCCAAATCGTCGCGTGCGAAACGGAAAAAGAATAGGGCAGGAATAATGGAACTCATTAAGAGGAATTGTAGACACGATTTCAGCGAAGAATCCGAAGTGGCCTGCAGTTTGCTTCGACGGCGAAGAGAGGCACTCATTCGGCTCTCCTCATCCCCGTCATCTTCTTGAACACGTCGTCGTCGTATTTGAACCATCTTTCCACGTCCTGGGCTGACTGGATAGAGCTTCCTTGATAGCTAGCTACCACCTGATGACTTCAATGGGTGAGGTGAGTGACAAGAGTATCATGCAAAGGTCGTTGAGTTATTTTTGTGTTTTGGGTGGTTGTAGCAAGGGTCCAGGTCGAGGATCGTTCACAAATCTAAGAAGCCAGCTCAGCCATTAACTGATGAATAAGCGCATCAAGGCCAAAGTCTTCTTGGTCCAGCACCTCGCCCGTTCTCCTTTAGCTCCAAGACCAACCTTGGGACCAACACCTGGTCTGGCTCCAGAACCCATGACCGGCCAGACCTACCTGTGATCTCCGCCTCTTCAATGGTAATACCTGGATATATATATCGATACATGCATCGGTAGGTAAAACTACCTGGTCCAACTTCAGGACCTACCGTACGGTACCCCAGCCCAACCATAGGACATCCAGAAACAAAGCTTCGACCAATGCCAGGAAGAACACAATTTCTATGATTCAGTTAGATATGCGATGATGCTGTCAATGTGATTGTTGATGGTCGAGAAGTGCCCGCCATCATCCACCAAATGATAAACTGACTTCGGGAGTGTATCAGCAAAGTATTGTCCCATTGCCGGAGTCACCTGCACATCATAGCGACCATACCAAAGCCCAATCTCCATGGAAATATCTTCCATCTGAAATCCCCAGTCATTTACATAGAGTTGCCATTCATGGGCATCACCCTCAATTCCCTGGCGATGGGCTTCCCTTGCATCTGCTGAGAAGATATCAACTGCAATGGGCACTCGCTCTAGAAAGGTGACATCGGGTTTGGGCATGCCCTTGAGCATGGTTTTCCGCATTTGTTCCGGATCCGCATAAAACTTGCCCATTTGCTGCAAGGCAACTCGATGCATGGCTGGCAAACGACGTGCCAAGCAAAAGATCATTTTAACTGGACACCACATTCCTTGAAAACGATCACTGGCATCAGGTGGTGCTGTGCCACTAATGATGGCGGCACGGTGAAGACGTTCCGGGATCAAGTGGGCCAGTGCCGCTACAAAGGGGCCGCCACCCGAGAGGCCAAAGATGCTAAATTTGTCATGTATGCTTAGGGCCGCCGCTAGTTCTTGCACATCATTTGCCCAATCACGCAATTGTCGATCTTGCTGAAAATAGGAGAGGCCAAATCCGGGGCGGTCAGCTGCGATGAGTCGGATTTGACGCTTGGCGGCGGCTTCAGCAAACCATTGCGCTTCCAAGCGTGATCCATTGCCACCGTGAAAGTAAAAGATTGCGGGCCCATCCGCTGTGCCATATTCCGCATATCCCAATTGACGCCCATCTTTCAGCTTTATGGTCTGGTTCAGTTTTGGTTCCCCCAGCAATCTTTCATGGAGTGATTCTTCTGCTGCCATGTTCTTCAGCTTTCATCGTGTGAAGTAGACAGTGGAGAACAGAATTACTATGTGGGACTGGTTGATCAACCATTAACCAATAACCAGAACCCTAGTGACTGGTTAGCGAACCCTGTCTGCAACTGAAGTGCGGGTACACTAATTTACACAGTAAACGCGAGCCAATCGATTTCAGAGTGCAACTGAGGGGGAAACCAAAAGGAGCGTGGTCTGGGAGACCAAACATGCTTTGCGTGCAGATGATGTTGATGTTTTGATCGGCATTCGGTGATACTGGTGGTAGATGATTGCCACATATGACTACAGCTGTACATGATCATTGAACTGTCTTGAAGCCTCATCATCAAACTCAAACCACTCTGTGTCTGCATTCTAGCTAGAGTGGTCCGTCCAAGGTTAGATCTGCAGAATGAAAATGTTCAATCCGTCACAAGGCTGGATAAAAAGATGCCTTGCGTTCATTTTGGCCTTGAATCGACATGTAAATGCCTTTCCAGCTGCCCCCCGAAATCCATTGTTAGTTGATCAGAGGTTCTTGCTGCAGAAAAATCCATTCACCGCTGCCAACCACTACTCTCGACAATATTTTACGACGGTGTTTTCGCAGTCCACTACAGACGATGCCATTGACATTGATGATGATGATGACGATGAGAATGCACGCTCGCAATTCGGGACACGACAATATTGGGATGATTTGTACCTGGGACGAGGCGATTTTCCGGCTGATGAGTATTCATGGTACTTTGGTTGGGAAATTCTGCAAGATTACGTCCAAGAATATCTTCCATCGGATACCGGTCGGATCCTCTGTCCAGGAATTGGTAACGACTCCATTCTAGTGGACCTGTATCGAGCCAAATACCACAAATTGACAGCGTTTGACTACTAGCATGCCATTGAAAGGCAAGAAGATTTACTGTCATTCGAGTTGCCAGCCTCTGCGACGGATACCATTGAGTTGCATACCCTGGATGCACGCAAATTGCCAGAAGAATGGACCAACCGATTCGCTGCCATTATCGAGAAGGGAGCGTTGGATGCAATCTATCTCTCTGGTGATGGCAATGTGGAACGGGCAGTGGAGAATTTGCATCGTGTCTTGCAACCGGGCGGGACTTGCCTTTCTGTTTCGGGGGTGGTCCCCGAAGAGCTACGAAGACAACTCTTCCGAGACTGGGAATGGGTACGGGACGGCAGCGACGAACTCAAGGCTGGTTGTTTCGTACTGAGGAAACCGAGGGAAAGCTGGTAGCTGGGCACTTTGCCGGAGTGTTGAATCAAATCTCAGCATTCAACCAAAAGATTCTGATGCTACGTTCATGTGCCAGCTGGCGGTGACGACTGGTTCAATGAGGAGGTACATGCCGGACTGTTCAAGTCCAATGGTTGAGCTCTACCTGGTCCCATACCCGTACCACTTCCATCTCTGAGGGCTACGGTAACACCAAGGCTGCCTGGATTCGATTCGTGCCGTCTCAAACGACGTCTGATCGTGATACGTCTAAGAATAGTTTGATTGCACACCGAGCCGCAGCCTTGAGCGTTCCAGCAATCTACCGAACTCAGCAAATATTCGACACTTCAACTTCATCTAATGGCCAGACACTTCAACTTGCTATTTTATTTTAGCTTCTGACTCAAATTGTTCCACTGACGAGGACCATGCAACTAGAAAAAGCTGCCACTGCTACTCCCGCTACTTTTGCTGACAAAAGTTGGCTTCGAATGAACCCGCCTGCGCCGTAACTTGTACTCTTCTCTCCGTAAACTGCCCAATACATCTGCGCAATATCGCAGGATCGTGTGGTGAAGGCTGCCGGAGTCCTCTTCTTCCATGCGACGAATCACTAATTCGAAGCCAGGGCGTTCTTCCGTTATGGTACGCCCAGCACTGGTCATTTGGACTTCTACACCAGCTTCCTCCTTTAATTCGGCTTCAATCACATCCAAAACATCGAGCGAAGTCCTGGCCCATCGAGCAAAGTGATGCAAGACTTCCTTTTCTCCTCTTACTTGAATTTTTGCATGACGCTTATTGCTGAATCTGGGGAGTGCCCGTTCATCCATAAGATCGGCAACATCCTGTGCCAAGGTTGTTGGGTAGCGCGATAACTGTCGTCCGATGACTTCCAATAAGAGCCTCATTGACGCACGCTCATTGCGCAAGTTGATGGGGTGTCGAATGTCCCGACATGTTCTGTAGTAGGTGGTTGTCGTGCCCGATGATGCCGTCACAGTGCGACTGGGATCAGTAATACCAAACAACGCCCGACTCACGGAAGCATCGCTGGAGACGGGAGACGTGACGGCACGGAGCTCTTCTCGGTTGCATACCAGTGCTCTCAACAGGCTGAACAGCAGCCGTGTATTTTCATTGTTCGAGACACAAATTCGAATTCGTTTTATAACGGGAGACCCATTGGCTGCTGCTACAGCGCTTGATCCGTTGGATGGCGCTGTAGTGGATGACGACATTGGCGCCGATGTAGAGCGATGATACTGCTGGTTCTTGCTGTGAATGGAAGACGATGGTTGTCCTCCCGACGATGGTGATGGCAAATGCAGAGCATGCTGAGTCGATGACGAACTGGATCCCACTTCCCCTCGCGTCCAAAAGTCCAACTTTTGGGGAAATAAGGGATCATCGGGGGAAACGTACAGCTCCAGAGGGACTTCATCGGGGCAGAATCCATCAATTTCACGGTTGTCTTCTACAGCAAAGCCATAGTTGAGTAGAAAACGATGGTTGCACTTTTGTCCATAAGAATCATAGACCTGAGCACCCCCTGGAATGTGCTGAAGACTGTTCATATGTTTATTCCGCGGAGGCAACGAAAAAGGCAGTGACAACGCACATCAGAAACATGAGTGAAACTCAATTTTTCCATTTTTGTAACAAAAACTCACGTGGTAATGGTGAATGCTTGACGATCTTCGTCAAAAGTCCATTTCGTCTCCCTGGGCCGGTAGTGATTGAGCATGTCAGCATGAGGCACTAGTGCGGATGTCCTATGACCGTCAATTTGGAGTCCAAAATTGCGACTACAGACACACATCCGAGCCCATTTGAATTCCTCCAACGTGCAGATCTGTGCCAAAGGAGCAATTTGGCAAATAGCGTGAAAGTCTTCCGCAATGGCTTCATTGCGGTCGGCAATCTGGGTGAGTAAATAACTGCCTTCCAAGTTGGCGAGTTCGTCAGGCGTCCAAAAGATGGGCATGTTGCGTAAAGTTTTGGGTAGAATTTCGTAGTACGGGTGAAAGAACGAGGACGAGCCATTGATTTTGCGGTCCCAGAGCAAGTAGATCATTAAGAAAATGTGCTTGGGGGCATCGAGGTCCAAGTCCGAGTCCAGAATGGCTTGGCCAATGGGTGTTGCCTGTCCCATTTCCACCGTGATGAGACAACGGCGAGGAATGGTAACGCAGACAGTGTTGGGGGGAATGTGGGTTCTGGCATGAACGCCTCTCATTTCCGACTCTTCCGTGGTTGTCGGCTCTTTCTTTTCTTCGCCCACTTCCTCTTCCTCACGAGGGGCGTTCTTGGCCGCGTCATACTCGCGAAGTTCCAACTGAATTTATTTATTTTGTAGGAACAAATAATAATAGACACCGTACACGAGATAACAAAGACAGGAATGAGGGACGCAAAGAGACATCATGGTTCAAATGGCACAGGTCAATGGCATGGGTCAATCAACCACGATTTGAAAGCCGCCCGCCACGCTCCAACAACAACTCACCAATTCGAACTTGGCACCGTTGTCTCTCAGCCATTGTTCAAATCGCTCGTACTTGTCCTTGGGTGGAGGAGGACTAGCAGGTTGTGGTGGCTGCTGCTGTTGTTTCCGGCTCGAAGAGGAATACATCCTCATGGTGATCAATGCCCTCTCCTATGGAAAAAACCAAGACAAACAAAAGTGCGAGTGGCGCTCCGTACTAGGGTACGGTATGCGTGGTTCATGGTGCTGCTGCAGTGCTGTCATGGACTGTGTCGTCTCGACTCAAAACAGGATTGATTGAGACATGATTGCTGCAATTAGGGCTCAGGACATTCCGATGCAAAACGTACTGTATCCGTTCAGCCTCCAACGGATTCAAAATTGATGCCATCAAGTCGTCATTGAACACAACCCTCACAAAGCACTGAGTAGATCCGGACCATGTATCTATTGAGTACAGTATCTGTCTGCTTTCATGCATTACCTTGTTGCCATCTTCTTCATGTTCAGTCTAGCATCCCGTGTTGTTAGAACCATGGCAACGACTTCTGGCAGCAAAAAGCAGGTTTACATCCTAAGACATGGTCAGGCTACCCACAATCCACGGGCTGAAGAGGCCAAAGCCAATGGCTGCTCCTATGATGAGTTCATGGAACTCATGCGACAAGATGATTCCTTGGACTCGCCATTGACAGATCTGGGAAAAACAAAAGCCAAATCGGTCTACGAACAATGCTTGAAACATCTTGAGGCAAACATCCAATTGGTGGTGAGCAGCCCTTTATCCCGAGCCATTGAGACGGCAGATTTTGCCATTCCCAGTGTCCAGCAGAGAGTGTGTGTGGAAGATTTTCGAGAAATTAGTGGTTGGTTGCTCAATGCCAAACGAAGAACACGATCTGAGTTGCAGCAACTATTTCCTCGATGGAATCTGGATGATTTGAAGACCCAAGAGGATACCCTTTGGACACCCGACCTAGAGACACAGGCGGATTGTGCCCAAAGGGGATTCCAGGGTCTCTGCTGGATCATGGAGAGACCCGAAGATTCCATCTTGTTGGTCTGTCATGGAGGATTGCTTCGATTTACAATGCAACAGCACAATCGGGTCAAAATGATGGATGGGAGGACCTCCAAACAGGAAGAAAGGGATGTTCAAGCACGGTTTGGAAATTGTGAACTGCGCCGGTATACGATGGAATGGGAGGCAGATGAAACAGATCACGACAACCAGTCTACAGAAAAAGCTGGAAGAAGACTCGTTTTGACAGAGTTGGATTAGTAAACGGAGACAAATAGCCGGGAAGCGGCTAGCTCTTCGACAGGGGACTAAGAAACTTCAGAATTTTCTACTAGCTATTCAATTAGCTAGCAAATAGCTAGCTAGCTAATTCCTTCGATTGTTTGTTTAGTCTAGTCATTTGTGGATTCTCACTCAAAGGCACATTGCTTTGGTCAAAGAAAGCCTCGAAAAGGGCGCGTTCTCCACAACTTTGTTTAGTCATTTGTGGATTCTCACTGGTTTACGATGTACAGCCCAAAGGCACATTGCAGTGGTCAAAGAAAGCCTCGAAAAGGGCGCGTTCTCCACAACCACAAACCTGAAAGCGGATTCAGAATCATGGTTGTTGGGGCGAAGATTTAAACTCGCGCATGGTCTTAAAGAGGCTGAAAGGCGTTCAATATACAACATATGACGGCCTTAGGGGAAAGCGATGAGAGTTGGAGCTGGCTAGCTGGCTGGCTAGCTAGCTAGGAGGATGGAATCTTTGAGCTTGTTTCACGCTGTTGCTGGAAGACTGGACCACCAACGAGGTGAGGTAACAAAAGAGTACCATATGAGGCATTGTGTTTACAAGAATTAGCATCAGGGAAACAAGCAGAACGGGCCCTGCTTGGTGGACACAAAGGGTTTGGGAGACTGAGGATGACTCGTAGCCTGTCCTATGGTCTGGTCTGGCCACAATGTAGCTGGAGTAGATTGGAATTCAGTTCTAGCTGCTAGCTAGTAGAATGACACTGATACCATTTTGTTCCGCTTTCTCGTGTCTCGCACCAAAGGTGCAATGCTATGTCCCGATCTGCTAGTTGATTCCTCTGACTGTTCCAAACACTTCACGTGACATTGGGGACATCTGGAACATGCATGTCGTCGACGGGAACACTGTCTTCCATGGCACCCTCACATTGATATCCAATGGAGACAGCTTCCGCAATGGTGATTGATCGTTTGATTCTTCCTCCTTCTAGTCGCCATGCCTTTGTTCGATCGGCAGACCATCTGACTCCCGGATCCATGCGTGTGTTGTTTTCATATCGATATATTTCCAATTCTCCGTCTCGCTTTTGCAGTTTTCCTTTACCGTGTCGCCTTCCAAAGTTGAAGGTTCCCTCAAAACTGATTCCAGAATTGTAATAATATCTTCCAAAGCCATGAATCTGGTCAGCCTCCCAGTTACCATAATACATGTCGCCGTTGGCAAAGTAGAATCGTCCTTCTCCTGATCGTTTTCCATTCGCATAAAGCCCTATATACACATCACCATTTTTAAACCGTCGAGTCCCACTACCATGCATCACATTGCGTTCCCACGCTCCTACGTATTCTGATCCTGTCAATACAAAGAGTCAGCAACAACAAATAATGTAAGAGGTGGCTGCCAGTCTTAGCTACCCAATCAAGTTGCTGCTTGCACGGGATATGCGTCGTGATTGGTAGCTTTGAATAAGGGTATTATACCAAGACTTTGTCGCAAAACAAGCGCCGAGCAACTATTCTTCCAAACCATCTTCACCACCACAAAGCTGGACGTACCGTCTTTGAAGTACAGTGTACCTTGTCCATGCCTCAATCCGCTGACGAAGGATCCAACATATTTATCCCCGTTGCTCCAAAGCAATTCGCCGGGTCCGTGTCTTTCCCCTTGTTCATTAAAGTCACCAATATACACAGTTTCACCTGCGGTGGCATTGTTGGGTTGTTGCTGTGCTGCTCTCGGCTGTGGGTTGTCGCCCTCCTCCTTGCCTTCACCTACGGATGCTATTGCTGCAGCCGCCAGGACTCCAACGTCTGCCGGTTTGGAAGATAAACACTTGAGACATTGACCTCTTTCTACCAAGCCTGGAGTTGTCAGGGGTTTTCGGACCTCGGTCTTGTTCAGCAGCCCCTTCTTCTTGATCTTGAATAGCTGAGTGCCACAGTTGGGACACTGACCTAACCGATACCGATCATCGCGTATTGATTGTTGCAGATCGTCGTTTGTAGCTGCTTCTGCCATTCTTTTTTCTCTTTCGTTCTTACAGAGCTTGAACCGATCCGATAGCACTAAGCTCTCCTAACGCCGTCGTAAAGCTGATGATGACGAATCCTCCAATCGATGCGAAGACAACGGCAAGAAGATGAAGTCTGCAAGTGTGCGGTATCCTGGCTTTGCTTTGATGAGCCTAGTGAGGCCAGCGACTGACGGTACCAAAACCGATCCACCTGCAAGTTCAATGAACGCGAAACTCATTCATTCAATGAAGAGAGATGCTGCTTGTTGCGCCTGTTGGTCCTTTCGTCTTCTTCCTGGTAAAGTTTTGTCGTCGCATCGACCGTCGCGCCCTCGGCCAAAAATGTCCACTGAGTGGAGAGATGACTGTCTGATAGTGGCGTGAACCCAATCCTTCACTTATTGATCACACCACAAAAGATATAAGTGTTGTAAAAAAAAGAGTATTGGAGGTCACCTCCTCAGTTGCCGATTTTTTGCTGCCGAGCTATCTGTTCTGGGTGCCGAGTCGAGTGTGGCTCGCTAGCATAGCAAAGAGTCCAGGTTTTGCCAGGAAGATTGCTGGAGTTACTTTAGGTAGGTAGCTGGGTCAAACCCAATTGCTGAAGTCACAGTCTCGAACTAACTAGCTAGGTAGACGGCCACCATCCCAACGCATATTTGGTCGGCAACAGACGAAATGAAGAGGTTACATACATTACTACTATTCTACAACACTCATGGGATGACAAGCCAGCGTTTTGTCGCGCTCGTCCTCGAACATAATCCACTGCCGATTTAGCCTTCATAGAGTGCCAGTTCCGTGGCCACACCTGCGATTCCAATAATACAACCAACAGTCATCAATAGCATGACAACTTTCACTTCCACATGTTGACCATCCAGCGCCATGCTGCCAAGGCCACTGATTGTCTTTTGAAACATTAGTGCCGGGAAGACAAAGCACATCATTACAGCTACAGAGCCTCCTCCCACGCTGTTGATGACACCCAAATCCGTTACAAATACTGCTGTGAAGGTGATGAGAGAGAGGAGCGCGACGGTCAATGCATTGAGGAAGAAGTTTGTCTGTCGCTCCACCGGGATCTTGATGACATCCAACACGGCATCGCGGACTCCAATGAACGCTGTAGACACGTCAGGAAGTGATTGGTTCATTGTGAGCCATGTCAGATACACAATCTACAAAGTAGAACCAAAGAGAACATCAAGTTTTGGCTCACCCATTGGATAAATTGTCAAGACACTAATGCCCACTAGGAGGCGGCAAATTGTTGCCACGGGATCTTTGTGTGAATAATTGTTCAAAATGTACGTGTCACTGTTGGCACCAAAGGTCAGAAAGCCAGCGGAGGCAATGGCGACATAGACCGAAGCCGAAAGGCCAAAGGCACCACCCACGCATCGTGTGAAGCGGGGGATGCTTCGGTCCTTCAGTTCCATATAGAATCGAGGAGAGTTGTAGTGCATCACCTGAAAGAGAAAGAGAAGGAAAGATAAGGTCGGGCCCGGTTCGGTCCAAAAGATGTGTTGTCCACTACTGATCCGATGCTATCCAGCCATCTGACTCGGGACTTGAACTCACATAGGCTTCAAAGATCATGCAAACCAAAGGCATGACTTTCATGCTGAATGGTTCATTGTAGTCTCCAAAAGAAGGGCGCATCTTTGGGGAGAGATCGTGATAGTAGATGCCGTCGGGGCTGTAGGATCCATCCAAGCAACGGTAAATCATTCCCAGGGCGGTCAGCAGGACACTGGCCGTGCCCAAGATGGAAAAGGGAGCAAGTGCATCGATATTCTTCATCAAGCAAAGCGGAAGAAGACCGAAAATAGTCACGACCAGGAGGGACTCCACGTGCGTAAACTCAACATTGAGGCTTGCGGACAAGGAGCGGAATGTCTGAGAGAGAATGGACGAATAGGCCAGCGTCCCTTGAAGAGGATTGAGTCCAATCACAACCACAATCGCAACTGCAAATCGATCTCCCATGGTTTTTTCCCAACATTCGCGGATTGTTTTACTCTTTGTAAATTTGCAAACCTTGGCAATGACGATGCAAAAGTACCCAAAGATGGCTGCTTGTAGCACAATCCAAAAGGATCCGCTGAGCACAGCCCATGGGTTGCTGGCATACATGGCGATACCTCCACTCATGGACAAGACGCCTGCTCCCAAAAGATTCTTGGAAATGTTCATGACTTCACTAAAGATCGTAGCCGTGCCGCCATGGTCTTGTTGTCCACCTGCATCGAACTTGACGGACTCGAAGAAGCCATCAGGAAGGTTTGCAACGCAGCCGACTCCGTCATTTTGGTATGTCGTCGTGAGCAGTTCAGTCTGTTGCGATTCTTCATCGCTGCATACATGCACATCCACAGCTCCGTAGCTGTTAGATTGCTGCTCGGAAGTTATCATTGTTGAAGCCATTAAGCAATCGTTGGTTAATCTCGCTTGACGTTGAATCTGGGGTTGCAATTTGTTTGTGAGATGAGAACAACAGTGGATTTCTGGGATTGCAATCTTTCGTTTGTAGAGCTGTACCAGATACACACATCATGAAACCAAGAAAGGGTGCTTCGGATCCCATTGCATGGTTATTGTTGACTGTACGTACTACATGTAGAGGTAACAGATTGTCTTTCTTGACAAAAAAGGTGGAACAACCTGCAAATTCATTGCGCCTTGCCACGTGTGGAGACCACGTCAGGAAGCGAACCGAACTGACGAGAAGCACGGATCAGCTTCTTATCTCGGTCCCAGTCAATGGACGAAAAAGGACCACAACCATACCGGTAGCAGCAGCACAGCTGTACTGTACTTGCGGAGCGGCCGCATTTGGGTGGGAACAAAACCTTTTACAATTCTGTTTCCCTCCGCTTTCTGGAGGATCTGCTCCTCGAAAACACTTCCTGGATTCGGCGCCGCGCGGTACGTGTGCTTAATAATGGATTATCCTGCATGAGCTCTGGATCTAAAATGGACTCTACTGGCCTCCATGTCTAGGAAGTTCTGGGTGGATCCTTGTAATTCCTTGACCAGAAATTTTCAATCCTGGCTGACGTACCGGTTTGGTGTGAAGGAAGGATTGCTTGAAGAGTCACATGCTAGCTGGTAGGTACGGTAGAACAAGTAGTAGAGTTTGGTCAGACTAAGTGTTGGTCCAGAAGTGGTTCGTCGTGTTGTTGGGTTGGGTGTTGCTCGGAACAGATGTGGAACCAGCCAGGTGTTGGTCTTGATGTCGCGTCAGGCTCTTTCTATGGGTCCTCTGTGAAGGTCCATGGGCCCTCCTGGATGGTCCAGGTGTTGGCAACGTAATGGAGTGGGGCCAGGTTGATCCGAGGAGCTGCTTCCGTGCCCGTGTGCTACCTGGTACCAGGTACTCCCGTAGTGGCATCATGTTCCGGGTTGGGTGTGCTGCGTCGAGCATGATTGAATTCATTCAATCATGAATGTGACGTATCCTCTAATTACCGTAAGTGACCTAAGTGATTTAAGCATCCCGTCGCTCCGACCCAAAAGACGAGCGCCTTGTCTAAGTACGAAGCGTCCGGATGGTTACTTAGGACGACGCGCACGAGTGGAAGCTTGTTAGATCGCTTTCCAAGTTGATTGCCTAAGTAATGACGTAGAGGGCGAAGATCTTCGATTGGCCCACATGAGTGCTCACAAAACTGTCTCATGTAGCAGAGCCCCCCAATGATCCTTGGAGGTCACTGTTGCTAGCTAGTAGTGCTGGTCTGATGGTTCTGCTGCTTTGCTAGATGCAGAGCAAGCAGTGAATGAGGCGAAGGATAATTAACAATGCGGCAAGCAAATTCAAACGATGTTCTCTTCTACTCAGTCAGGCAGCAATATGATGACCTTTCACCGAAGGAGCTCGCCGTTCTAGAAGCTCGCAGGGCAACAGTATTATCTCTTTCCAGTGATGAACCTGGATCAGATACCCAAACTGAAACTGAGTCTGATTCTTCCGCAACTCATTCTACAGCAGCGGATGGTACTGGCAATAGTCCTGCAAACTCGTCCGATAAATCTCTGAAGCAATCAAATTCTTGGAAGTCAGGGTTGCGGGTCCTGGAGCGGCGTCAAAAGGATCGAGGAGTTTCAGACGCATCCCTCGACTTGAGTAATGAATCTCCCCCACAAACGTCCGCACCAACATTCGAAGAAGATGTGTCCAAGGTATCCGAACTAGGGGACGCAATCAATAAGGTACTTCAAAACATCTCGGATCCTGATCAAATCCTGGGAATTCCCGTGTCCAGTTCGGAAAATACTGACACTGATCAAGAAGATGATCAAGAAGACGAAGAAGAAGAGCAGCGAGAACGAGAGAAAGAGGCTGATATGGAAGAAGTCGCAAACCTCGAAGTCTCGAAGCAATTTGCTCGGTTATCTTCCAAGAAGGGCAAAAGCTTTGACATGATTGTTTTCAACGATGTCAACAAGGCAAGAAGTTCCCAACGTGAAGCATCTATGACAGGTGGCACCAAGGGTTCTCAAGATGGTGGGGAATCTATCAAAGGTGATAATCGGCGAAATGGTGGCTACACCACTGCAGAAGACTTGAAAAAGAAGTTTCAAGACGTTCTTGCGGTGGAAAACGAAACGGAGAAGCTAGAGCGGCACAAGAAGGCAAAGCAGGAGGTGGGAGATCAAAAGGAAGCAAGAGAAGAAGCAAAGGAAGAAGAAAAAGAGAGGGAGAGGGTCCATGAATTGACATCAGAAGTGACAGTCGATCCACCTGGCACAAGGACAATTGAAAGCGTTTTGGACAGCAACACAGAGCAGCTAGAAGTCGTCTTCACACCGTCTAGCGAAGGCTCTGTGGGTATTAGCAGGCGAAACAAGTGGTCGAAGCGAAAATCCAAGGTCGTTCGCACAATCACCCGCTATAAAAGCTCTTTCAAGGCTAGGATGGTTAAGAACTCTCACCTCCGTCTTTTCAAGGTCAAGGGCACGACGTGGATAAAGAAGAGGCTGGGAAGAAAAGAAGCAAAAGAAACCTCCTCGCAACCCCTTCATCAACGTATGCGAGCATCACTGAACGTCAAGATGCCAAAGCTGTCGAAAAAACGATTAAAACAAGGATACCGAAAGGTTGCCAACGAGTTGCAGGTAACCGCCAGGAGATCTGTGCGTAGAATACCACAGCTGAACGTGAGCACCATCGCTAGGAGATCCATTGCTCCGTTCAGCGCCTCCGTCGTCCGAACGGCACGACAATGCAAGATGGGTGCCTCGGGAGTCATCTCTAGTCTTCGTCGTTCTGGAATAGCTGAAAAGGACGAAGATGTTGAAGATGTATATGCGATCATGCCAGACATAGTGCCACCAGATATTCCGGATATGCAAGGGAGCACGCGAACAGGAGCCGACTCCAAACTTCCAAAGGAATCTCAGACTGACGATCTTGTCTATAGCGTAGGCGAGACAGCCAGTCAAGACACAATGGCAGATCAAACACATTCTAGTGGTCATCGGGAATCTCTAATAATTGCTGACAATGGTGAGATTGAAACGTCTGTCCCAAAGGAAAAAATGACAGAGTCCGACGTCACCGAAAACGCTGCTGCAGGGATCGACAAAGTGTTGGGCGAGGATGAGAAAGCTTCACCGTCTGGTAATTTGCAGACAAATGACAACGATGGTGTCACGCCGACGATTATCGTGCGTCAACACAATTCAGGTGGTGAGGATATCCCCTCTCCAGGAATCAACGACAACCACAACGGCGGCTTCTATACGTTGCATGACGATCCCGACCCCACCGCTGAAACAAACGACAACGAGGATGCAGAGGATTTGTCGATGGCAGCACAATCCGAGGAAAAGACTGAAGCAACGCCAATTTCTTCCGCTTCTGTAGAGCGGCCTTTAGGCGACAAAGATTACGAAGAGCTTGACTTGGACGAAAGCGTGGAGCTGGTGGACTTCGGGGGCAAGCAAAAACGAGCTGGCCAAGATATCAACAGAAGGCCTCATGGGATGGATTCAAAAGAAAGCGATCGGCGCGAGCCAGCACCCAAGGAGCTAACCAGAACCTCGACTCCCAAGATTGTTGAGCGTTTTGATCAAGACAAACCAAAACAAAGCACCAGTTCCTCTGAGGAAGGAAATCCTGAAGGTTTCATTGAGATTGTAAAGGGTGACACTCCGGTCGAAGCAACAGCTGGGAACAGTGGGGCAACACAAGGACTGGTTGTCCCGCCAGCTAGCAAGAAACTTTCGAAATGGAGAAAGTCCTTGCTGGCAAAGACAGGAAGCAGCCGCGCCAACCGACATGTCATCGAAGCTCCACCACTGAGTCGAGACTTCGACGAACCCGCTGCAAACGGCAAACCTAGCGCAAGCGATACGCAGCGCCCACGGCGCGGGAGCAAACAATTGATGAAGTTGATATCGTCGGACATTCCAGATCCTCCGAATCCGATTTCCGCCAAGAATCTCGTTCAATCTCGATCACGACGCACCCCTCCAATTCCATATTCCAGAAACGTCCACGAATCTCATGCAGCAAGAATCAAAACAAGCTTTTCAGACAGTGGCATTCTACCGACAAAACGAAACAAAGCAATGAGCCATGAAGGGAATAAAATCAGGGAAGATAGTACGCGATTATTGCCTGAGGTCATGCCCCCATCTCCGGCAACCGGTTCCCACAACACAAACAAAGGAGACAAAAGGCTCTCCTCGTCCATTGTGGCCACAGACGACGCTGGAGTGGAGATGATTGCCAACGGTCAAGACGGAGGTGATGACGCGAATGAGAGAGAACACGATGAAAGGAACAACGCGACAAAGAAAAAGAGGAGCTCCATCAAAGCAAGGACTATTGGCTTCCTGAAGCCTAAGAAGAGAGTCAGCTATCTCCAAGACGAAAGTGGGAACACTGAGAAATTACTAAGAGACGACGTCTCTCCTGTAAGTGACGAAGAGCCAATCGAAGAGCCCACTGAAACGACGCCCCCGATGGAAGAGCATTCTGCCGCGTCGGCAGGACAGCACTCTGATGATCTTGAATCATTGACGGCAGTCGAAATCAAGTCAATGCAGTCTTCGGATATAGAAGAAACTCTCCCGGACATGGATGACGACACGCAGATGCCGATGGGCTATCTTTTTGACTTTTCTCGGTTCATTTGCTCTGATTTTCCTGGCCTTTTTTCAGCCCCTAATGAAGATCCGGAACTTATGCCTAACTGTTCTGATGCTGATACCCATACCGGTAGTGTCGAAAGCAGGGCCACGTCTACCGCAAATACGACGAGATCATCTTCTTTTGTGTCCCCTGCGAAGACGAGGCGACCAGGGAAATATCCCATTGTGCTTCTAGATGAAAAAAATGACGACACGACATGCGAGGAATTCAGTCGCGAAAACGACGACGCTGAATCTGTGCTGAGTTCCCCAGCATTGTTCAACCAGTTCTTTGCATTTCAAGAGTGCCATGGTGTATGTGCTCTAAACCAACCCAATGATGCTCGCTTTGATTCGGATTCAGACGGTTCATCCGATGAGAGTTCAGTCGACCTTGGCAAGATTGAGCATGAAGACTACTCGAGCACCTTCTTTGATTCTGGATCCAATAGGACCCCCGCCAGGAGGTCTGTAGAATCTGAGGACAACATTCCCAGCAAATGGATCCAGTTCCGAGATAGGCTGGACCCAGTGGACGAGACAATCCCAGCACCTCCTCCCCCTGAAGCCCCCGAAGAAAAGAAGAAACCGAAGCGTGGGGTGAAGAAAAGATTGCTCAGTCTGGTTAAACGGCAGAAAAAGGCAGAAAAGGTGAATGCCAGGAATCAAGATGACGAAAACCCCATCTCCGGCTCTGGGAGACACGTACCTAGCTTTGTATCGATGCTATCCGACGACCCATCGACTGGCACCGGTACAAGGTCAAACAACAGTGATGTGTTCTCAGGGGTGACCTCGAATGCTTCCCCATTATCATCCCAAAAGTGAGCTCTAAGGAATGTTTGTAACGTTATCTTCTCTGCTCTACTAGCTAGCTACTAGCTAGCTACTAGCTAGTATGCTCCGGTACTGTGGGGCAGGTTGAGTCCAGGTATTTAGGTGTAGTATCGACGGTTTCAACCAGCTTCCCCGTAGAGTGGTGGGGCTAGCTACTAGCTAGCCACGAGCAGGTTGGCAATCCAGATGTTCAGGTCGGAAATGGTGTGGAGGTGGGCCTTATGCGTCCTGGATCCGGAGTCTGGAGTGGCCATCGGGGTGGTGGTTTTGGTTCATGGTGGGCAACGTGCTGTGGTCTGCGTCTGTATGATACGGTACATGTACGCTGTATGCATACCGGTACCGTACGGTGGAACTTCTACCGGTACAGCCGGATTGATTAGTGGTTAGGATAGGGCACGGGGTATTGTACAGTACCGGTACGTAAGAACGAAAGGCAGCGCGCCATCACTGCTCTAAGTACTATAATTGTCCTTTAGTCGCGTTTTGCTGTTTCTTTTGGACCTTTCGATACTCACATTTTCGCCCATTCAGCGATCTTTCATGAATCTAACAGTTGCGGAAGATCATGGAACTTGCAATCGAAGCAGAACTACAGATCGTACAGTAGTTGAACAGGCAGGATTTGTTAGAAGGACCTGATCATTCTAAAGAGTAAATGATTGGAATTGATCTGACGCTTGCAGCGATTAGTTAGGTTCAACCCATTCTGGGAACATGGCAGGAGGAAAGCAGCGGAAAAAAGGGTGGAATCCGTTTAAACGTTCTCACCGACGGCAAAAGGTGAACGAAGATGAACAAGCACTCGATTCCTATGAAAGCAGTGTCTTCAGTAGATCACTTGATTCTAGCAAGATGGACAACTTCTCTGTTACTTCAATGCGAGACGAGAGCGACAATGACAGGGGACAAGCCTTTTGCGATGCCAAGGAGGAAATGTCGGGAGAGGCACCCAGCTCCCCAGCAGTAGAGGAGGAACCAAGGGACCTTACTCAACAAGATAGTTCGTGGGATCCAAAGACTCCCTCTCAAGGACCTAGCATGTCGTTTGAGTCGCCCTTCAAAAGCGCAGTTGAGGTAGACCTAGATGGCCCTAGCTTCTTCATGGATTCGTACCTACCCAATACTTTACTTGAGAATGGTATGGGTGGCATTCCAGAGGTCGCCCTGGATCCACGCCTTCTAAGGAATGAAGATTCTCAGGCAGATTTTGAAGACTTTGAGTCGGTAGACTTCAATCCAGATTCGTCGCATTCAATTGCGTCCACGCCAACCTCCGTCAGGGCAATTAATGAAGACGACTTGATGGACGACTCCTTGTCGGCCATGTCCGGGAAAGAGAATGGTTTTCATGATCCTGATTTATCAGAGTACAAAAGCCCGCTAAATCAAGATGGACACAAAGAATTCTTCTCGGAATATGATGGTGGAGAGTCTGAAGATCTCACGGCCACCGGTCACTTTCCGCTGAGCCCGTCAGAGAACGTCGACCAGAACTTTATTGAAAGGGATGCTCAGGAAGATTCCAAAGGGATAGAAAAACATAATCATCAGCGAAATGCAACGTTGGCCGATAAGAGGAGGAAAGGGAGACCCTTCCGTTCTCGGCTGAAGAACGTCCTTGCTAACAAAGCGCTCACCAACCTTACTCAGAACACGAACGTGTTATCTCCTTCTGTTGCTTCGACAAGGTCTGCCAATATAGATTCGCCACACAACAGGAAGAGAGACAGCGCTCCTTTGGCAGTTGCTACAACTACAAATTTGACTACCACACCTCGTAGCAAAAAGCTATGGTCGAAGACCAAAGTTACACCTAAAAGTGCCGAGACTGAAGGAAACGCAGACGCCAAGAAGTCCTGGTCTCAACTTCTTCGGTCACCCCAACACGCAACCAACAAGCGAAACGAAACACAAAGTTCACCTGGTACACCTGGCACACCTGGCACGCCTACGGTGGATGGAAGCAACAGCACGACGAGCAGGGAAACTGAGGATGTAGACACCGTTGACTGCGAGCCCCTCAACATTGCCTTCCCGACTATACTGGCGCACGCGCAAACGTTTTCCCATTACCAAAGTAGGACCCCGAGGAGCATCGTTGAATCGAAATCGGCAAATCCTGCTTTGGACCTTGACGAAGACGCCTTCACCTGCAACACCGAAGTCACAGAAATCACAGAAACGATCGAAGTTGAGAGCAAAGCGAGCCGGGCAGTGTCGATCATGGCTACTTCGGTTATTGAGGACAAAGAAGAGGAATCCCAGCAACAAACTCCCATCAAATCGAGCACATCCATCTCTCCTCGTGGTAAAGGGCACACAGATGTGGGGGAAGAGCAACCCCCTCCACCTCCACCTCCGCCCCAATCTTCTGCCCCCCCAAAACTTGTGATTGTAAAACAGAAAAGCAACGAGGATCAAGCTGCGATAAAAGATTCATCCGGAGAATCCAATGAGAAGAAAGAGCAACAGCAAGGATGTGATTCCATGAAGCAGACCGACAAAAAGGAGAAGAAGGAGGATTCCTTATTCGAGCCTTCTCAATTTGAGATATTTCCTGCATTGACGGCCAATGAAAGCATGTGCGGAAAGAGCCAAGAAGTCATATCATTACGTGCGTCTGAGTCAGCTATTGGGTTCACCCTATCTGAAAAAGAGAGAATCGACGGCACCGCAAAGCTAAAGAGAGGAGATCTGAGCGTAGACCAGGCACGTAGTCTGGACCAGAAAGATTCCGAGGTATCCGAGTATACATTGTCGCAGTACGTGTCAGATCTCAGCGGGAACGCCTCTTGCGACGAGGACACAAAGAAACTATCGCAATGTCATTCCGGTCTCAGTCTAAATGCTTCTTCGAGCGACGAGCACGACAAAAAGCAACGAAAGAAAATCTCGATGGGGAGAATGCTGTTTCTCAAGAAGCGGAAGAAAAAGTCCTTTCCGTTACCTCGACACCCGTCCCCCGACACGATCGATGAAGAAGAGGGCGAAGCAGAGGAAACACCGTTGGTTGGCTGGTTTGATTCTCAGAACAGCAGGAGTTCAGACGCTGCTGATGATATAAGCAAGAAGGGATCAAGTGATCCATGGACTAGCTCCTATGATGTTGATGACGCCGGGCAGGTCGAGGTAAAGGATGGCCGAAAAACAAGTTCGGCATCTTCCTCCGGATTGATAAAAGTTGGCCCTTCAAGAAAGTCAAACCTGATCTACTGGTCTCATTCGACAGATAACTTAGAAGTTGTAAAGGTTGCTTCGAACCGCATTGGCGTCGAAGATGGTTCAGTTGCAACTGGAAATGGTTACAGCGTTCCAAAGAAACAAACTAAACCCGCCAACAAGCCAACGCCTGAGAAATTAAAAACAATCGCAAATACGTTGAAGCAATCCAGCAGCTCAGAGTCACGCGAGCTTCAAATATCGGCTTCATCGGCATCATCAGCGCAAACCAGGAATGGAGATAAGGGTCCAAGAGGTGTAGCAGTGGGTAGTCCCTCGCCAAGAACAGCGGGTATCTTAGCCATGCTTGAGAAACCAAGTGTCGAATACAAACCCTCGAAAATAGGCGACACGATTGCAGCAGACATAGTGGAAAGCCAGTGTTCAACTTTGTCGGATTTCTCGGGTACCGGTACGGATACGGATGGAACGGACGGTTCCGCATCCTGTGGAAGTAGCTACTCGGCAGGCTCCGAACACTCGGCTAATTCGGAATCTGCCATAATGTCTACGACCAGCGATCTCGGTATCTCAAAAACTGCAACCTTCGTCAGCCCTGAACCGCTGCTGACCAAAACAACTGCCTCGGTATCGGCTTCCCAGGATACAGTTCCGCAATCCGCTTCCGATTCCGACGAAGACGTATTCAGTCGTATCGAGGACGACGAGGATGACTCTGTCGACGAAGGGCGGACCGCTTTCTTTCAGGGGACTGTCAACGGTCCGAATCTATTGTCAGCTTGCACTCCATGTCATGCTGAAGTACCGGTTCGCCGTCGCAGACGCAACGACAAAGTGTCAAGAACGAACTCGTTGGTCGATGGAGAGATCTCCTCTTCCTCGTCTGGCGAGTATTCTTCTTCGGATTCTCGGTCAGAAGTCGACAACATTGAAGCACACATGCAAATGGCACAAGAATGGCTTTCAAAGATTAGTTCAGCATTTCTTGGCAACGACGATGACGACGACAGCACTGTCGTCAATAGCACAATTGCAAATACCTTGCAATGCGAATATGCCGGCGTCTTGGGCCGTTTCAAGATAAACGTCAACAAAAACAACAAGGAGTGAGCGGGTTGGCCGAATTTTGTTGCGGCGTTTGTTAGGTCAAGGTGTATTATTACAGAAAACAATAATTGATCCCGTCCATGTCAACTCAAGTCAGAACTTCGATTTGATGTGTATCAGTTCGCTTTACTCAAAACTGTTAGATTTCTTCTTCGCAACATGTAGCTCTTTAGAATAATAGTGCCCTACAACAATTAATAAAACGACATGCAATGCTATGTCTTGTTGTAAGCTAAACGTTTAGTGTCTGTCTGGTTTGGAGGCGCAGCACGCCCCCGTAAGGCCACCTCAATCTTCCTGACGGGAGGCCGCTTTAGCCCGCCAAGCGCGTACAAAGCTTTGCACTTTTTCGGCATGAGCATAGTTGATTAGCAGACTTTTGCGAGCCTCGGAACTCCATGCATGAGCTTTCTGCTCTTTCGTATACTGGTACACAGCCTGGAATTCTCCCTGCATCAAGCATTGATGGGAATAAACTTCTGTCCATTGAACCCGGTGTCTTTCTCTATCCCACAACCAAATCTGATCCACAACATTGGCAGGAACAGGGCTGTCTGACATGGAGAGTGATGTACCAGGTAGCATCATGGCCTCCCTTACTTTTGGATGGGCGTGTTTTTCCATAAACCGCAAGATTTGTCGTGCTTTGATACCAAGACAAAAGGCTGCCTTGACAGAATCTCTGGTAATAGTCTGGGAAATAATACATGTAGTTTCAGGAAGAAGCGTGAGATTTGCTGCACGATTCGCACATATCAGATCGGAAGCGCTTGGCTGACCTTACCATGAAAACGACGTTGGGGAGCCGACGAATGGTTTGCACGTCACAAAACAACCCCAACATGCTGACATGCAGCTCGGATGTTGTATATGCACTAAAGAGACGATCCCAAAACAAAGTGTCAGTAAGACAGTCAAAGAGGCCTGTGACGATACCTCCCCCCCCTGGCTGCGGTAGCCCAATGACAAGATAACTCACCACAATTGGAAATTGGTTTGGACCACAATGGCAAGATGAGAGGAGTTCTGTGGGCGTGGATTGGTCAGGGCTGCATTCAGCGCCTTGCTGGACAGACTCCACATACTCGAGGCAGCGTTTCCGCCGGAGCTCGAGTCATCATGACCCACCAATTCCATGGCCACCCGTGTGGGGTAGAAAATGGTCTGTTTCCCAATCTTTCGAACAAAGAGGAGTCCAAAGAGCGCCAAATCCTTTACCATGACTCGGCTGTCCTTGCTCAAACTGGAACCCAAGTACCCCTCACCGAGTTGTGCAAAGCCCAGGCACACGAGAAGCAAGAGTGCTTCTCGAGCCAAATTCTTGTGTTTCTTTGCTGCTGCGCTCTCTAAGGAACGTAGATACTGGACCACAAAGTGCCAGACTTGCTGGGCATTGTCCTGTAGCATAAAATCATAACCTCGTTCCGTAATGACCAAGGGTGCGTCATCCGAGTTGCTACCCTTGTATTCGGGATCCGGTTGCATCAAGCCCGTTTGGAGTAAAAAGTGAATGACAGCAGGAGGTGGCTGTATTTTCATTTTGGGAGTCCCCACGAGGAAATGGAGGATGGCATCAAATTGCGATTGGGTATATCGCTCAAGATCTTCAAAGCTGACATCTCTGGGCTTTTCTTTTGCCTCTTGTTCCATGGCCCTGACTTGTTCCCTGGTGACCTTTTTCCATGGCGACGAATCCGGAGACAAGAGAGTTTCCTGTAGTCCTTTGGCAAAATCTGGCGCCAACGTGACGGTATTGGCATTATTGCCTTCTCCTTCGCCCGGCACGGCCAGAATGGCCCACCGTTGCAATTCTGTCATGATCTGTTGAAAGCGTGTCTTGTTGTTGGTGCCTGATACAGTAGTACCGCTATTGGCAATCCATACTTCCACGCTTGACGCCGGAAAGGATCCACCACAGGAGCTAAGCCTCACTACCACCTGCTGTGCCACGGGGGTCAATTTCTGCAGAACTGCCCGACAGATGAAGCGACCACGGGTCTCTTCTGTGTAAAGCTGAAGCAGAGCCGTCTTGGACAATGCATTCTGCAAAAAGTCCATGACCCCCTTGGTCGTCGTCTTCTTACTCTTCTTTCCCATCTTATCTATCTTGCAAGTCCTACTAAATAGCTGGTGTTCTGGAGGAAGGTATAATCGAGATATCGAGAGAGTGGTACCAGGTATGGGAGCAACAGCATATGCATGTTTGGCATGGCAGCTCAAAACCGCAGAGCTGCGAATTTGAGTTGGACGTTTCATCTCAAAGTCTTTCAAAAATGAAAGATTTTAGGAAATCTTTTTTGACACGGCATTTTCAAGTTCTGGCGGAAGTCTCCCAGTTTATTGCGTTGGCAATCAATCAACAAGATGAGAGAGGAGTCAGGGAAGGAAAAGGAGACAAAGACGAAGGCGTTTCAATCCTATGGGGGCACATCAACGTCCTCGCCATGGCGTGATGAGTTGTTGGAATCCGACGAGATCATTGTGGGGCTCAATGATGATACAGATACACCAAAGCAGCGCCATCACGTCAGCCAAAGCTACATCATCCCCCCAATATCCACATCAGACTTAGCTGCTGTGAAAGAAACAACTCCCTTGAAAAGTTCCTCCTCCTCGGCTGATATGATTCGAAGACGAATGAGTGATCCCACGGACAACAATTTCCGAAATCATGTGAGCTTCGAAAGCTTCAATTCCGACCAGAGTCCACCCTTCTTGGATGGCGCGGATTCCGGCACGGGGATTGCCTTTGCCGACTTTCACAATCGATGGCTTCCAGACAAATTCGAAGATGATGACAACAACAACAACAACAATAATATGACATACTCGTCTTCGTCGTCCATTTCCAGCAGCCGCCGCAATAATAGGCACCACCATCACCACGATCGGCGAAAACTCATGCCCCGATCCATCAAACGGCGCATTCATCTCTTCTTGTCCGAACCAACCTCATCCATTGGATCTGCAATATTTTACATCATTGTCATCTTGGCCATTTTCGTCATGAACATTGTCATGGCTATGCAAACCATGCATCATTTTCAATTTACGCCTGATGATTGCATCACATGTGGAGGACCCGTTGTATACACTTTTGAAGGTACGGTAGACTACTGTCAAAGAACGAAAGAGTTGTATCTGCTGCTTGAAACTGTCAGACTCCTTTTCATTTGGCTCCAACCCCTCATCACAATTTACATCTCTCTTTTGCATCCTTGCCTTTCAAAGATGACAGCATTGAATCGCCTTTGGAACCTGGTGTTCCCTGCACGTGTCCTCCCACGCCCTATGAGTGGACGAATGCTGTTTTGACATATCTCATTTATTTCTTCACCGTCGAATGGCTTCTTCGAGTGCTCTTTTTTGAACCGGCGCCAAACATGTATGATGGAGAGGGCAAGTTTGCCCACGACGAGGATCAGGATCACCATCATCATCATGGTCGACGACGAGCTTCGTTTTGGCGCCTCTGGTTTGCCCACCTCACCAGTACTACTACCATGCTGGATGCCTTGGCGATCTTTCCATTCTACTTGGAATCACTCGACAATACAAATGGACTCATGAGCTTGCGATTGCTGCGCATGTTTCGTGTCTTTCAACTTGTCCGACTAGGACAGTACAATGGCACATTCATGACCCTGACCAATGTGCTCTGGAAATCTCTCGTCTTTTTGAGGGTCCTATTCGTGGTCCTATTGTTTGGAGCTGCCTTGTTCGGTAGTCTCATGTATTGGTTAGAGAGAGGCATTTGGCAATACCACGAGGAATCCGATTCGTACCGATTCATGCGCGTTGGTGTAGATGGTGCCACAGTTGAACCATCGCCCTTTACAAGTATACCAGCAGCATGTTGGTGGTTCATGGTCACGGCAACAACTGTGGGATACGGAGACATGTATCCAACTACAACGTCTGGTAAGTATGTGGCATGTTTTGCCATGTTAATGGGGGTGTTGGTGGTTGCCTTTCCTGTGTCAGTTTTTTCCGATTTGTGGGCGAAAGAAATCAAACGACAGCATCAGGAGCCAGCCGAGAGACATCATCAAGATCAGCACAATCATCACGGACACAATGGAGACGACGACAACCTGCACACAAATGGTGATGATGAGGATGATGGTATCAAGATGCCGCTAGACAGTCCTGCTGCCATGAGGGCCAAGAACATGGATACCCTCTGGAATAGCTTTGGGCGACTCTCCTTCATGCCAAACAGTGACATCATTGATGAGGAGCAGTTGCGCACGATTGAAACCCACAACGATGATGGGTCACCTAGAAGTAGCAATGATCATCACAAAGAAGCACCAGGGCACCTAAAAGGCGTTTCAACACCAGGTGTAGTGCTAATGGACACCCAGGACTTGAAAGATATTCTGGATAGATTGGAGAGCATAAGGGAGCACGAAAACAACATACGGAGCATCCTTGACAAGTATAAGATAACGTAACTCACAGGCTGATTCGATTCCTTCTGTGGTCTTGTGTACGTATTCGTGCTATCAAGTGCATGCAGATTTTAAAAGTGCGGATTGATGCGTTGTGTCGTTCTTTGTTGACGTCTTCCTCACCATCATAACCATCGAGCTTGAAGTTCAAAGCTCCTTCACTGGTGTGGTTCCAATGTGTCCTCTGTAGTATAACTCTTTGAACTACACTACATAGTATTATTCTTCCTTTCTCGTTTGCATTTGCAGACCACCGAGGGAACCCATCCCTTGCGAATTGGCATCTTGATTGGAGGCACAGCAATTAAACTGCTGTTCCGCCACTGCGGCGGTACCAGCTGGAGAACCAGTATCGGAATATCTCTCGGCAGAGGCACTCACAGTTCTGGTTTGGTCCATAGCTGGTGGCCGCCGTCCCTGTTCTCTGACAAACATATAATTTCCCACGACGAGCCCCGCCACGACGGAAAAGAACAATTCGATCGAATACATCATTGCAACCTGTTGGTGTAATACGGAAGTGAAAAAAAAACTGTTCCAAGATGCACAGACTGGAATAATAACACACGTACCAACATGATGAGTGTCCCCATCCAACTTTGCAAGGCATAGACCAATGTCAGTATAATTTTGCGTTGCTGCAGCATTCCGGGATGGCGAAGATAATCAATCAATGCTATCCGAGAGGCCGAGAGGGCTTCGGTCAGGAGCGCTAACAAGAAGCTATACACACAGGCACCTCGGAATTTCCCGGGCATGTTCAGTTGCCAAGATCGCACATAATATGCCAGACAAGGAGGCAAAGACTTTGTAGAATTGTCGTGTCCATGATGATCCGAGCCCCCTCTACTTGACATTCCCAAGGACCACCTGAATCCATCCATGAACACAGTCATGTACATTCCGTGACAGAATGTACTATTCTGGGAGTCATCATGGTGGTGATGATGATTGTCGTCTCCTTGGAGTACTTGTGATTCAGCTGCAACCATACCGGTAGCAGCTGAAACTTGTGGTTGGGATGCTATTGATGATTCGACAGAGATTGCGAACAACACTGCCACCGATAAGAGGAAAACGAAGAGCACCTGCTGTCGCCAGATCCTGATTCTATGCAGCGCCATCGTTTGTGTTGAAGGACTTGCTTCAGCGCTTTCGGATAACATATATGTATAGTCCAGTAGTCCACAAGATGTCAAGGTCAATACATGTAGTGATAGTGCCATGCAAATTTCGGTCGCTCCATTGTGTTCCGCGTTTTGCGTGAAAACGAAAAATATCGAAGTCGGTGCCATCACAGCTCTGCTGTATTGACGCAACGGATCTCTCTGTTATTCGTCCACTTTTCCCCTTTTGCTGCCAGCAAGCAAGCACGAAATAATAAGATGACGGATGAGTCTACTACTAACAATGAAAGCGACGACGGTCCCAGAGATGCTGATGTAGCTGCTGCGCGCTCGGCTTTCATTGAGTTTTCATTTCATGGTGGAGCCCAAGGACCTGGGACGGACAACACTAGCGCTGCTACAGACGCAGACACCATGGCGAATCCTGCTCCGACCAATCAAGATGTTCCTGCCGCTGCTGTTGGTGGGGAAAATGCCAACACAAATACCAATCGTCCTCCTGGTGCCATGCCTGGTGCCCCTCCAGGCCGATTCTTTGTCGGTAGAGGCCATCCTCACCACCACCGAGGAGGAAGGGGTCCCATGAGAGGCGGCCCGAGAGATCTACGAGGAGGACGGTTTGGCCCTCCTCATCAGCGGATTCACATACGATTAGACGGCCGTGGTGGACGAGGGGGACGATTCCCCATTCGAGCCACCGTCAACGGGAGAGCTCATCCGGCTGTCCGTGTCAATTTTCATGGACCAAACCATAATAATAGGCCTGCTTTCAATACTGGCAACAACAACAACAATCCACAACAACCCCGTCGTCATGGTCCTCATCCACACCATCAAGTTCATATTGGAAACCGATTACCCAGACTGCAACCACAGGTTGTCCCAGAAACGGGTCAACAGTTTAGTTCGAATAATGAAGGTGGCAGCATCAATGACAGTGACGTAGATGATGCCTTCAAATGCTCTATTTGCTATGATATCATGAACGATCCCGTGGGCTGTGGCAAGTGTGCCGCACGATTCTGCTTTGCTTGCTTGCGGAGAGTGACAGAGTTAGCACTCATACAGCAACAACAACAACAACTACAGCAAGGGCTTCCTCCTGGGACTAACAACAACCCACCAAGGTGTCCTGTTTGCCGATCCGAAATTGCCGATCCGGAGGATATTGAGCACGATGCCAACTTGAGAGGCCGGATTGAACAATTGCCTCCCATCCCTTGTCGCTATCAAGGATGCCCAGAAATGATTCGCATTCATCATATCGGCAACCACGAAAATGTTTGCCCGCACGTCAAAGTCCAATGCCGATATCAATCTTTTGGTTGCCAATGGACTGGGAAACGAGGCGACCTCAGTGCACACGAACAGAATGACTGCCACTTGTCACGCGTCTCCGAGTTGGTGGAGAGATTCCGAGAAACTCAAATCCGCATGGCACACCTCCACCAGACTGTCATGGCCAATGGCAGCATGATGGAACTCCAGAGGATTCGCATGCAAAGAGAAAGCAATCAGGTCTCCATTGGGAATCTCTTCCATCATATCCAATTCGTGCACATGTTGACATGCTGCACGCCTCGCTTTCTGCTTTCCAAGGACATTTGGGCTTCGTTTCATGCCGATCCCATGGGCAGAGCTGTAGTGGCCAATTTTTGTACACTGTTGCCAACTGCCATCGTTACTGTCAAAACGATGGCCGCATTCTATCGGCAAATGATTGTCGCATCCCATCACCTGCACGAATCCGAGGACAGGCTATTTGACTTTGTGGATGGATTATCTCTTTTGTTAATCCTGGGCTGTTTGGCGATCATTATTGGCATTGGGCTCTTTGCAGACCCAGCTGCGCCTCATGTGTGGCAAACGTTGGCTCTCCCATGGCCTCAGCGGTTGGGAGGTGCCCAACGCTTGGGCAGCACGCATATGATACAATACATTGTGACAATAGCCATGCTGGGAACTCATGCATGTGCTTTGGACAGTGCAACCAATACATTTCGGGCAACTCTCATGTGGGCTTGGTTGTGTTTGACTTCCACTTTTTTCCCGGCCGTCATAGTTTTCATGACGATGGCCACCAACGGAATGCCTTCAGCCGTGAACGACCAATCGGCTCAAATTGTGTTTCAAGCGGGAAGAGCTGTGCGGCCTCTGTGGTTTAGCTTTTGTTATGCGTTTCCATGTTTGGCCTTTGGGGTACTGCCCTGTCTCGATGCAGCGGTGTTACTGTACGTGGGACGTGAATTCGTGAAGCGAGTTCTGTTGGTAGAGCGCGTCCTTCAGGTTGGTGAAGGGGAAACATTTGGAAATGTCTTTACCAATGTACCACTCCCTGCTTTCTACGTATACATTGGAGCTCGCGCGGCAATGAGGGCAAATGAATTTCCTCGTGTGGAGTGGATGCAGAGCTTTGACTTTGTCGCAGTTGCCATTCTGGTTATCACGACCAAGTGTCTTCTGTGGAGGACCATCAAAGCTGCAACTCAGGTCGGCCTCTACATTATGAACCAAGCAAGGATGCGAAGCAGCCCGCTTCGATCGGAGACCAGTGGTTGTGGCACCGCCATGTTTACCATTTGGTGTCTCCTGTTGGGAGCCCTTGTGGTTACCTAGCGCTAGCAAGATAGAACTTCACCACTGGACGAGGTCCAACACGAAAGGACCATCAAGCCAATCCAACCTCGCCTCTAGTAGAAGAGCACCGATAAAAATGTGCCATGTGAACGCTAATGAGCTGGTCTTCCGGTGCTAGTGCTGGAAAAGTGTAACACCGCGAAGACAAGCAGGGACCATATTATGCAGCTAAGCAAAATAGTTCCATCTGCATTGATAGTGCAGTATCCTTGAACTGAAGGATTATTGTTGCTACTGTAGCGTGATGTACGAGTAGTGATAAAGAATTGTGTAGTTCTACAGGTTGAATAGACGACTATTCTAGTTGAGCTGAGATGGAGACGGATTATAGAATCCATTCTGTGGGTACCCGGTAGTCTAGCCATAGCATACAGTAGCTAGGAAAGAAGAGTCTGCCTGGAAATAGGATCAGGACATGGAAGGGAATGCAATCCTCCAGATATCGGTAGGGTAGCAGTAGCAGGGTGCGTCTTTGACTATGTAGAATTCTCTTCCATGGTGATGAACTTGTCTGTTCTCAAGTCATTTGATATAGTCACCAGAGGTTTGTTGGTATGGGTTGTTGTTTGATCCAAAGTGTTCTCGTCAATTTCTTCATTTCCAAAATAAAGAAACAGCAGTACCGAAAAGACAGTATACAATGCTGCCAAGAACATGCAGGTTACAGCAAGAACCGTGGCTAACCTTTCAATTTCATAGGGTTCTGTCTTGTTATCTTCGCCCTCTCTTCCATCTTGTCTCCAGTCCTCAACCTGAAAGTAATGAAAAGATAATGAGAACAACCAGTGTTAAAAAGGATCCCGCGAAAGGAACGATGCACCCCGCTTTGGCACGTACTCGGACTTCACCAAACACCACTGCGCAAACTAGCAGCAAGTTGGCAAATATAACAATAGCCCCTCCAAAGATGCCTAGCCTCAGCTTGGAAGACCCAGTAGTGGAGAAACATGGCGCTATGTAATCGCCTCGTAATGATGTAAAGCCAACAATCGCTGTTGACCCAAACAACGAGAGAGCCACAGCCATAGCCATTGTGTAGAGAGCCACAAAAGTCATGCTGTTGGATGATATACTGGCCAGCTGCATCAGGTACTCTATTTGTCGATCCGCTGAATTTTGATCTTGACTTCCATGATTGCATCCCTCTTCCTCGCCTTCTCCTTCGTCTTCTCCCTCACCCCCTTCTTCTTCTTCACATCCATCATTGTTCCGTTGATAATAGTCGTCTGTCAGTTGTGATTCGTAATATCTCTCCATCCGCATGTAGTGAGCGTGCACTTGACATGTGAGGATCACCGCCAGCAGAAAAGCCAGCAATGTCATGACAGTTGCGATGGTCCATGTAAACGCCACCAGTGCTCGTTTATCGGAGAGGAAACCACCGCATAATGATGGGGCTATCATTCTGTGTGGATTGCTGTGTGGCCGGCCTATTGTACAGTGAAACTCGCTATCTTTGCTACTAGCCTAGTTTGCCATATAGTACAGACGATGATGGAGGAGGGTTCCAAGATAGATGATGGATGGTCTACGACGATGAAGATGGATGATCGAAGAGGTGAGAGATGGAGTTGCTGCAGCGTGGAGTTTGGAATGACATCCGGGATAAAAGTGATTATCGCCACACGCCGTTTAGAAGGAGCTTATCCAATGCGCTGTATCAACGGAACTCAGGACGACGTGAGCCAGGCCAACATTGAACCCTATTTCTACTGTACCGGTACTTGTTGGTCCCAGCTATTTCATTCATCCATACACGTACTGCATGCACGATTCAATCTATGGGGCCCACAGCTCCACGTACCGTAAAAGTATATCCCAGAACTGAGAGGAATACTGAGAGCCTGTACGAGTAGTAGGGGATCCTACTGGTGTATCGATCGAGGTATCAAGGTACACCCAACACCTGGTGTATGCTTGGTTGATCAGTTCGTTTATACCACTGAGGAGGTCACGTCCTCGACCGTAAGAAAAATGAGGCTCGCACCTCTACTACTCACTGTTAAGATAACGTCGCACCTCTTTGGTTGAGTACGTTTTCGAAAAGGCCAAGCTACTAGCTAGCTAGCTACTACCGGTAGTAAGAACGTTCGAAAAGCAGAAGTCGCTACCAGTAGCTAGCTACCACTACATACGTTGCACAAGTGGCTACCGGCACGAAAACGAAAAGCGAAAAGCCACAAAAATCCGCAAGTCCTCATGTAACAGACTCACTATAAGGCATGGCAAGCATGCTCAATAAACTAAAGTAAACAAACTACTGAGCACGAACAATGCAAAGATCCTCATGCAGAGTGCCCATAATGGTGTCCTGCTTGATGGCAGCAGTAATATTCAAAACACTTCCTTTGTAATGCTCCTCAATCTTGGAGATGACCCAAGCTGGAGCTTTCTGAGCATTGACAAGTGTAGCCATGAGAGTCCAGAGTGGCTTCCTCCTGGAGTAGGTTGACTTGCAAGCCTGATATCATCAGCAGTGAAGTTCTTGGCTGGCTTGTTGCCACCAATACCATGCATCCACTCTTGCCAAGCAGAGCCAACAGTTCTGTACTTGGCTAGCTTGGCAGGCCTACTATCAGCAGGGGTGGTGGCCACAGCTTGTCTGTACCTGAGGCTAGTCTGGCCATTCCGGCGAGTCCTTTCCACAGTCAACCATTTCTAAAAAGATTACCATCTACCTGATCAGGTGTTGCCATCCTTGGAGGCTGAACAGCAATCCTAAAAAGGATACAAAAATACATAGTTAGCAGCAGTAATAGCCATAGTTGCAATAGCCAACAGCCACAAGTCCACACTTACCTGCAAATATTTCCATTGAGTTTCGTCAGCTCCGCGCCAAGCCAAGTCTCCAACCAACCTCTCAAAGCAGCAGCCGAACTGTCGCGGGTCCTACCTTCTTGCGCTATGAGCTGCTGGAGCTGGTTGTGCTGCGCAATAATCCTTGTCAGAATCTCCTCGTTCGTTCGTACCTGCTGTTGCGTTTGCATAGCCGTCACCTGCCGCGACTGATTGGCAACTTGACGAGTGCTTGCCTGGCCGGTCGTTCCCTAGTGCCACCAGCCTGCCAGCCCCACCGCCACCTCCCGTATCCATCGGCTCGATTTTCGTGAGAGCTTGGTTGTGTGTGCGTCCAAATAGAGAGAGGCACTTTCACCACAGGGTTGACGCCAACAGGAATATCGGATGCCTCGTACGCATCTTGGATTAACACGAACGGGAGGCTCCATCCTCTCCTCCCAAGATTCGTCAAGACAGACAGAAGAGGCAGAGCCAAGTGAAGTGAAATGTCGTTGACACCGTCGTAAAACGCATGCGCTTGGCACCACATGCTCAATCAACCATCGGGAGTCACTCTCCTGGCATCCGGGTGTAGCTTGTAGGCAATAGGAGCCCCCATGCAAAGCTTTTCGGCAACACGAGCGTCGATCCAGGGCTGTTCAGGCGAAATGTAGGCACAACCCGTCCAGACAAGAGACCTCCAGCGACAATCGACTCACCTTGTAGCACCCATTGTCTGCCAGTACTCTCCATACGAATTCTGCTGTAAGCTATCAACCCTTAGACTAGGAGAGAGCCACAAGCCCAGAATGATGCCAGACTGCACGACAGTACAAGATGTGCAGCTGCAATGGCGTGATCGTGCGAGCTGTTGCTGGGAGCCAACTTAGGATCGCTTTCGGAGTAAAGAGAATGCATCTTCCCGACCAGCGGCGCCATACCGTAGTTGAAGGACGCCTCATGTAATTCGCCAATCCGAGCATAGCACAAAAGTCGGTATCCATCGACCCAAGAATGATTTGGTCAGGGCATTGTCGTTCTTCCGAAATATTCTTGGACCAATCACCTTGCAACTGAGCGCAAAAGGGAAGTCTGGATGCGGCTTGTAGTCGGAATACTTCAACTTGGAGATGTCGTCCGTCCTGGTGATGAGATGGACTTGCTGCTTCAACATGCAGGCTGTACGGATGGTCGATTCAAAGCTCCCTTTGCCGTAGAGTTCATGGACCACCTTGCGATACTCAGTTTCCGTCAAATCCCTGGTGGCACAGGACTTCTTGCCGCGGTGTTGAGTCTCCGCTTTCTTGACTTCCTTGACCACTTCGTTCACAGGATCGGACTTGGTTGGATTGCCGGAGGTTCCATTCCATGTGGCACCTTTGATGGGCATGTAGAAGGAGATAGCCTTCTTGTCTTGCTCAAGAGTAGAGGAGCGGCAAGTTGGATTCTGCTCGAGGTCTTTGAAGTCAACATCGGTCGTACCATACGCACGCCATTTCAAGTAGTCGGCAACGTGGTGTGGTTGGATGCCGGCCAAAGCACTAGGTTGGAAGCGAGCCGCCTTGGTGTATGTCCTCTTGTGCAGCCAGCTCATGAATTTGACGAAGAGACGATGGTAATCCCGGTTGTACTTGGGCTGTTCCGTGGGTGCTTCAGGCAAATCCGGCACGTCTTCCAACCCAAAGGCTGCTCCAGCATTGGCCATGGTGGAGCAATTCTTTGGTCAACTAAGCAATTGTTGGTTGAGCTGGAATTTTGGCAGAGTTCCTTTATAGAGTTGAAGGATTGGAAATAATGAGGAAAACTGAAACTGAACTGAACTGAACTGAAGAACTGAACTGAACCGACTGGCTAGCTAGCTATCGGTACCTGTACGGAGACGATCGATCGCGAGGGATTTGCCCGTTGTTCGTCTCTTTATGCACGGGATTGCCTTGAGTATGCGGCAACACTGTACGTACGATTGATTCGATTGACTGAGTATTCCACAACGGAGTGGATCGGTGGATCTCATTGGATTCGATTCGGTATGTGTTAGGATACTTAGGGCGAAATTGGAATCCTCTCAGTATGTGGATTGGTCTTATGTATACAGGCGCCCCTGTTATATCTTGGCTGTTGCAGTTTATTTAATAGTGAGAGTCTTATTGAGAGGATCTTTGTTTCAATGACTGCAGATACTGTAGCATTTCTACGTAGCATACCATGCCAGATCCTGACAGTATGTGAGATCCACTAGTAGTAGGGGGAAGCACATACTGACACTGTGCAACTACTGTTGCAGAAATGTAGTACCGTACGCGTACTCGTATTTGGATGCCTCCATTTTTGACGAAAATTCAAAATCAATTTTTGAAAAAATTACTTTATTAAATTGCTTGAAATGGTCAAAAAGACCTTCAGTTTCCATGCTACCTCCTACAGTACTAATCTCCTGATCACCATTATCAGGGTAGCTAATAAGATTGATAAAAAACTTCACTGTTTATGATATTGGGGTATCAGGGGTATCTGAGTAGGTTTTTTATGCATTTCCATGCTACCTCCTGATCACCATTATCTGGGTAGCTATGCACAATAAACCTAGTACCAGTAGTCGACTACTTTCATACCCCTGATACCGGTACCCCATTGTCATACAGTTTATTCACCTTAGCTACCCTGATGGTGATCCCAAGGTACTAGTACTGGTAGCACGGAAAATGAAGGTCTTTTTGACCATTTCAAGCAAGTTAATAAAACATGATTTCAAAAAATGATTTTGTCAAAAATGGTGCGGTGCGCCCCAGAAGCCAGACTGCGGTAGCTACAGTACCGGTAGACTTGCCTGTTCCATCAATTCTGAATCGAATCGAATCAGAATCTGATGCCCACATCACCCTACAAAAGAAGGCGGGTTGTCATTCGGCTCAACTCTCAACTCTGTTCTGTATGCCGAGGTATCTTTGCTTTTTTGTCGTGGTTCACGCCAAACGGTTGCACCCTTGCCCATGGAAAAGTGCTTGATGTACTTGCCCAGCAATGCCCAGAAGATGACCAGCGAGTGACTCGGATCAAGGATCAAGGGTCCTTCATACCATGTACCGTTACGGCTAGCTCGCTAGATAGGCATACAAATGGTTCTTTCCTCTTTATTATCTTATGAATGGTACTATTGTTCACCTTCTTTTTGGGTACAAAGTCTACGGGCTCACTACTTGCGGGCACGCAGACGCAACTTGGTGAGCAATGGTTGACGTTTCGCCGATCCTCCTCGGCGGCGAAGATCGTCCTGATCTTCGGGGCACGCCTTTTCTTCCATTGCCCGCATGGCGGCTTCTTCTCGTTCTTTTTGTAGCCGCACATCTCGAACATAGAAGTGAAGTCCCTGTTTCAACACTTCGTTCGTCACCGCTCCAATCTTTCTCAACTCCTTCTGAAGATTCGAAAAGACTTCCTGCTCCTGTACAATAGGCACAAGGTCATGGACGCAGTAGGTCAATAGATCCACACCATCAATGAGATTCTGGTCGTAAGCCACCATATCGTTCTCCTCCACTCCATCCTGGAACTCAGTGTGATAGGAGTCTCTGCCTTTCTGGGAGTAGTTTGACACCAGATGGAGCAACTTTCGGTCACTCCACTTGCTCCTTGTCTTCATATCTTCCCGCGACAGAGTGGGGTCTTCCTCAATCTCCTTCTTCCAGTCGATTTCTGTGAATGATTCGTTCATGCGTCTATAGGCCAATGGTAGATTGCTATTCCAGCCTCGACCTTTCCTGGCTGGTTCCGAGAAGATATCTCGGCACTCTGATATGTCGATGTCATCATTGTCGCGCTCTTTTCGGCACAAGATGTGAAGCTTCTGCCTGAGTGTCTCATCCGTGATGACTCCGTCGTCTCGGAGTTCCTTTTGCATTCGGGCAAACAAGGTAGGATGGGAGAGAAAAAGGCGTAGGTCCATCTGCGACAGCCTGAGGGAATGCACTTGCTCCTCAAACCGACCCAAGTCAACGACCGCCTCCTCTGGGTCCTCCACTACCTCTGGCTCTTCTTCGATAAACTCGACGAGTTCTTCAGCATCATCTTCGCATTCCACAGGCTCAGGAATCGGAATGCTCAGCACCTCTTCCATTATCGTTAAGGGATAGTGTGCCAGCATGTCCAGTTTGGGACTCTCCTCTTCTTCCTGCCTGAGCTTGGCAATATCGGCATCCTCTTCTTCTTGGATTCGCTTCAAATTGAGGGCTTCTCGTTTGAGTGCCTCCTTCTTGTCAATGTCTTCGTCGTCGGCTGCCGAGCTCCTTTTGCGACACTTTCGGAACAACTTTGTCTTTGCGCTCGTCTTTTTCTTCTTCTTCTTCTTCATGCCTGGTTTCGTAGTGTCTGATCCCGGAACATCCGATTCGAATGGATGATGATCAAGCATATCTGCCACTGCGGTAGGCGAAGAATCCCGTCGCGCCTCACTCCTCACAGTCTTTGCAGGATTACCCGGAGGATCAGGAAACTCATGGTCAAGTCGGTTTTCCCGAATGCACAGAGGCACTACTAGGCGTGGGTCCATTCCTTGTTGCCAGAGCTCCATCGTTCCATGGTGGTCATCCCTCCTCACGTTGGCAACCATGGCGTTGAATATGAAGACGTGGTGGCCACGGTGGATTGTCTTCCTGCTGCGAAGGAAGGGACCTTCGCCCTTGCAAGTTTGCTGGGCGTTGTCCCTTGGGCCTGTACACAGTACTAGTAGTCTTCTGAAAGAGGCAACGGGCACCGGGCGCTCGAAAATGTGACCGGAAGAGTTTACAGTTCAACCTCACAAGCCATCACAAAAAAGTCTTGGCGTCTGTTCGTCAACCCTTACAAATAGCTTAGCGACGTGGTTACTTCCAATCAGCTATGGTGGCAATTGCGACAAAGAAGCTCACGTGGGGGGCCAACTCCCGTTTCTATGAGCTGCCAAGACCCCAAAATCTTTTCACCAGATCCTGTCACCCGACTGCCTTAGGCTGATCCCAGCTCTGTCGATATGTCGGCATCAGAACCAGCAGCCGCAAGCTACGGTAGTCATTGCAATCTTCGTGGTATCTTTTGGATAGCCAGAAGGTTTCGACGCGCCGCTGCCAGTATTGGCCGGCAACAGGGCATGGCCATCGAGAGGCTCGGACTTGGATGTCCTTGACTGCGAACAAGTGGGATAGCTGGAGCAGATAAACCGATGTCAGCGCATGTTGGTTTCTTCCCTTTCGGTTCTTTCCCCGTGAAAACCGCAATGGAGGATCTCTAGCTACGCGACTGAGATGTCATTCAATGATTCTATCGAGCTTCCTTAGGTAGAGTTTTCTGTAGAAGGGCATTGAGATGGTTCCGCCAATCTCTGTTTCTACGGTAGCTACTTGCTTGGGGATCGTTCATGTTCTGGCGTCTTGGAGGACAGCCTAGCAGCATTGCTTCCACTGATCATCCTTTCATCATGATTGTCCGGGTTTCTCAGTGTCCGTACCAGTGTCGTGTTGTCAGACATCGTTCGAACCCGTACTTCCAAACAAACATGTCAGCTGCTTGAAGCTACGGTACAAGTAGCTGAGCCCGAGCTCCAGAGCGAAAGAAACGAAAACGCCCCACGGGTCGTAGCAAGGGTCGACCTCCTTGGTTTGTTATGATACAAGCGAGCACTGAGCGGCAACCTCATGCCTCTCGGAGCAACGCCCTTTCCCGAATCGGCCATGAAATCTCCGTAGTATCTGATCGTGAGAAGGGGAGAAAGACAAAGTCCGTATCACATGCACCGTTCAAGAGCCCCGAGAAGTGACCTGATCTGCGTCGCGGTTGGCATACGATTCGACCATTCCATTCCTCTGGTCAACTTGTCCCTCTCTTGGCACCGTTAGCTACTTGCATTACTAGCTACCTGGTAGCTAGCATCGCTTGTGGAACCTGAGCCGGCGACTCCTTCATCGCTTTTGTGCACTTTTCACCATTGTTTTCGTACCGTTCTTCCCCTGAAGTAGAGCGAAGAGATAAAAGGTGCATTGAAACCGGTCCTCCTAGCTAGCAACCTGTACCGTGCAGCGAAGATGGCTCTTGTTGATGCTGAATGATGAATCGTTTAGTGCCTTGTGCCTTACGTCTTCACTCGCGTCTCTGCAATTGAACACAATGTCATGGCCACGGCCTAACGATATCCAGAATGGAATCCATGGGAGCATTGCAACGTTCAAAATCCGTGGAGCTACGCCCTGCTTGCTTCATCAACTGGCCAAAATGCAATCTCTTGTCTTCCGCCGTCGTCTATCTCGTTCAACGAGCCATGCAATGGTTCCTGGAACATGTACCGGAGGCTCATACCCTCCCCTTGTCACCGTGAAGGGCTTACAGGAAGGAAAAGCCAGCACTAGTCCCACTGTAGGCTCGCCACAGGAAGTGGTGGCCGTGCTATAGCAACCTCGAGGGAAGCAACAGCCTACCATAGCTAGCTAGCTAGAGGAGGCCACGGCAAACCCACAATGGCGCCATGCTATGGAGACAAACTACTGTACCCTCTAACCCTAACCATGACACGATCCTGTATCTTTTCGTCGGGCTTCTCTTCGTCGTCGGATGAAACCAAATCATCACTCATGGAAGGTCTTCTCACTCCTCCAAACTCTTCCAGTATTGATCCTTCCCACTATTACCGTATATTGAGAATAGACTCCATAGAAGCCAACAATGAAGCTTTTACCCGTAAGGACCACGTTGTTTTTAGTAGCTCTATTGGCCAGCAGTTTCCCACGCGGTGCGAATGGTTTCATTGCAACACATCGTCCACTACCGGTTGCATCCATAGCGTCAACAAGATTATTCGAGACATCCGAGGAAAAGTCCAGCAGTAATGAAGTCCCTGATCTCGCTGGAAAAGATATTTATCAACGAGCCTTCTATCGACTCTCTCCTTTTTCAGAGGTGGAGAATTTCAGTAATGTCGTTGTCGAAGAACGAGTCCGATTCAAGCCTGACCCAGAAAAGGGAGAAACAAGCATCAAGCCAGTGGGCCCTCGGACCTTAATCCTTCGTGATGGCAACGTCGAAGAGGGACAAATCGGGAATGAGTTCTTTGAGATAAATATCAAGGAATCTCTATCGGAGGATGCTACCCATGGAGGAGCAGGGAGGGACTCAGATATTGAAGGTATCATTGCGACAGTTTTGTATCTGGCAGCCAATCCCAAGTGTATTGAAGGAGATGTTTTGGAAGTTGGTTGTGGATTAGGCTTGGCTGGTTTACTCGGATGCATTGGTGTCGGTGCATTGGAAGCAACAGTGCATGGAGATGCAGAAGAAAAGGAGGATGCTGAGGAATCCGCCGACAACACCGAATACGAGGACATCTTGACCATTCCCAAGAGTACAAAAATGACGGATGAGCTGTTGTCTCTAACCCTCTCAGATCAAGATACGCAAGCTTTGACATTAGCTGCGGCCAACGTGCATGTCGCACGTGTTCCAACAAGTCAAGTATCAGTGGAGGAGATTCCCTGGAGGACACGAGCTTTTCTAAGCCACAATACCTCCCCCAAACCATACCACACAATCATTGCCTCCGATTTGAACTACAATTTCCCCGAGGCCAAGGAACTGGCTCGTTGCGTAGCTCGTAGATTGGAAGCCTTGTCGGATTGGGAAGGCATCAAAGGCGATTCCAAATCCCCGCCGAAATTTGTGCATGTCTGTCCTGATCGACGGGATGTAAACTTTTTGCAACGCTTCCTCGCAAAAGGATATGCCATGGATGTCAAGTCGGGCTACCTAAAATTGGAAAAGTTGATCTTCAAGTTCCAAGTTTTGCCAGAATCAGAACCAGAATCCAAGCTGGATGACTTGGAGCTGGAAGTCCAAGACTTGAAGGAAGTCATCTATCAATCACTGACAGCTATTCACGACCCGATGTATGCTCAAGGAACTGGGGATTACTTCTTTCCCATGGAGAACGGCCAATACGACAATGCTGGAGCGCAAACATACATGGAACCAGAGTCAGATGGCACCAAGAAGTGGTAGAATAGAACGCGGCTGGTCATATTGTAGGTACAACCTGCTAATATTGCAGCATAAGTAGTATCTTCGAACCCGCGAAAATGCAACCGTAGAGGTGGTACAGCAACCTGTACATGTAGCTAGATCAACCGCTTTCCTTGCATCAGTACGTACGGCATTTCGCTAGCATAGAGCAAAGAATTGCAGTAGTCAGCTCTTTGGTTTACTTGGGTGGGTGGGGGGTGCCTCGTCCTCCAAGGGATCGTCAAGCGCGCCAGTACGGTGGCGCTTACAGAAGCATTTTCCTGCCACTACATCGTACTGTAGCAGTGTGGGCCAAGCAAATGGCCCCAGAGCGCAAGCTAGCTATTGACCAAAGCAAATCTATCTGATCCCCTGTGACTACAAGTAGAATTTGCCTTTGTAATACCTACTAGTAGTGGGCTTAGAGATGATAAAGTGAATTGATTGGGATGACTTGGCCACCAGAGATGAAGCAGAGACGACCACAAATGTTGGCTCCATGACTTGGCCAAAGTTCTCTTGTATTTTCCTCTTTTAGATAGTGCATCCATTTGTAAACTTGGTTAGTTGGCCTCATCGAGGTAATCCTGAATCTGTTCTGGAGTCAAGACTTTGAATTTTCCATCCTTTTGACTTGCGACACCGACTTGAATGTTGTGCGCATTCATTTCCCCCTCGAATCCTTCACGAAGCGTGAGAAGAGCCGTGTGAATGGCATCTTCCAATTCCATATCCTCGGTGTATCGTTTTTCGAGAAAGTTTTTGGCATTGAGATGATTTCGTCCAATGGCGGTGGCCTTCCAGGCAAAGTAGGTTCCGGAAGGATCGACTTGGTAGAGATGAGGAGATCCATCGGCCTTGTCAATGCCTCCCACAAGGAGACTGATTCCAAACGGACGAACGCCACCGCGTTGCGTGTACTCTTGCATGACATTGGCAGTTCGCTTGACCAATTGCGAGACAGGCTGGATTTCTCCGTACATGCGCATATAGGCTTGAGACGACTTGCGAGATCGTCGGACTGTGGAATTGAAATGAAGAAATCCAAACGATGAGTGAGCCAGAGTAAACAAACAGACACACCATACCATCCTCAGTGACACAATATAATTCTATACTCACCCAAAACTCGATAATCCGGTCCCACTCCAGCATAGCAGAATCCTGTGGTAGGAGTGATCTCCTCAATCTTGTGCACCTGTTCGACATCGACCAGTTCACTGGATAGTTTCTTCTCGGTAGCAATCACCACTCCATCCTTGGCACAAATGCCCAACGATGTACGACCATTGGCCACGGCATTCAGAGCATATTCAATCTGCAAGAGCTTTCCAGTCCTCGAGAAGGTCGTCAGTGAGAAGGAGTAGGCAGAGTCACCCATGGTGCTTGTTGTAGAATTTGGTAAGACAGATGGTGAGCGGCAGCAGCGACAAACAACGATGGCTGGATTGTGCCATGGCCGTCGACACTCGAGGTCGTCCAAGATCTCGTCCGAAGGCGATGGAAGTGGCTCGGGACTGCCATTAGGGATTGAGTTTTGTTCAGTGGGCCTCAAAGATATTTATCTTTTGTTTTTTGTTGTTCACTGGGCCGTTCACGGGACGTCGTCCTTGGCCATTGATGGTGGCTTCCAACTTCCCACATCACATCCATCCGCTAATCCATCATTTTATTCCTTCTCCCTCTGAAAGAAAGTCGAGACGAGGGGATGATGATGCCACGAATGTCCTGTCTCTTGATATTGGCAGTGGCCACAGTGCTGCTTGACAAGCCAACGTATGGATTCCTTGGCAACCACCTTTTGTTTGGCTCCTTGAAAAAGAACAAGCTCCAACAAACGCTTTTTCGTTCCACAACCAGTCCATCCCCTCCTTCGGTACAACACCAAAAAGACGATGATGATGATGAGGATACAGCAGCTCATCTCCTTCGATCCGTGACAATCTGCAACATTCCAAGAGATCAAGAACCAGAATTACTCTGTGACTTTCTGATGGAGATTGGCGCCTGTTCCACGGCCATTACCGACTCGGATCGAGGCACCGATCGAGAACAACCACTCTTTGGAGAGCCCTTGAGCAATAGAGATCCCTGGCAGGACAGTTTGCAGTGGGCCGCGCCTATTTGGAATCGATGCAATGTCACGGCTCATTTTCCCTCCAGTATTGATCTACAGGGAATTGTAGAACTGATTGCAGACGTCTTTCCGGACCAATATCCTCTTCAGGAATATGCCGTCGATCAAGTGCCGAATCGAGATTGGGTGGTCCATGTACAACAATCTTGGAAACCCATTCTGATTGGGCCCTATGTACTCCGATTTCCATGGCATTCTCGACAGGATGTAGATCAAGCTATTCAGGACAACAATAATCCAGACAACCACAACAAAAACAACGATAAGCGAGTAGAACTTCTATTGCAAGGTGGCATTGCCTTTGGGACGGGAGAGCATCCAACCACACAACTATGTATGGAATGGATTCACCATCAAGTCGACAAATTGTTGCAGTCGTCGTCATCATCATCATCAGCAGCAGCACAACAACAACCAATCACCATTATGGACTATGGAGCTGGCTCGGGAATTTTGGGCATGGCGGCTTGTGCATTGGATCGCCAACGAGTCAGGGCCATTGGCGTGGACATTGACGTGGATGCCATTCACATTGCCAATGCCAATGCAGCTATCAATGGCGTCAACATGCAATCCTATTTACCACCACTCGTGGAAACTGCTGACGATGAATCCAAAAGCCTCCTCTTGAAGGCCCATGCACATGCCCAAAAACAGCTGCAGGGCGATGATGATGATGATGATTCCAGCAGTGATGCATGTAGTAATCTAGTCTTGTCCAAAGACCTTGGAAAAGCCGTCTACGACATGGCCGTGGCCAACATCTTGGCGGGTCCCCTGGTGGCACTATCCTCCACAATTGCCTCCTTGGTTCGTCCAGGGGGGCAACTGGCCATGAGTGGAATTTTGACACAGCAAGCCGACATGGTGGTGGATGCCTATAAAGAGTACTTTGAAGACGTCAAGGTGGAACGGGAACTAGATGGTTGGATTCTTGTCACAGGTGTGAGGAAACAACAGTGAATGAAGAGCTTGTGTCTACTCGGGGGATCGTAAAGTTAGAGTCAAGCTACAACTAACTGTTAGGAGCCGACGTAAGAGAGCATCCAACGACAATCCTTGTTTCATGTTTGATTTGGGGAGAGCAGTTTCGACAATTGCTGAGCGCTGAGTGGATGCTTGCAACGATTTTATAGTCAGCTTACTTTCAAGGGGAAAGCAACCAGAATGCCCAAAGCTTTACTGCAGTACCTTCTTAAAACATACAAGTAGTATTGGATGACACACGAATGTAATCATCATTCCTGCTTTGCAATGGCTAAGACCAACCAATGGATAGATGTCAGCAAATTGTTGCTGCTTATCCCATGGTACTCGTTTTCCACTGGTAGACTCTCTGCAGAATGATATTGGCAGCCACATTGACATTCAGAGAGGCCGTTCCATTCCCATACTGCGGTATTCTCACAAACCCATCACAGTCATCCTGTTGCTTTTGACTCAACCCCTGTCCCTCGTTTCCCATTAAAAATGCAATGTGCGAGTTGTCGTTATTGTTTTCCCCTCTAACTAAATAATGATCGATTGGCTTGGCATCCTTGTGAATTTCAACCCCAATCAAGCGAATGGATTGCTGCTGAACATACTCGACAAACTCGGCCCACTTGTCAAAATGTCTCAGGAACATTCCCATTTTTCTTGGTGGCTGTTGTTCTGTGGATGTGGATGCAGATGCGGATGGAAACACGTGGTCTTGAATGGCAGAAGGTATACCAGGGCCCTTCGGATCCAAGTTGAAATTCTTCTGGCCAACTACAAAGACACCATGGCAGCCAAATGCTGCGGCAGTGCAAAGTAGATTTCGGACATTGGGTCGCTTCTGGATGTTGTGGATCACCAAGTAGAAGTAATATTGGTGGCCATCAGCATTGGAAACATCTTCCACAGAGGAGGCCTCTGGATGTGGTCCTGCTTCTGCTTTCTCTTCGGATGCTCCTGATGACATGCTGTTAATCTTTCCTGGCTGTGAAAACTAGAGTGGTCCTGGGGTGGAAGGGTCTTTCCTGCTACTAGCTGGCTAGACTAGCTACCGTTAGCTTGCCGGATTGGAGTTTCTGGGCTGTTCAGAGTGAGTGTGTTGGTCCGCTTCGGTTGGTCGGTTGGAGGTGTGAGAAACGGGATTCGATAGTAACCAGTCAGTGACTAAAAGTCATTTTCTTCTCCGAATTGTGCGGTTCCCAAGATACTTCGCGATCGACGACCGACGGCGCTGTGGCAATGCCTCTTGCATTGATCGTAGATAAAGGACCGCTTGAATTCTCATAGCCAACAGCATTTTTGGAGCTTGTAGTAACAAGAGAAGCCAATAATTCATCCATCAGCCAGGAGACAAGAGGTAAGCCAGAGCTCAAGTGGATCAAACAAAGATGATGATAATAATGGCGGTAGAACAGGGGTATCTCGTGGGTATTTCTGTTCTTTTCTGTTCAGGATGATTTTGCAGGTTCTGACTCACTGATATCTGTCCCTCACTGAATATCTGTCCTCTTTCCCATTGTTTTGTTTCGTTTCGTCCATTGATCTTCTGTTTAATTCATTACTCCACTATTGGCAGCAGGTTCCAATAACTCCCCCATCAAGCAAACTAGAACGAACGCAACAAAATGAAAATCTCTCAGACACTTCTCCTGGTGTTGACTACATTGGTAGCCGTGTGGGCTCAGGAAGAGCACCATCAAGAGCAGCACCATCATGAAGCTCCACCACCACCGAACTGCGACGCCATTTGCGAAGAAAAAGTTCGACAAGCGGTTCAACCAGTTCAGGACGAAAAAGTCCGTGCGGAAGAATGGGGACATGGAGTGAAAAGAGAACTCGATGAAGCCTACAATAAATTGCGAGCAGCAGAAGGACAGGTGGAACAGTTGCGCAACCAGCTTGGAGAACAGGAACGTAGAGCTGCCGATTTTGAACGTTCCTCCAATGACCTACGGGGAAATCTAGAAAACACCCAACGTGATTTGGACGGCTCCCGACGAGAATTGGAAGGAGCTCGACGAGAATTGGACCAAATGAAGCATGATCATCAGGTCGAAGTCGAGGATTTGAGGACAAAAACAGAAGAATCCACTCGTTCTCTTGGTAGAATTCAATTTGCTTTGGATGAAGCTCACGATCAAGTCAAAGAAATGGAAAGTGCCAGAGTTACCGTGAATTTGAAGGGAATTGCAGATGACGTGAAGGTCTACTGGAAAAATTTGCTGACTTGGTGGACTGGCTTGGTCATGCCCGACAAGAAAAACGATGAGGACCTCTAGAAAGTCACTGGACAGAACCTGTATAGAAACGTTGGAGAGGATATTTATGGCCGAAAAGCTGTCTCTGGAAAGGGTTTTGCATTGGTACAGGTAGGAAGCCCCATACAATAATGAATGTTCAGCGCTATGTATTTGGTTTCAGTGTTGCTTGGCATTGGGTATCTGAGACGAACCTGGCATTCCAATGTTCAAATCCGTGAATCTGCTTTTGAGACAATATGTTCTAGAGAGATCAGCTGTGAAAGTGTATCATGGGAGTCTCCTGTTTGTGCAACCGTCACCTAATGATGGATTTGAAGCCGACTTTTAGTTGCTCGCTAAATCCAGGCCTTCGTTGTTGTGAGCCTTCTGATACTGCAGTAGTATCTGCTTCTGAAGGGTGCACCACGCAGACAACTTGTCAAGGCGGTAGTACTGTGTGGCTTGAGATGGGCTGGACATGACTCCCGCCATTCCATCCAGGCAACGTTTGCCAAGCGAAAGCGTCTCTATTGTCAAGCCAAATACTCTGACATGAAGCGGTTCAAGTACGGTTGTTGAAAACTGAGGTTTGGATCGATGGAGGCCGCCGTCTTGTTGCTGATACAAGTCCCATACTGTAGTGTAGCTCAAGAGATCAGAGACTATAATAAATGGCGGGCACACACAACATAATATGATGGCCTCTTTTTGTGTATGTGAGTTGACGTTCGTTGTTCGTTGTCGCTACTAGCTAGTACGCAATGGATTTGCGCCCTTAGTACGTGCTGTTGAGTGCCCAACGGATTCGCGCTGTGAAGTACATGTAGTTGCAGCCCCATCGAACGAGACTTCGGTTGTCAGGAAGGAGTGTCGGACTCTTCACACAACTCGAAGCAACCACTGCTCGAACATATCATTTCTCAATTACTACCTACAGTACTAGCTGTCTTACGGATACAAAACACATCAACATTGTTGGCAGTAACATGTTTGTGCAGTAAAAAGAGGTCAACTACTAGTGTAGAGTACGGTAATAGCTGTGAGTGCTCATTCTGTACAAGCATGCATAATCTCTTCTTCGAATGGAAAAGATACTAGCTACATGTTCTATGATTTGGCTCTGGCTTCTGCCTGCTGAAGTAAATTTGTTTACCATCCTTCTGGCATGCCTGGGACACTTCCTGGGATGAAGTAGTTGGCGATGAATCCACCCATACCGATCATAGCGAGACGTGCGTTCTTCAATTCCTTGACTGCCATGTCTTCCTGTTCTGCGGCGGACATTTTGCCCCACTGTCCAGTCCAGTCAATAGCAGCTGGGCCGTCACCAGTGAAGGACTTGCCCTCGGCTTCAGCACGGTACTTGATGCCCTCGATGGCACCACAGAAAATAATCCATTGTGCCCACCATTGGGGATCGGCTTCCATGATGGCCTTGATGGGGTCAAGTGTGGTCACATCGTCCGATTCGAAGGTACCAACGTATTTGGGCCAGAGCCATCCGACGGTGGCCAACATGGCGGAACGTCCATTGGACAATTCAGCCTTGCGAAGGTGGTCAACGGGAGCCCATTCAGCCAAACCAGCGGGGTCGAACTGTCACGGGAGAATCGAATCAAGCAAGATCGCATGGTATGGTTAGAACCAGAAAGCACAGACCTAAGAAGGGGTATCAGTAGCAGTGGTTATACTTACGACCTGTCCTGCGGTTTCGGGGCCAGCACCACTTCGGAGTCCAGCCAATTCTTCGGTAGCCGCCAAACGGGTGGAACTACTGGTGCCAGTTTGGGCAGGGGCAAAGGCGGACGCACCCGAGACGGCGAGGAGGATAGCGCAGAAGGTCTTCATCGTGAAATTGTTTTCTGATCCGAAAATGATAGCCTTGAGCGGTAGGTGACGACCGAGCAGAGGACAACAGAACCAAGAACGCAAAGGCAAAACGTTGGAAACGCCATTGAACTTGAAAGATCGGGAGAAGTCACGAGTGGGACTCGACTAATCATTCCAGCCAGTAAAGCAGCAAAGCAGCAAATGTGGTGGAGCCAACAAGTCGCTCTCCCCTCCCAAAAGGCCGAGGGCGGTGCACAAAAACAATGGATACATTGGTACTGTACCGGTACCGGTACCAGTACCGCACAACCGGCAAGATGTTCGATTTCGTTCATACTGCTTATCAACGAGCTCATTTTCAAATGTCTACTGGTATACGATACAAGCTGGAATGATACTGCACCATAGCCAGACATTGAAAAATCCAAAAGGTTAGCGCAGCTACCCTACCGTGCCGTACCTTGCAGGTATACAAGTTCTTTCCTCACGAGTGATCCCGAGGCTCAATCCAGCCGATAGTTGTGTACCGATAGCTACTACGATAGCTATCTAGTGGCTCGCTGTAGGGTCTGTTGCATCCCTGGCTGTCCTGCAATCTCCCCACCAGCATCCTCTCTTGGTTGACTTCACTTGCTTGTCTGAGCTCTGGTCTGCAAAGTGCCGTACCGGTGGCTAGCGCAGCCGCGAAAAACCAAAGCCATTTTCCGAGCTGGGTTTGTTGACGACTTGCTCGCAGGAGTTGCTATAAAATTGGCTTTCATCTTTTTGAGTGACGTGTTCTTAGTTGAGTCAGGCGTCAACGTCGTGCCATTGGATTCTTTCTTCAAGCGTTTGCTGTTTCTTTTCTCCTTGGGTTGTTTTCTGACACCCAGCCAATCATGTGACCCGCCAACTAGCTAGAGCTACGGTAGCAATGCTAGCTAGCTAGAGAGGTAACTCTACAGTATCACAAGAAAGTAATAAACCAGTCCGAGTTTACAGGGTCGCCGTGTATTTGGGTCTGGTGACACCTGTCAAATAGAAAGGTTTCAGAGCCGCAAAATAGAAGAAATCCACATAAGATCAAAGCCATTCACCAACCAACAATCCTTATTGTTATACCAGGCTATCGCCTCAAAATCACCACCGCACCAAAGCGAAACGACCACCGCCGCCACCATGGCGTCATTCATTACACTTCCGGAAGTGGAGATTCCTGTGCCGAGAATGTTGTTGTCCATCTTGGAACTTGGGCAAGAAGCGGTTTCCACCATGTCGGAATGGTTCCATCTGTCGCCGGAACTCTATGAGCATTTGAGAGCCAATGCGCTGCTCCTGTTCGGTGTTTCCATCATTTTTTGGCCGCTCTTGCTCTCCTTGATCACTACCTTTACTGTCATGGGGACATGGACCTTTTGGCTCTTTACGACTTCCGTCTTTGGGCTGCTCCAATTGTTCTATGTCATCTATCAATTTATCATGATTACACTCGACATTATGGGACTCTCGGTCCTCAAGACATACACCATGCTGCGCAATCGCCTTCTCAACTATGTCGGCAAGGCGGGGACCTTTGATAAATCCAGAAGTCGCCGATTGGTCTGGAAAGAGCGCTTGGAACAGGCCACCAGCTACGAAGATTTCCTCAAAATTCAAATCGAATCTCAAGACCCACAGCACAAAAAGCCAGAACGCCGCAAGTCAGATCCAGCCATCATGATGAGAAGCAGCAGCTTTGGAAACATGGAGGGCCTCGATTCACCCAAGGGCATGAGTCGAAACAAATCCTACACGTCACTAATGACGGCGGCATCGGAGGAAGAACAACACAACAATCTTCACATTGATCCAGAAGTTTGTGAAGAATTGGGCGAAATGTCTGCTGTCATGCTCATGACCACAAAACAGAGGCTCAAGGAAGCTCGACAAACAGCTGTCAAACACGAGGACGACTTTGAAGCAGCATCCACTTTGAAGCAGTTACTCCAGGGAGTCGTCAAACGCAACCACTTAAACGTCGACCAGTTTCTCATAAAGAATGCACGGACCGTCGCTTATTCGGGGCAGTATGGACTCTCAGCTCAATCCAGAAAGGTGGTTCACGCGTACTTTGATGAAGTTGAAAAGGGCTTGGACTGGATTGCTGATGCACCCATTCCCGAAGAACCCGCATCACCCAATAATGCTAGCATCATGGAGGTCGACGAGTCCTCCGAAGGTGGTGGCATGATGGAGTTCTCCGTTACGAAAATGAAACAACGCACTGCCGAACTGAACGATCGTATGAACCTTGTTCGAAAGATCAAGGCCAATGTCGGCCGAACTAGTCTCATGCTCAGTGGAGGTGGAGCGCAAGCTATGTATCATCTCGGTGTTGTCCGAGCTCTCATCGAAGCAGATGTCTACCAGGGAATCAAGGTCATCTCCGGAACTTCCGGGGGCAGCATTACCGCAGCCATGTGTGCACTCAAGACGCCTGAAGAACTTCACAGGGATGTTTGTGTCCCAACAATCAGCACAGACTACATGCTTACCGGAGAACAAGCGGAAAAGAATTTTCGGTGGTTCCCAACGGTACGAATGGTAGCAAGGCAATTTTCACGATCGCCATCATGGTCTCCAATTTCTCACATTTACATTGGTTTCATTATAAACGACACAGCTTACTGACATGGGAAAGTATTGGCTCAAAACCAAACTCATGGTGGACAGTGCGGTGAGTGTATTCATGTTTGCAACTGACCTTTTCAATCACATCCCTCACTCATGCGGCTTTATTGCAGCTTTTTCGACGAACGTGCGAGTTCTATTTCAATGACACCACCTTTGAAGAAGCATTTGAGCGGACTGGCAAACATGTTTGCATCACTGTGTCGGCAAGCAGATCCAGCGATGGAGCGCAGCGTCTTTTGCTGAATCATATCTCGACACCACACGTGACCTTGGCAAGTGCTGTGGCGGCTAGCTGTGCATTGCCTGGCGTCATGGCTCCTGCCAAATTGATGGCCAAGAATGGTTCTGGGGTTCTCCAGCCTTTTGAGGTGAGTTGATTGACTGATAGGACGTGTCGCCCGAGTGTCTCTGTTTCTGACCTTGTACCTTTTACTTTTAGGTGGACGGAATGGAGTGGATTGATGGTTCCGTTCAGGCTGATTTGCCCTTTCAGAGAATTTCCACTCTCTTCAATGTTTCCAATTACATTGTGTGCCAGACTAATTTCCACATTGTCCCGCTTCTGAACAAGGCGCATCATCCTGGGACACAAACTTTTTACTGGAGAATGTTCCAGCTGTTGGAATGGGACGTTCGGAATCGCGCATTGCAATTGAGTCGTCTCGGCCTCTTTCCCAAAATGTTTGGACATGACGTTTCAAAGGTCTTCAAGCAGAGATACCACGGAGACCTAACCCTTGTGCCGCGCTTCTCAGTTGCCCAGAGTTTTGGCTTAAAGACTCTTAGCAATCCTACCGTTGAGGATATGGAAGAATACCTGAAGTGAGCTACCTTCCGCATCTTTGTTTTTCACTGCCAATCTTGTCTATCTAACTGAATTGACAATCCTGTTCTCTTTTAGGTATGGCCAGATTGCGGCATGGCCGTATCTGAAGTGAGTAGAATATACAGGAGGAGTCCCATCTGACATGTTTTGAATTCACTTTCTCATGTGCTTTGTGTCTGTCTGGATTCTTGCAGCGTTATTCGCAACATGCTGCGCTTTGAAAGGGCTCTGGATGGCTGTTTGACACGACTTGAAGAGCGCTATCGAGATTTGCACCCAGACATTGACTGGTCAGCACACGACGAGATTGAATCGATTGCGTCCGCTTCAGGATCATTCCCGACATCGTCCATTACCCCTAGTCGCGTTAGGTTCGGAGGCCATGTAGTGCAAGAGAGAAAAGCAGAGAAGCTGCGCACAAAGGTTATCACCCTGGAGCAAGAGAATCAGAAGCTCAAACAACAATTGCAGCAAATGGAGAAGCTTATGGCGATCAACGGTGCCAAAGCATCAATGGAGCGAGAGAAAGACGGAGAAGAGAAGAAGACCTTGGATGAAGGAAATGTCAACGAGCTTTCTGAAGGCGCTATCTGGAATCTGGTTCGGTCGAGCTAAACCGCCCATGTTGGATCGAAATCGAAGCTAGCTAATGGCATGGCTATTGATTTCTTAATCGCAGCCATCCTTCAAAGTAGAAGTGTAATAGTAAGTTTATTTTCGCACATGCAATTTTTGAAAATCAATGTTCTGAAGCGCGCGTCGTCGATCTCGGTAGTTATCAGTCGATCGATAGAATGGGTTGTGCGCGAGTGGAATGCAATGACAACAGGGTGATCATACGTCTTCCTCTTCTAACAGAGCTCGATCATCTTGCTTCTTTACTCTCGTTCGAGTCTGTATCCGCCGTGCGTATCGTCGACGGCAAATTCAGTTCGTCCACGGACGTGTTCTTTGTGCTCAAACAAGGAGTTGGGGATAAGCCCCGTTTGCATATCCATGGCAATCTGGCTCTTGTCCTTGACAACTCGAGCTTGGTGGATCAAGTGTTGACGTCGCTCACGGTAGTCTTGCTGCTCTTGCAGGGCTAGCTCAACGACATCCTCGCCGCCAACTGCCCAGACTTCTAATACTGCGATATCGAACGTCTCCAGAGCATCATCAGGGAGAAGATTACCGCTTTGATACGTCTTGTCATGGAAGGCGGCTACGCAATGTTCAAAGGATTCAGGTATGAACAAGCGTGGTTGGTCGGGGCTGCCACCAAATCCTAGGCCGTACCGTCCCTGATAACCAATCGATATCTTCTGCTTGCTCATGCTTCGTGTGGACAAGAAGGCAAAGTTCTCTTCATGACCCTCGGGTCTATACAAGGCAAGGCTGGGCTCCAGCTGGAACAGGAAACCTTCCGAGTCTCCTAGAATACGTGAAGTCTCTTTCCATTCCATTGTCGTGTGCACTCCCAGGGCAGCTGATGAAGTCGTCCTGATGAGGACAACCGTTGGGCCTGTATACCCCAGCAAAGACCACTCAAGGCGATTGAAGCAGCACCCGTCTACGTCAGACGAGAACAACCTTTGCCACTGTTGGCCAATCGACGCGATGGTCAGAACATAGCGCGCAAAGCAAGGTAAACAAGTGCAATACTATTGAGCTCAACAACGCATATCATACCTTTCCACTGAGGCTTTGGCTTGCAAATGACAAGGGCATAAGGAGAGAAGAAGCCTCAGTGCCGAATACTTTGCTGGCCACAGACAGGTTCGGGGGCACGAAAAGCTTTTGAACAGGGTCGTGGTGAAAGAGCACATGATTGACAAAGCCCATCAACGGGGTCGAGAGACAAGAGAAGTTATTTTCAGCCCACTCGACAAAGGCATCCTTGTCCAACTTCTTCTGGGCGCAGTAGGCACTTAGAGATTTCGCCATGCTGACTATGCATGGCTTAACATTCCTAAGCCTTGCTGCGACCAAGTCTTTGTCGAGGTTAGGCGCAGCAACGGCTTCTGAGGCTATGCCCAGAGCAATGCAGAGCTCCAAGAGCCCCTCCGCTGTCGCATCCTCTCCAAGGATAGTGTACAGCACCCGAAGTGCTTCTATAGTTCCTTTTCTTCCTGTTGCTCTTGCGAGACCGTCCAACAGCGTCTCCAAGGAATCATCAATACCTTGATTGGCAAAGCCCACAAATGTATTTGTAGTCACAGCAAAGAAGAATCCTTTACTGAAGTTTCGGGGAAGCACGTTCTTTTCGAGCCACTCAACACGGCCCCGAAGCTCGTCGCCAGGCAAAAAGAACACTGAGTAAGGGAGCGCTTGAGCCATGGTCGTGAGGAAAGTATGGGCACGACTTCCACCGTTTAGCTGGTCATGGCATCGGGTTATGATCTCCAGCTCCTGTTTGGTGAAGGGATATCTCTCCTGTAGTTTGGAGATGGTTGTATCTGTTACTACGATTTGTGTCATCTTGTGCTTCTGGCTGTCCACTTTGAAAGGGGTGGTTTTATGAGGGCAACAGAGCATGGCTGCATTTGATATGATAAGGATGCCTGGTATGATGCTTCGTTTGTCACTGATTGCATTGTTCGTGTTCGACGACGGTTCTCGAGGACTTGGGAATCAAGAAGTCGTGCGGTAGATAGAGCGGTACCGGTCCGAGGTGGTATATCGGAACCAACCTACCTGTGTCAAGTTTCGGAGGCTTTGACTCATCGCAATTGGCAGGAGAGTGGAATTCTTTGCCTGCCTTGGCATACATGATAAAGGTTGGATAACATGGGATGCCCAAACAGAGCCCATCCATTGCCGCCACCTAGCTAGCTAGCTGGTAGCTAGCTAGGACCGGCCACCATGTGACAGTCGAGACAGTCGAGACAGTCGAGTCGAATCAGTCATTTGGAAATTGCCGGATTGGGGATGCCCATTGCCCTGCATTGTATTTGATAGCGTTTTTTGTAAAAGTGTCTGTGAAAAAGCGAATATTTGTTTTGGGCTGCAATTTTTCTATTGGATTAGATCGGATTGGATTGAATTGAATTGGATTGCATTGAATTCCAGTTTACTATACAAATAACAGTACTATTTGAAATCCAATTCAATCCAATTCAATCTAATCCAATGCAATCTTTAGAATAACCCAATTGAATCTTGAAAATCTTCATTTTATCTTTTTTCTGACATTCTGAGTCACTCCTGTTGAGTACATGTACACTACAGCGCTATCCGGATGCTAGCTACTATGCATAGTAGCGAGATTTGCCCATCCCCTTTGAGTGACTGACTCAGTCGAATGAATCGAATCTAAACTCATCGAATCTAGATTCGAATTTAGAATCACAATCCGATGAATCGAGTCGAATTTTTCAAGAGAGAGTGATGACGGTGATGACTGTCGCTCGATGCTCGATGCCTCAAACTGACTAACTGATTGCAGAAAGCAAAACGATCGGGTTTGACATTCCAGGTCCTACAATGTCGTGGCAGCTGCCATGTTGATCATGAGCAGCTGCCATTGAAGTGGGCAGTGGTGCGCTTTGGTCAGGAAACGTACTTGAAGAACAGTGGTTCCTTTTGCCATCTGGAGGCGCCTTTGTTATTCAATTGAATGGTATGCAAGGGCTGTTTGAAAGGCAATAGGTGTCACCACGGAAGCCTTCGCTGTCAGAGCGCCAGCTGCTGACAATGCCACGCAAAAAGTGACAGGGGCAACGGCGACAAGGCGAGTCGCGGCACCAATAAAGATTGCTGACTGTTGGTGCCTTGGCAACCGCAAATGGGTTCAGGTGTTCAGGTCCTCTGGAAGTGCAGGCTGAGAAGGCCCTGTTGGACAGGAGGCAGCAGGTTTGCCGGTTGCGTCAGCTTCTGCAGCCGGAAGCCAACTTCCATGCAGCTGCCGAGTTTTTTCATGGTTGTGGGCAAAGAGGTAGTGCCCATCACCTTCCCAGCAACCAACGAGTTGGTACTAGTACCGTACCAACCACCGGTAGCTACTAGCTAGCCGCTAGCTAGTAGAACCTTTAGCACAAAGAGCAACAACATTTCCCGGTGACGAGCTATTGAAACTACGGTACCATGGTACCGGTATCAGCTACAAGATCTCTAGCTAGCTAGCTAGCTAGATACTCAGCTCCGGTAGCTTTCCAAAAAAATTGAGTTTCGCAACCCCCTCCACTCTCGTACTATGACATACTACATGTTCCTTTACCAGGAAAGTCCCGCAAAAACTGAGTTTTTGCGATACTCTTTAATTAAACAGCTTGATTGTTGAATAAATCCAACAAGTGTTGAAAAAGTGTTAATTAAAGTGTTGAAGATCTGTTGATTTAATGTTGATCCGTTTCAACAACTGTTGGATTTACTGTTGATTTTTGTACATTATTTTCAACACTTTTACTGTAAGTATCTACTAATGGATTCAACATCTGTTGAATTCAGTGTTAAACAGTATTCAACACTGTTGAAAAAGTGTTGAAAAAGTGTTTAAATAAGTGTTGAACAACTGTTTAAAAAAAGTCAACACTGTTGAACTCAAATTCAACACTTTTACAGATCCTTTCAGCGATTCCAGCTTTTGCGGGACTTTCCAGTACTACCGGTAGTACTACCAGTATGATACCGGTAGTCTGTGTGTACATGTACAGCGTGGAGTAACTGTTGCGGTGTTACGGTGCTCGTTCGGGATCTCCAAGATTGATGTTTCTACAAGGAATGATGAATTCTATGTCATAGCAGATGCCAGTTAGAAGGTCTGACGTTCCCTGGCCATTTGGCCTGTGGCAGCTGCCACCTTCATTAGGGCACCCGAGATATCGCTTCCCTACAAGTGCAACTGTCGAAAGCCCACGTCATAGCTCGCGGTGCTCGCCCCCCTCCATCACAATAAAACGCACACCCTCATCATACGGTGCTAATCACTCATCACTCATCGATCATCATTAACCTTCTTCACACCGCATTCTACTGGTACTCATCGCTTGAGCACACGATAGAACGATGAACGGAAATCAAGGACTCGAAGCCCTGGCTGCTCTATGCCAAGGGGAAACAGCAGCCGCTACTAACAACGACAACAGCACGCAAGTTAACAGCACTGAGAATGGTGCTACTGTTTCCGCGGGTGCTGTTCTGAATCATCCTCAGTCCCCAACAGCTCAACAACCCACATTGCAAGCGGGCGCTGCTATCCAGCAAGCGACAACAGCAGAAGGCTTGGCACGACAACAATGGCAACAGGCTATGGCTGCCGCCGCTGCAATTGGAGCTGGCTCTGCGGCTACTGCAAATGTGCCCGCACCAGCTCCTACTGCGAACGGCTTAACAACTGCCCAAAGTCTCGCCATCCTATCTGCTGGTGCCCTGCAACAAGCAGCGCTTCAGCAGCAGCAGCAACAACAACAGGCAGCAGCTCAGCTACAGCCACCACCGCAGCAACCAAAACCAAATTTGGATCCTAATGCAGCCTTGGCTGCAATGCAACAGTTGGCTTACTTTCGGTATATCCAGGATCAGACCACAGCTGCCGTGGGCAAGTTTGCTGCTCAAAATGCAGCAGCTAACATGAATCCATTGCTCCAATCTAACCCCCAAGCAGTTGCCTTGGCTTTGGCAGGCCATGCACAGCAGCTTCAGCAGCATTTCGGAGGTGAGTCAATTAATTGGTTCGAATGTTGTCCCGTCGCAGTTTTTTCCGGAGACTCCCTAGCTTTCCCATCGCGTTTGCTCGTTCTCATGATTGTTGACGAGGCTTCGGTTCCTGGTGGACGTCCAGAACACGGATTGATGCCCTCCAGCTTGTACACTTGTTGTTGCGATTTTTTTATTTAACAAAAGTTGCAGTGACGTGGATGTTGCTTGCGATTCTTGTTCCTCGTCACTTTTTTGGATGAGTTTGATTGGATGCTGAGTCAGGCATGAAGAACAAGTTGCAGATGTCTGTTGCAGCTGTCATGCCACGCCATGTTCTTCAACAACCCTCTTCAACTTGCTGTGATTACGAGCAATGCTCGGGAGTGCAGTCGAGTTACCCTTTTTCGACAACTATCGGGCGCATCACTCACTCTCTCGTCTCCTCTCTCTCCTTGTTCAAGATGCTACAGGAAGACAACAAGTTCTACCCCCGGCGGCGGCGGCTCCAGCAGCAAATGCTACAGGAAGCCAAACCGAATCCTCGTCTTCGTCTGTTAGTAGCATGCCACCACCTCAAAATCAAGCGGGTGTGGCATCGCTTCCAAGCACACTGAGCACGGCCGGAATTGGCGCTGCACCCAACGCGGTGGCTCGACAGCCCAACGCAGCGCCTCGGCAGCCCAAACCAGCGCCTCGACAGCATACAGCTATTGCACCTTTACCTAAGGCAGTGGCAGTGGCGGCAGACACAAGTGCAGCTATGCCTTTGGCGATGCCCGACGCCAATGTGGGTGGTGTGGGAGTCGTGCTCGAAGACAAGAAGCTGCAAAAGAGGGCGGCCAATCGCAGATCGGCACAGCTGAGCCGCAAACGTAAAAAGCAGTTTATCGAAGAACTCAAGGACGAAAACGACGAGCTTCGACGCAAGGAGCAGATCCTTCGATCGATTCCAGATCTGATCGTCGTGTTCGATTCCACGGGCAGGCTGTGGTTCGTATCTCAGTCCGTCTCGAGATTCATGAGCATGTCGGCTTCGGAGCTGGAAGGAACGTCCTTCTGGGACCGTCTCTGTGAAGACAGCGTCCGCCTCCTCAAGGCTGCGTTCATGGATTCGTTGGCTGCTCGAACGGACGACTCCGATACTGCACCTCTTGGATCTGGCATTTGGGAATTGAGGCTTGTGGATAAGGATGGCAGCCATAAGGTTGTCACCTTGAACGGAGTGGTACATTTCTCGGGCGATCGACCGGAATGTGTATGCAGTATCCGTCCAAGAGATGACCCATCCATGCCGTCACCGAAACGGAAGGCGATGGCAAGCGAAGATGGTCTCAAGAAAAACGAAGAGGGCAGCAAGGCCGCTGAGGTTGAGACCCCGTCATCGATGGAAAGCGATGGTGGGGCACACTTTCAGTCACTCATTCGGGCCAAGCCCCAACAAAGTGTCATTAGCGGTTCGTCCGGTGCTTCAGGCCTGGTCCAAAAGGTAAAACCAGCCGGTGGCAATGGCAAGCGACGAGAAGCTGCACGCATCAGTGATGGCGATAGTGGGAGCGCAGACAGTGGGAGCAGCGATGAGTTGGGGGAGTAGACCGGGAAGACAACCGTCACTCCTCTTGTACAGTGTACAAACCGCGAGATTTCGTTTTCCTTGCACTGATTGGCCATGCCAAAGGTATTGGGAAGAGAAATCCAGTCGCGTTGATGTTCTGTGTCAGTACGACATTTTGCCATCGGGTCTGCATGCTCATTTATGACTATACATGCTGTCAATAAGTTACATACTGAAGTATATATGTTACATTCTACATATCTTAAGGTCTTTATAGTCGTGAAGAACTATTCCTGCCGTACCACTCGTACAAGCTCGTTCCTCGAAATGACATTTGAGTTGAAATGCCCACAGGAAAGAGACGGACTTCGCTGTGGATTGTCATTATTGTTCAGGCTCTGCTGAAGACTTGCTTTTCAGACGTCTTGCACGCCATGGTAGTATCAGTTGATCCACTAGCAACAGCGACCTGACGAAGGCCGGGAGAGGTAGGTCGACGACCGGGAGAGCCAACCCCAAGGCCTCTGCGACCGGGTGATCGAGGCAGCCCTTGTCGGCCAGTGATCGTCCCCCACACAGTGTTTTTCGTGACTTTCAAGGCAAGCGGCTTCATCAAAATCCTTTTCTTCTCGCGCATTCGGCTCCGCATGAACGTTTTTGAGTGTTTGATGGAGGCATCCATATTCACCATGAGATTGACGAACCGAAAAGCTGATTCCTCGAGTTTGCTATCGCAACAGCTCCAGCCACTGTTGATGTCTCGTAGCTGCTTTACGTGGTTTGGAAAAATCGAAAAGACGATGATTCCCGCGGAACTACTTTTATCTTCAGTGTTTGTCGGACTCTCGCTTCCTGCGCACTTTTTCATAGACTCTTCGACCGCTTTCCACTGTTTACGATACTCGCAGTAGTGAGAGCTGAATGCTTTGTTGCGGGCGAGTTCTTGTAACAACAATCGGGCCAAAGCTCTCTCGATTTCATCTTCGAATTCCACCTTGAACGCAATGGTAACTCTGTGGCGCAAATGCAAGAAGCAAACACAGCACGATGGTGAGTGCGACTGTCACTCGACTCGAGCAAGGAGTCGAATTTACTTCAGAACTCTTACTTTTGGCTCGTTACTTCCATCATGCTGAATCCATTCGTCGCCCCAGGATGTGTTTTGTGGATTTGCAATGGGACACAAATCGCCGTTTGGTCTTCACAACTGCTATCGTTTGACAGGAGACTCTGAAACCCCAACAGGATGGGCATTCCGAGCGCCCAGAGTCGCATGCGAGACACCACGCCGACAGAGCGATCACGAGTAGGAGCCGTTGGCACCAAGGAAAAGTCAATTTGCAGTTTTTCCTTGACGACGTCGCTGATGTTTGCTTGAGGAAGCTTCTCCTTCAGCAGGTCTACCAAAGCATCCTCGGTCTTCTGACGAAAAGTCGTATTTCCAAACCAAGAAGACGGAAAGTAAAACACTAGACATAAACGACTCTTCGTCTTCTCTCGAATCGTGCAGCGAACGCCAAAGTCGCAATGCGACTTGCTGGACTGGCCATCAAGCGATGCCGGGGATCGATCTTTCAAAAGACATTGAAGATCTTTGGCAAGTCGATTCTGTCCAGTTGCAATCATCATGGTCAACAACTAACTGGTCGGACGAAGTTGTGGTTGTTGAACAGATTGTGGTGGAAACGGAAAACGGAAAATTGAAGCTCTGATCTGACGAAGCTCCCTCGAGGGTTAGGGTTCAATCGAATCTTTCATTTTCCAAAGAAAGATCTTTCCACCATGGCCAAACGCCGCAATTACTATGATATATGTATAGAAGGCGAATCCTTGGAAGTTGCAAAGGACTAAGATCGCAGAGTTATACCCTTCACCATGAGCAGCCAGCACAACAACAGACACTTTGTCGCCTATGGCGTCGCTGGTGCTCTGGGCCTTGCCTACTTTTATTGGAAGAATCAAGACAAGAAGCGCAAAGATGGAAACGCCACAGCAATGTTTAGTGACGCTGAATTTGAAGAGCTGATTACTTACTGCAATCAACCAGCCACTCAGATTGCCTTGGCCAAGAACCAGGAAAGCCAGAAGTGCATCTACTTGGACTACAATGGGACAACACCCATATATCCACCAGTGGTAGCAGCCATGCTGCCCTATTTTTGCACTCATTTCGGCAATCCCTCGAGTGGTCATCACTACGGAAAAGAGCCCAAGCGCGCAATTGAGGAAGCTCGCAAAACCATGCTGACATCGTGTTTGGGTGTTGATCCTGGTTCTGTCGACACTTCTGCAATTTGGTTTACAGGTTGTGGAACAGAGTCGGACAATCTAGCCATTCAACTGGCACTGCAATCCACAGAGCATCAGTTCAAAGAAGGAACCAACAAACCTCACATGGTCTGCACCAATGTTGAGCACCCAGCCATTGCTGTTTGTCTGCAAGCACTCGAAAAATCTGGGCGAATAGATGTTACGTACGTGCCCGTGGAGACGGATGGATGTGTCAAGGCAGATGATGTTCAAGCAGCCATGACGGAAAACACTGTTTTGGTAACCATTATGCTGGCAAATAATGAAAGCGGCGCATTGCAACCCGTGAAAGAGACTGCACAGGAATGTCGGAAACGTGGCATTCTGTTTCACACAGACGCTGCTCAAGCTGTGGGAAAGGTCTCTTGTCGCTTGGATGACTTGGGAAACCCAGACATGGTCAGGTAAGGAACAATCAACTGGGTTAGCTTGTCCTACCCAATCATTTCCTCACTTTCGTGCATCTTTTCCTTTGACTATTCCCATACCGTAGCATCGTCGGACACAAAATTGGTGCTCCCAAGGGAATTGCTGCCTTGTACGTTCGACCCAAGTGTTGCGAGGAGAATGGAAGGACGTTATCCCACAGTCATGGTATTCTACTACTGGGTGGTGGTCAGGTAAGTTCAGGAAATTGCGTCTCATGCCCATTCCTATGCCATCATGGCAGCATTCTCACATATGCCATTTTCTCTCCAGGAATTTGGGCGCAGGTGAGTGAAGGGGGATAAATTGTGTGACATTCCACGGTGATTTTAGCATGCGCCTCACATGTTCTTTGTTATACATCTTCAGAGGAGGAACCGAAAACACTCCCTACATGGTCGGATTGGCAACTGCCGCATCCTTGGCGACGGAAAACTTGGAGAAGAATGCCAAGCACATGGAAGAGATGCGCAATCGGTTGTTGAGTCAATTGGAGACGAAATTGAATGAAGCAGGCATCCAATGTAGAGTCAATGGGCCTGACGATCCCAAGAAAAGACTGCCAAATACGCTGAGTGTCGGACTCCCAAATGTTCATAGTGGTGATTTGCTAGCCGAAATCTCCGACAAGGTTGCTGCAAGTGCGGGTGCTGCCTGTCATTCGGCTGGGGGGATCAGCCAGATTCTTCGCGCCATGAAGGTTCCAGAAGAGTTTGCGAGAGGCACACTGAGGTTGACTGTTGGACCGTACACTACTCCCGCAGACATAGATCGAGCAGCTGAATTCATTGCGGAAGCTGCAATTGAGCAAACACAGAGCGATACAATCTAAGCTGATTCCTAACCTAGCTAGATTGCTACTTTCAAGAAACCAGAACCATTAACAATGTTTACCGTTTTCTTATGCGATGGCATCCTAGGTGAAAGCTGAAGCTGACATGTGCTATCGTTGATGAGAAGACTCGACGAAACCACTCCAATGCTACGTCTCGAAAAACTCTTAGTAGGCACCCAATATCTGCCTAACCCGAAGCATCAAACATCGCCTCATCGTCTTCTTCCATCGCACCGGCTTGAAACACCTTAGTTACATTAAAAAGGAACCGACGCAACGAATCAACCCCAGAACCTCCCTCGAGCCCTAACTGTTCAATGATTTGCTGTTCCATAGTCTGAGAGATGCAGCACAAAGCGATATCTGAGTGGCCTGCTGCCATGATGATGGCGCGTGGACAAACGTTTCCGCAAGTTCCTGTATTTACCTCGCTCGTGAATGTCACGGGTCCTAGCCGAAATTCATCTCCACATTCCTTCAACAAACCGCCAAATGTGGTATTATCAAGCACCGTGTATGCCAAGGCATCGCGGCTCAAATCATGTTCAGTTCGAATCCACTCGCTCCAGCGGGCCCAGTCGACACTGATGCTCTTGGACCAAACCTGAATGTGCAGGAAAAGCAATAGGTGAGTGGAATATGAGATGGATGCAGTGTCGCAAAACTTCCCTAGTCTAACTCACCTGCACTGCATTGCTTCGTTGATCAGCCTCAGTCTCAAAAGTCGTGCAAACAAGGAGCGCCAGGTAGCAATATCGCGTTGCATCTTCTATGGCGCTGTTGGACTTTCCATCCGAGGCTTCCTCTGCCTTCTCCAGAGCCAGTGAAAGCAAGTTTTTGGGCGACCAAAGATGTTGCTCCGATTGAGCCAGCAGTTCCTTCTGAATCCCCGCCAACTCGAGTTTGGCTTCGATCTTTTTCGCTCGGGCCTCCGCACGGGCCTGATCAAGATGGGCTTCTTTCAGCATAACCTGATTGGACAGCTTGGCCATGCAGTAAGACCATCTCGACTGTGTGAGGTCGAGAGGGCGATTTTCTGCTCGGCTGATCAGGGAAGTCGCTGCCAAATCATAGTTCCCTTTGTGAATGGCCTGTATCCATTGATGGGACCGCAACCGCTCGTCAGACTGCATAACATGATTCAAATCGCGTTCAGGGCAAAGCCTCCCGTAGAGAATAGTGTGTCCATATAGCCCTCGTTCTGCATAGTAATGCAAAACAAACTGCCCAAAGTTGAAGCCACTTTGAAAGTCCCTACTTTGGCACTGGGTTGTTGACTGCAACAGCGGTTCTAGCCGAAAACTGTCGCTGTCCGGCTTGTTGGCATGATCGTGAGCAATTTGACATATTCCTTCGTAGTAGTCATGTTTGACAGCCAATTTGAACGCTAACTTGTCATCTCCTCGTTCCGCGGTTCGAGAATTTGACAGAAGAAGAGGAATCGTCATAGCTTTGATTTCCGCGTATTTCCCAATCGCTCGTTCAGTGTTTAGACTTTTTGCAGAATCTGCGAACGAGTCCAAGGCCGCTTTGGCGATGACCGCAAGAGTCTGGTGCGGCAATACTTGGACCCCTTTTTGCTTTGGATGATGCAACCAGTGGTGCAGCAACATCGCAAAACAGTCCTGCAGGACCGGGTGCGATGTCCATGGCACACGAGTTGGTTTCGAGGCGCCTTCTTCATCCATCGACCCAATCATGGGGGGTTGGTCGATCATCGTAATATCGTACGTAGCAGTTGCTCGTTCTTCTCTGTATGTTGTGGCGGATGCCAATGCTGTGGAAAACCATCCACACCAAAGCTGATACTGATCGATGGAGCCATCGCGAAGTACAAAATCTAATTTCTCTTTCAACCAAACGGCTATTCCCTGTGACAAGGTGAGGTCAGAGAATTGTTCTTTCTCCCAGTTTGTAGCCTTGGGCGACATTGTCGGGGTGACGAGCTCTTGGAAGGCAACAACCTCTTGTCCTAGGCTCAACAGTCGCCACTTCGCAAAAGAGGTCAGAGACCGATACAGCCCTCCTTGCCGCAGCCACTGGATCAGCGCCAAGTGCCATTCAAGCCCATTCGAAAGCAACGCAACGGAGGCCCATCCACTCGAGTCACTGTTTCTCCGGACATGCAATTCCGTCGCTACCGCAATCACGGCTTCTTCTAAATCTACCGGGTTGGCTTGGACAAGTGAAGGAGGCAAAGCCAAGGAACCAGCCGTCCCATCTTGATGCTGATAGGCTTCCAAGAAGGCGCTTTGCACGTGACTTGATAACTTGAGAACCGAAGTTGGGTTTGCCCGTGCAGCCGCCCGCGGGGACAACGAAGCGGGTGCTTCTGCAGTCAACATGCGCACTCGAATTCCTAATCCCGATCTCGCAAAGACGCAACACCCGTGCGTCTCAATATCGTTGGTAAAAGTGTCCGGAAGCAATGCTGGAACTTCAGTCATTGGCAGATCGACTTCATATACAGTACTCGATGCTTCACCACCGTCTCCTTGTTCCGAGTCCGACAAGGCCATGACAATAACCGACGATGTGACGCCTCCAGACCGCTGATGAAAGGCCGCGTACGCGAGATTGTCGGCGGACAAGACCAACCCCATTGCCTGAATATCTTGCGGAGCAGGGAAACGATTCAACCACTGTGCATCGACCCATGCAAGGTTGATTTTGGATCCATCGCGTTCAATTCGAAGTCGAAGCCAGTACAAGCGGCATTCTCCTTCGTTGGCTTGAGTAGTTCTCACAATGACATGCATCCTATTGTCAAGTAGCTTTGCTTGTAACGGTTCCACATAACTGAGATTTTCAATCGATGGCGATAGATTCTCCTGAAAGAGTGCGAGAATAGACGCAGAGAAACGGACTTTGCTGGTAACACTGTGGTTTTGGGCCACAGTCGGGATAATTTTCCAGTGCCAAATAGTCCCTAGCTGGCTAATGGCCAACAGTGTTGTCGTGTCATCGTTGTTGTCGTCGCCATTCAAAGCGGTCAGTGGCAACGCGAATTTGATGGGATAACCATCTCGAATGACCTCATCGTCAGCGGCACTACTACTCCAAAAGAAACCAAAGGACTTGCGACTTTTGGCAGGAATCAAACGTTGGGCATGAAGTGCCACTGGAATGGTGGAGACAGAACAGAATATCAAAGCTCCTGAGGACGTTCCAAATACCAACATTTGTCGATCAACGACTGCCAATGACACCACCAGCTCGTCGGGATAATTCTGGTGATTGTTGTCTTGTTCGTCGTCATCCTCTTCTTTGCGCTCGAGCGGTAGAAAAGTACTGGCGTAGTGACTAGGAGTTTTCAATCCAGCTCCGGCTTTTTTAGCGTCACCTTGTGTAACTTTCCACGCCAACAGAGCGCCTGTGGATGGTTGGCAAACGTACACAAAGATAGCTTCATTGGACCCTGGGTGAACACGGGCCAATCCAATGAGAGGCTTGGTTCGGATGCTGGGGTCCAAATTGGCAGGTGGAAGAGTATTGGGATGATACAAAGCAATTGCAGCTTCCAGAGGATCCGCTACTGCCTTCTTAGCAGCGGGAGAGGCAGTGAGCGAACCTCCTGATGAATTGTTGTTTTCTTTGTTGGTAGGCCACACGTAGACAGACCCTGCTGTGGTACTCAAACATGCCCAGCCAGGGCACACAGCACCAGCATTGAACGTCTGCGAATCCAGAACGGTGGATCGCTTCTTCTTCTTCTTTGGTGGCTCTCCCTCACTGTTAAGGTTGCGCAGGGATCTGGGAACTGCAGCGCAAACGTCGACGGACCATGGCCGATACGTTGACGGGACAATAAGTTGGCCCTTGGCCTTGACACTGGCGTTATTGCTCATGATCAGCCAATGCGAAGCTGGTCTCTGTTATGATTACTAGCTACTAGCAGTTGGAATGGGTAGATATCACAAACCAAAAGGGATCTAACGGGCGGCAATCAACTACCGTAGCTAGATAGCTAGCTATAGCTGGAGATGATAATGGGTGATACCCAAGACAACCACAGCAACAACAGCCGATCGAAGTGAAAGATCGCCTACGAAAAGTGGTTGTGGCTGGCGAAGCTGCTGAAGACAATTATTCAAGGGTAGTTCAGGTAAACGTATTGTGTTCCTCTATACCTATTTCTCTAATCTTTACCACATCTACCTGATTACTAGGCTATCTCGTGTGGCTGGAGATCGAATCGAATCAATCCGGCTTTGCAATTCGATGCGATCCTCATTCGATTTGGCCTACATGTACCAGAAGCGCAGCGTTTTTAATCCACTCCCACGGTGTCATTAGCTCACGTGCGCTGCTGCAATGTATCCAAACATCAGCAGTTCTACCCAAAAGAAGCCACAGACAGACAAATGCTGTTGAAAGGCATGCCTAATCTTTCCGGTAGGAGATGCTGTGGTATTGTGCGACACTGTTTTTTGCAAAATCAGAACGTTGTCTCAGATCTCAGGTCTTTCACAATATCGAATTTCGGCCCGCACGGACTCCAAAGGCACTCTCCAGTACGGTATTCATGGCCCTTCCTTCGTGCTATCAGCCATGATGTCAGTTTCCTCTCTGGTTCAACATGGCTGGAATGTTTCAGCCAACAGATGTTGGCGTGGAGAATGATCTGCGCAGTGGATGCATCCAGATGACCGCCTGCAGCGCAACGTGTGCAATACCTTCGTTCTCTGGAAGACATGCATGTTGGCAAGGGGGCATGGTTATCCCTCGAGAGTTTGTCCAGGTTTATAAAATCGTCGTCCCTAAACTCCTTGGCCAGCAGGGAACAACTACTAGTACTCGACTCATCAAGATTGGGAACGCTCAACAGAAGAAGATCGCATCGCTGCGACGGTATGCATACCGGTACCGGTACGGTACATGTACGTACCGGCAATCCCCAAAATTCTATTTGATGCGATGATGGGGGCAATGCTCTTTGGTACCAGGTACTTGCACAAATTCCGGTACCCGGAGAAGTGCTCGACGGTCCGGTACGGCACGATACAGCAGTTGAAAGAGGTGCCATAATGTAGTTTGGAAAAGTACTGTGTGTCTACAAAAATTAAAACATAGTAGTTAATTATAGAGCCTCGGGGTGATGTTGCCTTGAAAGCTGCCATCTTTTTCCACCCCTTCCTCTTTGAAACAAACATCGGGCTTCCACTGTACCGGTATCCTCAGACCTACGGGTGTGCAGAGGTTGCATACCGGCATAGGATAGTATCATACGATCATAGCAGAGAGTACCATACCGGTATCTTGCTATGTCGCATAGTCACACGCCTCTTTGTGCGGTATTGATTGTGCCCTTCTAACTTCTAACACAACATTTGATCCATATCTTGCCCATTGTACAACAACACGGCAATGACCACGTTGATGACACCCATGTAGTAGATTGCGTTCAGTTCCGTTCCAAAGAAGAATACAGAGATTACACCAGTCAATATGACGGAAAGGGCGGTTGCGTATCCCTTGAGAATGGAATCAGCAAACTTCAAAACTGCTGCGACAGTTAAACCTCCCAGAGCGGACATGAGGACAGTACAACATGCACCTGTACTAAAGTTGTGAAACAAGCCGTACTCTACAGTTCCAAATCAACAGTAAAAAGAAATGTCAGACAACGAACAGATTTGCAGAGCTTGATGGTGAGCGATAAATGCAGCCACCCCTTCCTACGCTGTATTAGAGAGCCAACGACGTACCGACAATGGGTGTAAAGTCCATCACCAAGGCATAGACTCCAATAGCAAGGAGTGACATGACTGCCAACTGAATCTGAGTGTATGCCAAGGACGGCGGCGCCACGTTTTCTGACAAACTTTTCTTGTGTTGTTTGATCACTTTCTCGGTGTAAACGGAAGCGAACCCAGAACTCATGGCAATACCAAGTGTTGCTGTCACTCCTTTGACCATTGTGGAATCCATGAAAAACCCATCTTCATCTTTATCACTGCTGTTATTCATTCTGGACAAATTGCACAACATGACGCCAGAAGTCAACAGAGCCAAGGAGATGCCTTGAATTCGCTTGAGTTTCTTCCCCAACACCAGTGCTGCAAAACTTGCCGTAAAGACGAGCTTGCTCTGAACCAGAACACTGAACATCGCTGAAATATTAGCACAGATACAAAGCAGAGGGCACAGTGTTGTAAGTTAGAGAATTCAATCGATGAGAAAAAAATACCAAATTATCTGAACGTGGAAACATACGGTACGCTACTTACCAGCATCCAGATTCGCCATGGCCACATATTCCAAAGTCATTTGCAAATTGTAAGCTGACGCTGGGACAATAACAAGCATGGAGGTCCGCCAGTCCTTTCGCAGGAAATCGATGATAGTCTGGAAGTCTCGCTTTTCCACAAGCAAAATGTACAGGGTGCTCAGAGCCAACTTGACTAATTCAGAGCCAATCACAGCTGCCGATGTTAAGAATTTGGGCTGGTCTTTCATCACATAGCGAACCAACAAGTTCTTGGAACAGTTTTGGACAGCCAGCAGACACAACACCTTCAATCCCATGCTGGAAACCACGGGTGCCTTCTCCTTGATTTCAGCGATGCTGCTTGTGCTGGTCTCGGTGATATCCGAAGTTGGTGTCTCCGGCTTATTGATTGGTGACCTGATGTTGCCATCCTCCAGGTCTGTGGTTTGGACCTGTCGGGTACGCATCTCTGTGCGATTTCCTTCGAACATTGCTTGGTCTCTGGGTGCCATTGTCGATTGCTTCCGCTGTGGTTTCCACGAAATGATCGAAGAGGAGCAAAATGTGAAGCGAACAAGATTCAAAAAATGACACAAAAAGCAAACAGTCAAGACCCTAAATAGCAATAATAATGCGTTAGAAAGGGATTCTACCGTGGAGTTATCGTGGCTAGTTTATGGTGTGCTCTAAAAAGCACGACAAAGGTGCGGGCCTCGCCGCAAGCAGAATCGGCGAGAAAGAGCTAGAAATTAGCCACACGATGTACCGTACACACACGCAGAAGTACCAATACTGACTTCGTCGTGGAGGAAGTCCTCGCGCCCAACTTCACGATGACAAGCGAAGACTGGACCAGCAAGTTCGGGGTTACTCTTGCACGACAACAAAACACAGCTGCTCATTCTGTTGGCGCTATCGTAGCAGCCAGTACGATGTTGTTCCATTGACTCGCAGCAACAAGATGGGCGACAGCGAACCAAAGCCAACGGCAACGTTGACGTGGAGTAACTCGAATGTTGTGCGTCTCAAGCTCTGGAAGGCAAATGGCGTCGTTGATTGGAATAAGGAATGTGAAATCACCGCCGACAAACGTCACATACGTGACGGCATGAGGGTTTACGACGCGGACGGCGATGCGATCGACGATGCGAGATTCAACGGCATTCGTCAGGGTTATTCCATTCAATACTGTTTCAAGGTCCCTGTTCTGACACCTCCATCTCCGCCGCCCACTAAAGGGAACCTAAAGATCACAATCCTTTCGGATCACGGAACCGTGACATCGACACACCTGCTCGTCGAGAAGACTATCCCTAGAACGCTTGAGGAATTCTGGGCTATAATTCCCGGTGCGAAGGGCGTGGATGAGACCGCCCTCGAGCATGGCAGAGCTTCAGTACTGAAAAAGACCGAAAAATGGGAGAAATTGACTGCAGGTATATTAGATGAGTCTTGCCTGAAAAAAGACGATGGTATCTACCAATACCAGGTCCAGCGCTTCCGCACCCCGGATAACTCACCAACCCAACCCCAATGGATGAACCCAAGTATTCTTTCTAAGAGCAATTCATCCCTTGAGAAGAGGATCCAGTGGCTTTTCTCGGACAACCCCTTTCAGGGAGATGCAATCCCAGATGTGCATGTTGACACCACAATGCTGAACATCCGTGATTGGCTCAACAACGAGACGGAGAAGTACGCCGACGCACATGCTATCGGAACGCTTTTTGCGATGCCGGGATCGGGGAAAACAAAGTCTGTACTGGAGGCAGCGAAACGAGCAAACACCAAGCATAAGAGAATCCGCATTTGCGATGTCGAATACGACGAATTGAAACGCTGTGACAAGTTTGTGAACAGTCGAGTCAAGAAGATCCAAAACGATATCAGCACCAGTAATACCGACGACAGCAACAAAACCATCAGCATTCACTTCGACGAGGTGCAAACTCTGCTCGATGAGGAAGATGGAGAAAAGGTCCTCAAGAAACTTGCAAGTGTATGTGCTGCCTTGGGCAATCAGAACAAGCGGCTAAAGTTTTTCTTTACAGGAACCAATATCAATGCCTCGAAGCCTATTGACCTTGGAAGTGAACTCAAGGCCGTCCCCTTCTATTTGGATGGTTCCTTCCCAAAGGACTTTGTACGTTCTCTCTACAAAGATCATATCGAAGAGATAGTGAATGAAGAAATGGAAGGATTTCTGGAACGCTGCCATCATAACCGCCGATTCACTGCCTTTTTCTTGAAGAACCTGTGGGACGAGAAACACAATCGCAACGATCAAAAGAAGAGTGTGTCGGATCATTACGAAGCCGCACTAGAATCTGCCCAGCAACCTATCGCGTCGCGGATGGCCAATCATGCATGTCCTGCAGCTTGTCGTATCTTTCGGATCCTTCTTCAGGCTATTAACGACGAGAAGCGTCCTTTGTCTGCGACAGGAGGCCAAGGGACATCAAGCGTCATTGCAATTACCGTTGATACTAGTACGTTTGCATCCGATCTGCATTATGTGCTTGGTGGCGGTCTAAATGTGCACAATCAGTTGGTGACGCGCAATGACAAAACTACAGTCCATGTGATTCTTCCTGAGGGTTGTGTCTTTGAGATTCTCATGCAGATCATGGGCCGGGCAGTTCAGCCCTCAACCTACAACAACATGTTGAGTTTCCTTCGAACCTCACGAGTGAAGGAGTTTAACTTTGGCTGGTTTATGGAAGCCCTGGTTGTGCATGATCTCAAATGCGTTTCTTCCGAGTTTGAAGATTGGCTACGATGCGGCCGCCGCCACGCAAAGATTATGGAGGCAGAAGTTGTTAACGAGCCCAAGCTTTGGGAATGTAATCCTAAGGCAAGCTCAGACAAAGTCATTTGGTGGGTTCGGGATGAAATGAACTCTCATCAGGATCGCTGGATCGACATTGGTTATCGGCAAGATAACGGCGAAGTAGTGATTGTCGAATGCAAGAGCGGTGTAACAGAAGTACCCGCAGCACGAACGAAATTCTTTGAAAAGGCAATCGATTTGGCCACGAAGCATTCAGGCATTCAATGGATTGCCGTTTATTTATGTTCTTCGGAACCCGGGGATGATGAAAAGCCTGAGAACACGACAAAAAACCTCCAGATGATGATGAAGATTCTAGTCCTGCCGAAACATTCCGAGATGGCCAAGACTCTACGTGCTGCCAAGGGAAAGGGTCTAGAACAGCAGGAGAGCCTGGTTGACCGTTTAGAGTCCGGGGGCATCCAGACTGACCGCGTTCGCATGTATGCCGGCGGATCTCATAGTTTGGTTTCCACCCCGACCTGCGGAGCCAAACGACGGCGGACGGATCCCTTTTGTACCTAGCTAGTAGTCTTGTCTCAATAGAAACGCCAACTGCGCCAATGAGTAGGACCTAGCTAGAATTCAGTCCTCGAAACAGCTGGACGATGACCAATTTCGCTGGACGCTACTAGACTCCACGTTGCACGCCTGTCAGATAAGATAACCCCCTCCGACATCGTGTACCAGGTAACGGTGCGTGACCAACTAGAGAACCGGTAAATGCGAAGAAGACTGCATGATCACCTCAAACTGTGAACAGGAGTTTTAGCTACATGTACTGGTAGTCTGGTCGTATCCCACATCCCACTTGCATGGCTGCCGGCGGTACTGTATTACCGTACTGGTAGCTTGCTTGGTGCTTACAGTAAGAGGCAAGTTAGTTGGAACATATCGATGAAACATTCAAGTGTCCTTTGTAGAAACAGCAACTTCGGAGATAGGTATACATTTGTAGATCATTCTGTCTCAGATTGGATACCTGACAAAGAGCGGTGGCTACAACGACGACGAAGACCAGAAAAGGAGAGATGAAGCCTCAGCACAGCATAGACCCAAGCTGGGGCAAAGGTAGCAAGCATGAACCGGTAATAGTATGCCAGAAGAATGCTGGAGAAAGTACTACTATCGCTTCGACTTTGCAAGATAGTGTTTCAGGAATTGGCATGTCATCCACCAGAACCGCAGATACCCACATGACCGAAGACAGTGTCAGGGCTTTCTTGACCGACTACTTCCTGGATTCCAATTCATTGTTTGGCAAGTCAAGAGATTGTTGGGAGACGTTCTATGAGAAGAATCATCACCCAGATTACACACATGTCCGAAATACCGGTGGTGTCTGGACCTCCAAAGATGTGATTAATGTTCTCTCTTCGGGGGTACTGAACGGGAAACGGCTTTTGGTTTCTATCGACAACGTTATTCTGCTGGCAGAGGGACGAACGGCGGTCGTGACATATACCATTGATCAAATCTTCACCTTTAAGGGCGTAGAAAACTCAGACCGCTGCGTGTACACCTTGGTGCTGGCAGAAATCGATGGCCAGCCCAAAATGGTACAAGAGCAGCGCTCCAATGGAATGCCTATTCCTGAACCACAATCAAGGTGGAAGACTAACGCAGACACACAAGGACATCACAATCACATTGCTGACTACAACTATGGAGATGAGCAAAGTAGTAGCAATGCAAGTGTCAACCATGTACCTAGTCGCCAAAGCAGAAATGACAACCCCAAGCATGCCGATCCACCAAGAAAGCCTAGTGCAAGACGGGCAAGTGCCAGGAATGAGGGTGCTGCAGCTTCGGATCCCTGAGATATCCTTGTCAAAAGTGAGCCAATGCTGTAACATCGGAATGGACCATGGCTGATGACAAGGAAAAGGGCTCTGGATGACGTTCTTTCTGAATAACCGTGTCCTCGCGATATCCATCCGTAAAGGCCTGGCAAGTTCCACATGACAAACAGAATGAGTCCACGGCGAAAGAAAGCATGATAGTTCCTGCTACGAGCTACGAAGTAAGTATCGGGCACGACACTGTTCTTAGTAGCAAGCTCGAACCTTGATGCGCGGAGATTGACTTGCGAGCAGTGACGAGGAGGAAATCAGGTTAGGCCAAGGGAAGTGAGGGCTCCCAGCAAGTCTACTCTTGTATTCGCTGGCTTTCCAATCCAAGAGTTGTTTTAGTGGGCACGAGTAGTCATTGCACCGTGTGGCTCCAAGTGGATGGATGAAAGGAAAGAATTTCAATCGTTTTACAGCCTCCTAGTTCCATATTACACTGTCACTACAACTAAGGCCTGCGCAAAGCCCAGATGCACCAAGCAGCACACTCAAAATTTGAGAGTGCGTCGTACTCAATCCTCTAATCATCACCCCTCTAGCTCTCGGTGTCGTCATCGCCGTCATCGTTATCATTTCCTGTCATTATCAAATCCTTGGTGGGAGGCAGTGGAGGCGCGTTCAGTGGATCAATGCCGTGCAAACGGGTGGCCACCAACATGTTCTCTCGTAGTTCGTCGTTGCTGTTTCCTTGGATGGCAAAACCCAGGTCCAGCGTGATATCCTGCGTGTACGTACGAACAGCCGACAGAATTCCACGAGCAGCGGAAGAAGAAACAATATCCAAATCGGCTTCCAGATACAGCGCTTGTTTGCTTCCGTCTGGGGCGGTCCCAGGTTTACCATACACATAGCTGACTGGTAGTTTTGTACCAATAATGGCCGGTTTGCCTCCAACAATAGATTTCACCACCCATGGACCTTCCACAACCACTGGAAAGATTTTGAGCGTCTGGTCCTTGTGCTCGTGGTCGCCAAGAAGCCATCTAGCACAGCATCTGTCTTGGTTATTCATGGAATTGATTTTCTCCTCTAGTTTTGCTTTGTCGGCAGCAGAGCCATTACCGTAACAACACGCGACGAAGGGAACGAAGCGTTCTGGTATTTCATAGTAAAACAACAACACACCCCACGGCAAACGGAAATTGATAAGGAACGTTGGAACGTCACGCAGTTGTCCACCCATAATACCAGAGATGCTGCAAAGACGTAGTTGGTGAGATGTTGTGTAGCGCTACATTCAAAACCGTAACAGCATGAAATAGCACTCACCGTCCCACATTTTCGGGGCAGGTATCTGTCAAAAACAAGTCAACACCACGGCATGGGAAAAGACAAGGCCCCGACTTGACCTTTTTCTTGTCGCTCAAGTAGTTGTCTCCGCGAACCTTGAAATTCTCATAAGGTGATTCTGAAAAGCAGTTGTTGATAGAGCCCATCTCTGCACCCTCGGGGAATCTCGGCATGGGGCTACGGATGACGACATCGTCCTCTTCTTCCTCCATTTCAGCCTCTGCTTCATCCTCCTCAATCGTCTCCGCCGAAAAGCTGATATTCCTATTGCCGGTAGAAATGCTGCGTGGTGTCGAGATCATCATGGACCTTCGTAATAGCTTGGCAGCATTCGTGGGAGTCGGAGGTTGTCCTGCCTTGCGTCGTCGACGTCTTCCTCGTAGAGGCGGCTTGTCGACGCCTCCGACCAGTGGTCTAGGAGTGTTCAATCCAAGACAAAATGCAGCAAAGACGACCAACAGCAAAATGTCCATATCCAAGGAGACGACTCGTTCTCCCGCCAAGCGCACGACTTGCGTCAAGGCCGCAAACAGTCCCATGAACATGATTGGATTGTTGTCCATAAAGACTCCCAGCGCCGAAGCCCCGGGGACGCTGACCGTGGGGACAGGCGCGTCATACGAAGGCACCATATCGGTCTGGGATCGATCATCATCCAACAAGAGTGATGCACGAGACCTGAGAACGAAGAAATGGTTGGTAAGGAACTAGTAGCTTCGAGCCAAGCACAAAAACACATATTTCCAGCTAGAGTACAGGTTTCGTCGTTGTCGAAAAAAGCACTTACCCCGAATTCTTCAATTCTTTCTCATCCAAATCTCTGATTTGTCGCGACCTCCTCTTTTTGCGCGTGTAGGGCACCACCGGAGAACTCACTGCACGATCCAAATTGGGGGGTGGTGGGTGGTTGTCGACAATTCCCGAATCGGGAGAATCGACGGGCTTTTTGACCGAAGCCGTGATTTTATTGTCGACGTGTTGATAATTCTTTTTGATGGGTGTAATGAAAAGAGAGGAGACATTCGAATCTTCTCCCTCTTCATCCACCGACGCGCAGTGATCGGTCAAAAAGAAATTTTCAATTCTCTTGGCAACTTCGTTCAAGAAGGGATGAGAATCAATATCGCTTGGGAAATTGGAGAGGGTAGCCTCCAATACATCCGTAATAACTTGACTTCGTTGTTTGGACAAGACTTTGACGTACATGTAATTGACCTATAATAAATAGATAGATAGATATTAGATAGATACGGTGTGAGAGAAAACAATAACAACAAGAAAGACAAAATTTCTTTTGTTTTTCTTCAATTCCCAAGCACTTTTAGCACTCACTTACCTTTCCTAGATACTGTGTCCTTTGGGAATCAATCAATTGCATGACTACTTCACAGTATTGTGCCAATTTCTTGACTTTTTGTTTGGTATCAGGTGGCAATTGTTCATGAGAGTTTGTGGACATGAAGGCATCGGCCGCATCATGCAACTGATCGATGAGGGTTCGAAAGGCGCTGAAGGTCTTGCTAATGATGAAACCATCAAAATCCGGCTCCGGTCGACTCTTGGTGCCCGTGTTGACGCAGCTCACGTGCACAATGTAGTCCGTTTCCACTGCCATTCCACCGTGAATGCGATAATGATCCAGATCCTTGATTTGGGCACTCACTCGATGGTCCATCAAGCCCGCCATGATGGGGCTCACAAAGTCGGACGACGGCATGGTTGCTTTTGTTGGCTTAGTTAGCTTGATCGTCTTCTCTCAAAGATGCTCCTACCCAAAAGACCCTGCTATGCTCTACAAATAATAAAGGCAGGTTGTGCTACCGGTATGCTGCTGGTTTCACTGTTGATTGCTGTGTCTCTGTCGATACGATGGTCGATGAAGGTGGGATTGTGTTCTCTAAAATACTACTGACTGTAGTAGATTCGATTCGGTAGTGTGCGTCGCTGGTCATTTTACCCGATGGAGAAGAATTGAAAGATCCACGAATGCGAATATCCAAAGAGTACGTCCGTGACTCGACTGGTGCGGGAATCATGCTTGGCATTCTCGTGCCGTGCTATCGGTACCAGTACCACCTGGGAGACGTACCGTACGGTAGTACCACGATAACGACGATAACCCCCTCGGTACCAGCTGGTACTAGTACTAGTACATGTACCGGTACCCATAGATGGTTCGTAGATTCATGCATTCATTGGAAGGAGTCACAAGCAAGAGCTAAGTTGGATGCCTTTGGCAAGATACCCACCCGTTCCACCCTGTTGCTCGGCTTTGCGTTTGTGTCCCACCAGCTCTGGCCGGTGCACTAGCTAGATAGCACCATACCGGCATCCCATAGTGTCCGCAATTCCTACCACTATTGTTTCAACACGGCACAGTTAGGTGTACGAGTACACTGTACCTGGCTAGTCTAGCTAGTCGTAGCGGTATAGTCCCAGCGCGGCAAGCCTAGCAACCATGGACGAGACTGGGATGGACCTGGAGGCCCTGGAAGCCCTGGTGGACCCGGAGACCCTGGCGGACCTGGCGACCCTGATGGACATGGAGACCGTGGAGGCTTTGATCCACCACCACCTGCCCTTGTCGCATCTGGAATGCGGTGTGAGGCTTTTGGCTTGGATCGATGGATCTCTGGGAGGCTCTCACTAAGGATCAGGATACGTTTTGCCACGTGGAACTGAGAAAACGGCAAAGACGATCTTTGCGTGCTTCGTGCTTCCTTGATAGTTGACAGTTTCATGATTGATCATCGTCTCTTTCGTTTGTGTGTGATGTTAGTTTGTGTTTGCCTGGATCCATGATGGACACATTCCCAATACCACCTTGCAAGAAAAGAGTCCCTTGCTTGTTTCCTTGTAGGAGACGGGAGCCTGAGAAGAAGAAGACGTTTAGAATGAAGAATGGAACCACACACCGACGACGGCGAAAACCCAGTTCTTCTTTGCTTCTAGTCGTCTTTATTGGGCTAGCGAGTGTCAACCAAGCGGCATCATCTTCGTCGTCGTCGTCTTCTTCCACCATACCACCGCCGCCACCACCCATCCATGGACGACGACACAAGATTCCGCCCCCGCCTCCTCCAAGACCAAGACAACAAAATGTGGTGACAACTATAGAAACAACTGCAAAGACGTTACGGCCACCACCGCCACGGCGACGTCCTCCTCCACCCCCACCACCACCAAATGAAACAAAGGAGACGAGTCAACCAAATGAGGAAAAGATGAGCCAACCGAGAAAAGAAGATGAGATAGAATCCATATCTCTCCCTCTTGGGCGCCAAGGATCTTCTATGAAACACAATACAGATCCCAACGAAAATCAAGGGATGGCCAAACCAGACAATAAAGAGAAGGCTGGATCAGGCCAATCCTTGGATCTACGACAACGAGACGGTGGACAGGAACGTGGGCTGAACGTGAAGTCTATCCAGGAAACTTTGTCGGCCTCACAAACATCAGCCACTGGCAACCATGATGCCTCCACCATTACAATGTCATTCGCAGCAGCAACAACAACAAGGGGACCGATAAACGTGGCAAACAAACCGCCCCCTCCACCACCACTGAGAAAGCCAGTCGATGCAACAACCAGAGAACCTGAATCCTCTGTGGGACACAAGGATCCACACGATTACAATACAGAAGAAGCTGCGCATTCAACAAAAATGGCACTTGATTCTGAGACCCCAAAGAGGCCCTCTCTACACGACATTGTTATTGATGATGGTGACAATCACAACGCTGAAACGAACCCCGAGAGTCGCCCTGGTGCTGGTAGTCTTGGTAGCAGTAGCGGGCAGGAAGAAAACACAGCGACATTCACTTTGCCGCAAACTAGTGATGAAGGGCAGACACGACAAACTGATATTCAGGAGGGTATTGATAAGGAAGAAGAGGAAGAACGAAAAGAAGACTCTTCCAAGGATGCGAGCGAAAGCGCCGCTAGGAAAGACCACTCTGAAGGCGCAAGAGCAAAACCTGCTTCCATTCTGTCGTTGGACCAGTCTAGGAGGGAAGCTCAAGCTGAATTGAGTAGCCAAAGGCCGCTACCAGATGAATCAGTTCCATCAAGCAAAGACACACAACCATCAACTGTCTCCTTCACACCAGCAGTTCCCCAATACAGACAACCGCCCTTTGGGACATCACCACAACAGAGTAACCAAAGGCAGCCGTATGGTATCCAGCAACAACAGCACTCCCTTGCACAGGCGTCATTTCAACGAAAGGAACATCCACAAAGTAGAAATGCAGCTGCGAGTGGACCCCCAAACAACAGAGGAAGGTATCAGCAGCCTCCGAATTGGCAACAGGTTCGACGTCCACCAGGCAAACCCGCCTCCAACAGCAAGAGTATTCCAGTGTTGAAGTCTCTCTGGTCAAGGGTGGAAAAGGGGCTAGACGGGTTGGCTGACTTGGAAGATGCAATTTCAGACCGAGCTCAACAGTTGGTGAGCAGTGTCGTGCCCGGGAAGCCAAAAGCTCCAAGCAGCCTTCCTTACAAGAGGCAGGCCGTGACCAAAAGCGCCAAACAAGGGCTGGCGGGGCCACAAAAACGTTGGCAGCAACAAAAAGAGATATCTGCACAAATGACCAAGCCAGCCTCTTCAAAAGTGTCAGTGTCCATGTATCAACTGAACTCGGGGTCATCCTTTCCCGACAAAAAGCAGCTCGACGATGACAAACGAAGTTACACGCCAGGGAGAAGCTCTCTGCCTGCCAATGCCAGAAAGCTAATGCCAGCGAATGGAGGAGCGTCTTCTCCGAATGATGGTGGTTCTTGGAGCTACCCAGGAGAGCATAGATTTGTGCAACAGAATATTCCGCAGGGCTCGGATGTTGGCCAGGCTAAGAATCCTCCCAGCCAGAGCGACAACGCTGAAGCGCAGCCTGTCCAGCGGGCCGAAGAACCTCGACAAGAGTCTATGGTGTATCCCCAACAGGAGCAACAACAACAAAGTCCTAAACCAAGTCTCGACCACAATCGCATCGAACCGTGTCAAGGTAGCACAGCAGGTACGTCGCAGGCTCCTCCTTCACGGCAAGCAGAGTGGCCCAAGACCCAGCCAACAAAGGGAAATCCTTGGACAGTCACCAGCTCTAGCACACCCATGGGAACAGAGAAGGAGCGACCTCCGCACCGACCCAGCAGGCCCACCCCGGCACCTCGAAGGCCTTCGTATTTGGATGACGATGACGATGATACACCTTCTGCTATTGCCCGTTTCCTGGGAGCAATTCCTGTACCGAATTTCGGGAAGGTTTTCCGATTAGGGCGAAGCAAAGCGTACAATGATTATGCCACTCTCGACGCGTGGGATGCCGCAGATGAAACCGCCAAACCGACAGGTGGGTTGTTTGGGATCTTCCGCCAACAAAAGAAGGCCACCTCACCGACAGTTCCACCGAGAAAGAAAGCCACGAAGGAAGCAGTTGTAGCACGCCCCGTCGAGCAGTTGCTCCAACGAAGTGCTAATGGCAAGTCGACGTCTCTGCTTAGCACGGAGAACAAGAAGAGTATTCGAGGGCTAGGCAAATTTCGAGCGCTTCTCGACATCATCACTCTCGGCTTTATTGTAAACGGGTTCAGGCAATTGCAAGGATTGGAAAAAATCCCGTTGCCGCAGAGTCTCTCTGATTTTACCGTCGTGTCGGTGCCGAGCCTTTTGGAGGCCTTCATTTTATCCCTGGATACCTGGGCGCCCCTTGCTTTTGTCGCGGCAATGCTCACGGTGTGGACCAACGCTCTTCTCTTCGACCGTCGTATTCTGGACAGAGCCACAGACGTGGCTGAAACTGCCGAGGCCGAAGCCAGATACAGTCGGCTGTATTTGCGCCTGGTTTCGTCGACAGCGGCTCATCGACATTTGCCCAGTCGGATCTTCAATGCAGCTCGATTGCAGGGAATTGCGCTGGCAGAGACATCGCGATTGCAAGCTTTCATCACTTACGCAATGGCCACCATCATTCTCATGACGGCCTCTTTCATCAAACCACTGCTTTTGTGCATTGCAGGAACGTTCTTCCGTGTGGTCAGTCTTCAAGAGTTGAGGACGTGGCCTCTTCCCTTTGGACAGATTCTGGACGGCGTGAAGGCCGTGTTTTTGGCTGCAAGCAAGGACTTGACCTCCCTGTTCGAGGTCCAATTGAAGGGCGCGGGACATCACCCATTGCAAGTTGCATTCAAGTTGTCCATTCTTGCAGCACTATTTGCCGTGTCATATTTGCCGTCCTTGGAAAAGAGAAGGAGAATAGAACCAACCGACGAAGAAGAAGAAGACACCGAAGAAGTTGCACAAAAGATGTCGGAGCAGATTGTCAGTCTTGGAGGATCATCTGCCACGCGCCTTTCCTTCCAATCCAAACGGGGCTGGTCAGAAAGCTTGATAGAAAGATGGCGGTTGGTTCACGAGGATTCGTCTGCTCTTATGGACGACGACGTATCCTCTGTTGGTTCCCTTCTTCGGCGGATCGGCTACTACATATCATCTTGGCTGATTCTCGCAGCGCCCATACTGATCTTTGGCTTGCTCTTGCACATACCCATGACCGGTTGGTGGGGTTCTTCGAGAGCTGCGTCACCCTGGGAATCCATTTTGGAGCTGACTGTGTTGCTTTTGTTTACTAATGGCCTCGTGTGGCAAACAATGACGACAGTGGTGCAGTCACGTGACCTTCACCCTGATATTCCTACTTTCCTCGCAGCGCTCGCCCAGGCTTGGAGTGAAATGAATAACCAGCCAGTCTCGTCACGACCATTGCACGGTTCAGTGAATCCAGCGGCTGGGCTTGTGGTCAAAGATTTGTGGTCAGCACACGTCTTCAAGCGGGCTTGGGCAGTCCGAGGCGCTCAGCTATCATGCCGAAACGGTGAAGTGCTCGTTATACTGGGAGATGATGGGGCTGGCAAGTCGAGATTGCTCACGACTCTGGCCGAATCGCTTGTATCGCCACCGAAGCAGTCGTTGACTGCAACAAAAGTTCGTGGTAACATCTTTGTTGGAGGAATCGATGTGGCCCAATGGGACAAAAGTCTTCTTCGAAAGCGACTAGGATTGTGTTTGACAGATGTGACTTCTCTGGCACTAAGAGCGTCCATGTGGTCTGGCTTGTCATTGGAAGAAATAATGGAACCAGGGGACAGAATGAAGATCACGGACCCAACCCACACCACAGGCCCCGTGGAAAAGGCTTGCGTAGTATTGGCGCTAAAGATCACGGGCCTTTACTGGTCTCTTCTCCCTCGTCTTCCCTCCAAGCTATCTACCGTACTGACTGCAAACGAGGAAGACCTGCGTCCTTCAACCCTACGGCCAAGGTACACTGTGATCTCTCCAAGCGATTGGTCAAAACTGCTGCTGGCTCAAGTCTTGGCTCAGGCGCTGTACGATGGCGAGAACGCGTCCGGATCAACAGACCGAATTGACGGTAGGTTGGCTGGATCTGTCTTGCTGTTGGACGATTCAACGAATATGCTATCAGAAGTCGAAGAGTTGAAGTTGCTTCGTGATTTACGGCAGACTGGAGCGGCAACTTTATTGAGCAGCAGCAAATGGGCGACTGGCCGTTTGGCCGACCGAATCGTGGTAGTGAAGGACGGGGCAATCGTCGAAACCGGAACCCACAACGAGTTGTTGAGTCGAGGTCCTCAACAAAGCTTGTATGCGGCAAAGTGGCACACAATGACTGCGCCAATGTGATTGAGCAAAAAAGAAGTGATTGAGCAAAAAAGAAGACAAAGGACGAGAAGACCTCACCTGGTGCTGGTAGAGCTTGAGGATCAATCACTACCGGTACGGAGCAAGAAAGTCAGTTCTACACGAGCCTTCCAATTGAGCTATAAGGTTTGGACGCAACTAACGGGCTATGGTGCTCCTCAATTGATAAGGAACCAAGAGCATAGTGTGGAAAGATACAACTGTAACAACGATTAGCTAGCTAGCAAAGCACTGTACTTTATAGAGGATCTCTCTGAGGCAGACAATATGGATACTAGTACACTATACGTTTGTTGCACCTCTGGCTGATCTACATGTATCTCTAAAGGAGAACAATGCCACCGTTACAACCCAATTCCCAGGAGGGAACTACGGAGTATCCGCCCTCGCTACCGTACTGTAAAGGTATACATACATGTAGTATCTATCTGTATCGGTGGCCAGAGGTGACAGCAAAATAAATGGCAAGTCCCAGGAGGGAAACCACGGCACCGGTACCGTGGGAAGAAGTGTGCTGGCAGGAAATTTCTTCGAGAGCCGTTGGCTACCGGTAGCCAGTTGGTTGTTTTGCGGCAATTGGCTCTCTTCCCACCTCGTCCTCGTCTCGGGGCAAAGCTTTCGAAAACTTTAGGTCCCGAACATGACTTAAAACCCCCAACTTCCTTTGTTTCCAGGGAATGCGGGATCAAAACGCCCGCCAAAAAAGCTGTCCGTTGGCTCCTTATCTGGGATCTGTTTTGAGCGAGGTTAGAAAGGCAAGGCTCACTCTATGGCGACCGAGGTGATAGGCGAAGCTCGAAATTTGAAGGCCCTCGACATAAGAGACCAATTTGGACGGAGCAGCCGACACCAACATTTGTGTTGTTCGCTCTCTGCGGTCGATTCTTGTGGATCGGTCAGTCTTCTAGTTAGTTGTAGTTGTTATCTCGCGGATTCAACTGTAGTCTCTCTTATTATCCAAGCTGCAGAGAGGCACCGTCGGTTCCTGTCAGTAATCTCATGTGGTGAAGGTGGAAGCAGACAGAATCCCCAGCGAGTTGATCAGTCGAGTCGAGTTAATTGTCGTGGCATCTGGTTGAAACGGTGTTCGCAATCAACTCATCTTCCTGGCTTGGCCAAACATCAACTCTTCTGTTATTTGAGTCAACCAACTAGATCAACAACCAACAATGGGAAAACCTTCTCCTCGGGTGCCAATACGTGGTGGTTCTGCAACACATGTGGCTGTTTCCCGGAGAGAGCGCATTGAGACACATGACACTCATTCAGAGGAACTCAAGCGAGAGGCTCGGCCTAAGGGGTTCTTGAATGTAGGCAACACTTGCTATGCCAATGCTGCACTTCAGTGCTTGCTCAGTACTGCACTGGCAAGTGCACTTCTAGATCCAAAGCGAGCTGCTGTAATTCGGAGATATAGTTCCAACCCGAATCTTCTGGCGATGGGCAGCGGCTCTGTGGACTCGGAGGACCCTGATGACTCGGAATCAGAGCAGAAGCGCAAGATGTCACGGCGTGAAAAGCGCCGGAAGGAACGCGAGGACCGCAAAATGTACAAGACGTGTCAGTGGCTTACCAAAGAACTCAGAATGATCACAAAGGATTATGTAAGCAGCTCCTCCCCTCGCTCACCCTCACTGAGCAACCCTAGCATGAGAGTATTGGAGTGGTTAGGGTCCTCGGATTCCATGTCTGGACATAACATTGTCAACCCAGGAAGCATCACCCGTCATCCCGACCAGCTATCCAAATGCCTCCGGCCGTATCGACAGGAAGATGCTCATGAGTTCCTCAGGGCACTCCTTAGTACGCTAGTGATGAACGGACACAACAAACAGCTCTCTTGTCTATTTGATGGGCTATTAGAGAGTGCTGTGACGTGCCAAACCTGTCGAAGACCAAGTCTGACCAGAGATCGCTACATGGACTTGAGTCTGGACATTTATGGGGACCACATCTTGACTTTGGCTGATGCTTTGAATGAGTTCACCAAAACCGAAATATTGACCGGAGAGAACAAGGTCTTTTGTCAAAAGTGCGACTGTAAACGAACGGCTTCCAAAGGCCTTCGTCTCGCCACTGCTCCGTCCATCTTGGTATGTCACTTGAAGCGATTTGCGTTTGATGACTACGGAAACTTGCGGCGACTCCACAAGCGAGTAAAGTTTCCTCTGAGACTTGAAATTGGAGACTACATGTCCAAGGTAAACAAGTCCAAGCCTCCACCGTATGAACTGGTTGGAGTACTTGTGCACCAAGGAAGCACCTGCGACTCTGGACACTATTTGGCCTATGTTAGAATGAACGGTCAGTGGTTCAAGTGCAACGACAGCGAGGTCACCAAGGTCGACGTCAAGACTGTCCTCAAGCAACAGGCATACATTCTCATGTACCAAGTCGAAGAGATGCGCCGAGACCACGGGCTGCGACAACGGACACGCGATTCATCCTCTGTTGCTACGCGCGAAAGACAACGCTCTCGTCGACCCAGTGGAAGATCCAAGCACCACCCTCAAAAGTCCAACATCCTCTCACTCTTGTGTGGAGTCGATGTCTTGGAGGAACACTCGTTTCTCAGTGAGCTTTGTTGTCGCACTGCAGGAGCGGGTGATGCATCCGTTTCACCAATTGGAACCGGATTTCATGACTCTATGGGTGTGGAGCTGGTTGCGACGCTGCGTGACGATGCCACTGTGGCCTCTACTGTGTGCGATTCCACTGTAGAGTCTGCAGGGAGTAGCTTACATCAAGGACCGGCATTTCGAAAGAGCGCCTCATCCAGCAACCTTCGCGAAATCCACGACGAAGCTTCGTCTTCCTATATGACCAACAATGAGAAGGTCAAGCCCCCGCGGATACGACAGCGATGTTGCACGACAAGCAACAGCGACGACGAATCCAACCACCCTCACCGTACGTTCACCAGCACTTATAGCGACCCTGGTGCTGACGATCATTCACCCGAGTATAAGAGTCTCGGGGAAGCGAAGTGGAGTGCCGAGCGCATTTCTAGACACAACTGGAAGTATCGAGATCTGCCACCGTTGCCAAGCGATCCTTACGGCAAACGACATCGACGGTCCTCTTCCGTTCATCCAACCTCCCCCGTCTATGCTGCTGACAAATCTGCGCGATGGTAATAGACTATGTCCCAATATAAAGCCCAATACTACTATAACTCTAGAGAAGCTTGTGTCTTGTTTCTTCGTAGCACTATTATTCATTCAATCTGAAAGAAGTCTGTCTAGTTTACAGCAATTTTTGATTTGGTAAATGATGATGAGTCGATTCTATTGACTGCTAGCTACTAGCCATGGCCTGGTTGTTGCCTCAGCGCAAGAAATAAAAGTTGCCAATGCGCAGCATGTGCTTTGCTGGGTCTTGAGCAAAATACCCCAAAATGGAAGGCTGTCAATCGTCCTCAGGCATCTGTGGCTTTCCTCAATCAAGATATCTGTGGCTTTCTTCAAACACGTTGCCTGTTCTGCTGTTCCATCCGTTATCGGAACAATGCAGACCATCACGCCATGCCGTAGCAGTGCTGTGTCCAATGCAGAACTTCTGAGTTGTGGAGGTACCCAGACCGGAAGCCCAAGGTAACAATATTCTAAAAACCCACTGGCTGTTTTTTTATCATGTTGATTGCATTAGATTCAAGCGTTTGCTTTCGCCTCCGCCGCTTTTGTCAGTTTTGCTTGCTTTCTCAGTTCGGCCATTTCAAACAGTGACAGGATCGCGGGAACACAACCACAGGCACATCGTTTGCCATGAGCCTGAACGGCAGGAATCGGTGGTGGTGCTGAACCCTCTCCAATCGGCCCGCAAGTGAGAGCTGGCGCAGTATCGATGGTCCCTTCTGCAGTTTCAGACACACCTTCCCCAGAGCCTGCGTCTACACCCACAAGCTCCTTTACATCTTCTTCCAAAGCAAGAAGACTAGCAGGTGCATCGTCATCGGCTTCGTCTCCCTTGTTGATACGGCCAAGAACATCGCGGAAACGTTGTGCGACTTCTTCTGCCTGTTTCTGAAGAGGAGAAGTTCCTTCAAACCCCACCAAAAGGTTTTCTATTTTGGCTTTTGCAGATATCCGGCCCAACTGTTCTCCCAATCGAAACGCAATCTCGTGGACGTCCACGTAACCGGCTTCAAATCCTTCTTGAAGCCGAGCCTCTTTGGCCTCTTCAAATCCGTCCAGGTATGCCACCTTCTCAAGACGAGTGTCTGCTGCTTGGCACTCACGTTGAGCCATTTCGTCAGCGTCACCGTGGTCCCCAAAGAAGTCATCATCATCATCCATCATCGTCGTTTCGTTCGACAAATCAGTGATGGGTGATGTGGTTGTGTGGCGTCAGAGTGATTTTGGCGTGTTTAACCCGTCAAAGCTGTTTCAAAATTTCAAGCTGTTTCTGGCCGCAAATCTCTGCGAGATGCTTTCTCGATTGAAGTTCGACAGTGATTAATCTTCAAACAGACTAGCACTCTGTGCTGAAATCGTACAGACTGAATGAGTTGAAACGAGATGAAGGTCAAGGGAGGTCCGGGTGTTGGGCTAGCTAGCTACGTATTGGTACTTTCTGGTTTACTGCCACATGTCGGTCAAAGGGTAGTACCGGAACGGCAGCGGTACTACCGGTAGACTCACTTGAATCAATCATTGCTTCAGGAGTGGGTTGGGCTCGGTGTTGGCCCGTGTGCTGTAGATCGATCTAGCTACTAGCTAGAGAGCAGTTGGCAAAAGCTGCAAGTCGGGAGTATGTGGCAGGAGAAGCTCAGTTGTGGGTCCTGCTTTGGGGCAGGCGTAGATCCTGGTCCTGGCTGGGCGGTGTGTGCCAGTGGGCAGATGAAGGTGCCCTATTGGTTGAAGGTTCGGCAAAAAAATCAGTTTGCTTCTTTTTAAGAATAGTCTAGGTCCTGGTGTGGGTCAAGGCTTGGACTGGGTGTTGGTCTGGATCTACTAGGTTCTGCTGTGAGACCAGCTGTTGATATTGATACAAGATTAGGTACCAGTAGGACCTAATGTTAGGTAACGGGCAGGTTCGGGTGTTGGTTCAAAGTTAGTTGTAGGCCCTATCTGAAGGATGCGGCCTTCGTACCGGTACCGGTACCTGCTGGCGGGATGGTTGGTCGTTCTGCGCCGCTCGGTGTGTGTGGCACACCCATCCTACCCGCCTGAGCACAATCTGACATCTGACGACCAAACATTCTCTTCATTTTGCGGAAGCATGCACGCTCTCATGCAACCATCCAACAATTATGTAACTTTCTTTTTAGTGAGTGAGATTTCAACTAAGTGTAATAATCTTCGATTTTACAGGAGAGGTTTGTATCCAATCAAACCAGCCTCGAGTCATCGAACGTAGCAATTTCTTTAATATTAAACACAGCCAAGAGGTGCCAAGCAAAGCAGTCCAACCAAGCGAAACTGCCATTGGAGGTAGATATTTCGTAGATATATAGCCAATCATTTCAACATCCTCTGCATCGTTAGAGCCATGAGCTCCAGCAGCACCAATCTAGGAAACCAAATACTGGTTTCGACTTCAGAACCATAGGACCTTCCCTTGGTTTCATATTCCATCATCAATCCGAACTTCTATGTATGTAATGTTTGCAAGTAGACAACAGGTGCAATGTTTTGCCGCTCCTACATGGCAAGGACATCTGCAAAGGAGCGACCTCCACCCCATACTGGTGGTTTAACCACCACTTGTGTCTGTGGTGCCGCAACGGCGGACATAGTTTCCTTCTTGGTGGTTGTGGTCATGGCGGCATCTTCTGCTGTTGTCTCCGACTCTTTCCATGCTTCACCGCTTCCTTCCTTGTCCGCCTAAGATCAAGCCCAGACGCGTGAAGCGATCTGTGAGCGACAACCACCGAACGATACTTTAACAGCAAATACAAAACCATCTTACCTTGTGAGGCTTGGACTTCAACAATGCCGCAGCATATCCTCCAAGCTGCTGCTTGCCTTTCGCCACGGAAGAGGAAGATGAGGACATGGTTGTAGCGGTTGAGGCCGAATCCGATCCCGCCACCTTGGGTGCAGACTCCATGTTGTCCTTGTCCACACCAACCACTTCCACTTTTGATGCAGTGGCATCTCCCAAGGCAGGGAAGGAGGCTGCCGACAAATCTGGCTTGGGTTGTTGTTGGACCTCAGCCTTCTTGTTGTTACCCGTTGAGTCTCGGCTTCCTTTCTGCTGGACCGCCTTCTTTCCCTGGGGAGTGTTGGAGTTGTTGTTGGCGTTCCCTCTGTTGTTGTTGGAGTTGTTCTTGTTTCGCTTCTTTGCTCTCCTCTTGTTTGTCTTGCTTCCACCTGACTCCTGGTGCGCCAAGCTTGTCAGATGATTGTACGAGGACGTAGGTGTCAAGAGGGGAAGGCCTGGTGCATGGGTGGGATCCACCTGACGAACCAAGGACTTTAGCCGTGCCTTGACTGGTTCATCTCCCAGGTACTGACATCTTAGGCTCATCATGACATAGAGCATATCATCTCTGGAGTCAGTGTCCAGTGTGACGAACCTGTGATGATATGATCGAAAAGAAAGAAAGAAAGAAATGGGTGGGTGGGTGAGCGATGAAAGAAACATGCGTCTTTACAAGAATGTCAAAGGGAAAGGTAATCCCAATCAAGACTACACACTTACCAGCAGTTGAAGACATCCAGGTACAGACTCTGAATGGCAGGGCAGTGCTCATCATCAAAGAGCGCCCTTACGTCCTCTTCCGTCACGTGGTTGTCAACCTCTCGGATGATAATGGTGTTCTGGACGGGAGACTTGGGCGTGGATGGGACCACACCTGGAAGACCAGTAAGGTCCAATGGCTTGCCCGTGGTGGATCCAACGGCCAGGATAGTGTTGGAAGAGGATCCAGCCTGTTCCTCTGACACCCTCTTACCCGTTTTGGTGTCGATGGAGGCAACTTCCAATAAAGAACTGAACTCAGTTGCTGCCTTGATAATGGCGTCAACAGTTTCAATGGGAGTAAAGGCCTGAACCTTGGAGAATCGTTGGAGAATGGTGACGGGGACGTAGCCATCGTTCAGTTGCCGTAACGTCTCCACGTACGTATCCTTCTCAAGGTTGGCTATGGAAAAGTAATACTCTAGCTGCCTAGCGAGATGTGTCAGGATAGCATCGTCATAAAGAGGACTCTCGGGTTCATCGTTGAGAGTCGAAGAAGAAGACGCAGTGTCACTCGAGGAAGGAGGAGTGCTGCCTGTTTTGGTGGTGTCGGTTTCATCGGAAGCCTTCACATCATCCAAAACAGCCGTCATGTTGACCGACGCGATCGATTCCTGTTGCTTCATTGCTATTACTGTACTGTATGCTGTATCTTGGCAAAACGTGGGCTTTGTTAACTATTGACTGCAAAGTAGTGAGGACGGCTGATGGATCTGATCTCTCTCACTTCTTTCTTGTGGTCAGTTGACTGATGATGGTTGCAACCTCAAGATTGAATCTATCTTGTGATGCAACTAACGGGTACGTTGGCGTCCTCCTTTGTGTGGGAGAAAGGATGATGTTCGTGTTGCGGATCGATGTAATCCAAGTACAAGTTGGTGGGTGGATCCTCGGTTGCATCGAGAGGCGAAGGTTCAAGGTTAATTGGGATGAAGGACAGACGCCCGTTCCGTACCAAATGAGCCTCAAGTTGAAGGGATGGCGGTGTACAACCGTGAATACGTCACTCCCCGGAGAACGTTATCATTTTTGGCTTCGAAGAAACTCGATGGGGTGAGGGTTACTCCATCTTCTCCCCCTCTCCTCCAACAGCGACGATCGATGATGGTGCCGGTACCAGCAGCTGCATGGTACTCGTACTGGTAGCCAGAGTGCTATCCGATAGCTATGGTAGCTAGCTAGTAGAGTGGTCAAGGAAGAGCAGCATTGATAAGAGTGGACGTACAGTCGTACTAGTAGATGAGTTTAGGTACTCTAGCTAGCTAGTACCGCTGAGTGCTACAGCTGTTAGTGCGCTTGGTTCGCTGTGCACTGTAAAGGTGCGATCGGAAATGGTAGCCGATAGAAACAACTGAAATCAGAGCGGTCCACAGCTGCATGGCTGCATCTCTCACCTATTAATACCGGTCGCCCACTCAGATAGACGCATCTGACAAGGTGGCATACTCGTGTCGTCACCTCGACCCTTATTGCATTAGTCCCCGCCGTGGCGATACCAGGTACCGATGCCGCTACCAGTAGCTAGTAGGTGTATCGAATGATTGAACATCATTCAATCCCTTCTCGTTGGGTGGGAAAACTTGTGATAGTGCGGCCTCAATTGCAAGACAGGTAAACATCCTTTACTATGCATTAGAGTATGTAACTTGAAAACTTGAATATTGTGAACACATCTCTCGCGTGGTTCACTATGGCACAAAAGACAAAACTAGAACGCGAGATCTTCTCTGCCTCTGCTAGTAGACCCCAAATGTTCAATTGGGTCAAGTTTCTCTTCTTCGAGCTTCGTGGTTGATGGCTGTCGTGTAGCGCCAGCACCAACGCCGCACTCCAAGACATCCACCAACTCCCTGAACACCATTAAAAAGGGATCCTTTGACGTGTTGCTGCCTTCTTGGTTGTTGTAGTTGTTGGCAAGGACGCTGTCATGGCTTTCCGTCTCCGTGATCTCCTTGTCCATAAGGCTCCCATGTTCCATACTGGTTTTGTCCTCCCTGCCAATGCACGTAAGCTCTCGTAGCTTTTCAAATTCACGTACGGGGACGTCGTACAAGTTATGCTGCACGGCTTGTGTGGCAGCTGTGACGTAGAAGTTGATGTTGTTGATCAAGCTTGGTCCCGCAGCTTCAGAGTCAACTTTGCTAATGTCGCCATAAGAAGACACTTCAGAGAAAGTCCTTTGAGGATCCCGAATCATGCTCTCCATTGAGGGCATATCTGACAACCAGGATTGCTTCGTGGGGTCAGTGCCAATATTCATTAAGTCAGACTTGGCTTCTTCAATATCTGCAGTGCCGGTGACCGTGCCAGTCGCAGTGGCAGTTCCAGTGGCAGTGCCCGTGGCAGAGCCGGGACCGAGACCGAGCCCTAGCCCAGTTGCGGTATTCGATGAGGCTTGCACTGTCGGTCCGGCGGCTGATGAAGCTTTGTTTGAGAAGAGATGGTAAGCAGAAGCAGAAGCTGTGGTTGAATCTTGAACCGTAGTTGTATCCTGCAAAGTCGTTGTGTCTTGGAGCGTCGTATCGTCTTCTGTGTACCCTTCAATGCTGGCCTGTATCTCCATGAGCGTTGCCTCTTCAAGGCTTGCGACAGTGGGGTCTCCGCCAACCTGTTCTCCAAGGACCTCTTCGGCAGCTAGAACTTCAGTATCAGCTTCAACGGGCTGCTTAGGACCGTCTTCGACAGCCCCCGCTCCTTCCTTGGTAGTAGAGTGCTTTGTGCAAGGTTTGAGCAAAAGGAGACAGCCAAGTTGGCTCTTCTTTTTGCCCTTTTTCGTCTCGGATGGCGCCCTCTGTTTGGAGGAGTTAGAGCCAGAGCCAGTCGACGCTTTTCCTTTCAGCATCCGTCTAAAAAAGGACGGCTGCTTCTTGGCTTTCTTTTCTTGTTTCTTGGCTCTCTTTTCTTGCTTCCCGGCTATCATTTCTTGTTTCTCAGCTTGTTCTGTACTGTCGTCCTTCACCGATGCATTCGCCTCTCCTGACGTTACTCCTTTCGAGCTGTCGCCGCTGTCGGGACATTGGCTACATTCCTGCGCCTCTGATGCTTCAACGTTCTCAGGTACATTTTCAGGTTGGGGCTCCGATGGTTCCTTTGTTCCGTCTTGTTCGGCTTCTGTTATTTCCTTTGATGCTTTGGTCGCCGCCTCATCCAGTTCACCTGCTCTTCCAGCTTCATCTGTTCCATTCGAGTCCCCTGCCGACATGTTCGTGGCGACGGTGCTTGGCTGAGTGACGCCTTTTGGGGGGTCTTCGAGACTTGAACTGAGGACGACACCCACCACGTTGTCCACGACAGATGCAGGAACCACAGCCGGTGAAACAATTGGAGGACTAGGGAGCGCAGCTGGTTTGTGATTCGATCTCAGCTGAGTCGAGGCGTCGGACCACGGGTTGGGCCAAGGATCTTGTACTTCGCTCGAAGTAGCGCTAATCGCGCCATTGTCTGCGACATCAATGCTGGTGGCATCTTTCGCAACCCCGTACACTGTGCTGTCCGCTTCAGAATCGGGAGCAAATTTTGTACCAACTAGGCCGTCCGAGCTCTCCCGTGATTCCGTTTGGACCAGAACATTACCTGAGCTCAAATTAGTCACCGGGGTGTGCACACTCTCACACGGCGCTTTGCCTACTAATGCATCATCCGTCAATGAGCCAGACGCCGGCATTTGTACACTGTCGACTGCGTTGATAGATCCTTTCTTGTCAGATTTCGCCAGGAAGACTTCCTGAAAAAGTGGGTCTGCATTGTCCAGCTCTTTCTCTGGATTTGTTGAAAGGCTTCGAGACCTAAGAAAAGTAGGTACACTCTTTCGAAGCATTGATCCCAAGCCACTCCCATTCGATCTCACTCGCCTAGGAGCTAGAGGAGGCAGTGACCGTGACAGATCAGGTTCAGCCTGCTGGACTTTCGTCTTGTTGGCACTGTCTCCACTCTCTCTACCATTGGGTCCTTCCGCTCTATGCGCTTCAGGTAGCGGCGTTAATTCAAGTACAGCCTGTTGAACTTTCTGGGCCTTAGAGGTGCTTTCTCCAGTCTCTGATTCGGATGTTATGGTCTCGGTGCTCGAAGAGTCGCTGGTAGGGTCGCTCGACGAAGTAGTCGTACATTCATCTGGCATCATCAACTCAACCTCCCGTTTCACCCCAAATTCATCCGTGGCCTCCTCTACCAACTCATTGCTAAGCTTGTTTGCGAGAGCTAATCTGGAAAGGTCAAATTTCAAAACAGGGGATGAAGCTACCGCCGTCCCCCCGAGGCCATCATCAACAGCATCCTTTTCTCTTGAGGCATCATTACCCTTTTCGAATGAACTTCGTTTATCCCAAGAAGCCCTAGCCAACAATATTTCATCCGCCATGGCTCTGCAACAGATGTCCAAAAGATGAGTGCGTTCAACTTGGAGAGCCAAAGACAAATGAGTCTTTGGGATGTGTCGTTGAGAGCACAGGGCCAACTTTAAAACCTGGGCAGAGCGCACTTGCTACTTCGAACGGTCACAGTCCCGAGGCGTTGCAATGGTTCAGGCTCAGTTTGTTTACAGAAAGAAAACCATGTCCTGTGGGAGTGCGCCACGGAACGGTAATGTCGCTGTCATGTGCAGACCGTTGTAGCATCAAACGGGTGGAGATGTTGTTGTGTTTAAAGCTGGGCAACTTCGCAACGGATGGAGTGAATCGCTGAAGTTTTGACGGTGCGCCGCTTTGGAGCTGGGAACAGAGCTTGCCTGACCGGGTACGTACCGCTACTGAACGAAAAATCGAATGATTTCAGGAAGACACCTGCAATTCAGTAGATGCGGTAAAATATTTTGGTTGTACAGGTACCGGTACCAGTAGTAGTTTTCTAGCTACATGTAGCATAAATCAGATGAGTTCTGGTAATAAATTAATTATTACATCAACTACCTTTCTGAAGCTGTCTTTCGATGGAATGTTTCTGGTTCTTGGACATAAGAGCGTGGTAGTCCGGGACTGGGTACTTACGAATCGATTCTCATTCCCACTTTTCCCTCCATCCACGAAGCGCTTGCGCGCAGGAAACCTCGATTGATTCTTTATCAAAGCAACCCGCACCCACGCGAGAGGCGATGCATCCAACTCATGCCTCGAAAGTATACTGTAGTGTAGTACGGGTACTTGATAACTTGTCACGATCGAAACAAACCTCTTTTCTAGTTTCAAGAACGCTCATCCACGGAAGCAAGATGGCATTGGCGACCCTGGTTTTCCATCCTATTCAGCTCTTCGTGAATTACAGAAATAAGCTCCAACATCGAAAGCTTCTTCATCTGACTTGAGAACGAGAAAGACATTGAACTTTTGCTGTCAGAAGAGCTCTGCCGGGAAAACACAGTTGGTAACAATATATCGTCTTCTTCTGTATTTTCCCACTCATCCAAAGGCAGCTCTTCTTCTTCCAATTCTTCCGCCTCTTCTTTCTCCACCGCCACCTCTTCATCCTCCACGACTTCCTCCTCTACTGCTTCTTCTTGCACAAAAGCGTTCTTGCGTTCCATCATTCTCCTTCGTCCAAAAAGGCTGGCTGTTCGCTTTCGGAGACTTCTTCTCCAACCTTTTGTCTTAGTCATAGATGTCTTTGATGAGCTTGAGCAACAGTGGTTATCGTGTAGGTCTACAGGCGATGCACAGAGATCATGTGCATCACAAATAGTTTCGTCAGGGAGCACAGTGTCTTTACTATTGTCTCGATGGAATTCTCCTTGCTGCCATGATGTACTCTGCGACTTTTTTGCGCCGCCTGTTGAATCAAAATCAGGGAAGAAATGAGCAGGCTTTGTGGGCTTAGTAACAACTGCAGCCACTTCAATGCAATCTTCAGTTGACATTATCTTTGTTTGGTCCACATGATGGTGACGTTGACTATGCATCGGCAGGTGCATGGACAATTCTTTGTTGGTCTTGGAAACCGTCCCTTCTTTAGCAAAAGCTTGAATGCCATGATTGTTATGTTGCTCTTCATCCTGAATGTTTTGAATAAGTGAGTCCAGGAAGGTCGACTCTGACGTTCTATAGTCAGCTTGATTTAAGTTGGTTGGCTCTGTTTTGACTTCAGAAGTAGACTTTCGCGGTTCCATTAAAACATTTTCTTGGTTTGGGCTCTGGTTGGCATCATCTTGTCTCGCAGCAGTGTTGTTGCGCTTTAGTTTGTATCGGAGCTTTGTAACCACATTCAGTTTGATTCTGGCGTTCTTTCTGTTCTGTGTCCCTACTGCTGGGCCTGAAACGCCCAATCCTCGCTTGACATTGGGATCTCCTTTGCTCTGACTGTTTTGGGTACGTCTGTTTTTGCCAGAGAATGGAAATAAAGAAATACGACTTGCCGGCTTCTTGCTTGCGGGCAAGTCTATCTCATGCACTTCGTCCTGTCGTCCCGACGGTGATTCCTCCCGTTGTTCCTCCTGGTGAACTTCCTCCTGTTGCTCCTCCTTCTGTTCCTCCTTCTGTTCCTCCTTCTGTTCTTCCGGTGAATCCGATTGTTCCTCTGGTGGTTCTTCTTGTTCGTCTAGTTTCCCTCGCGCCTCTTCTTGTACTTCTGTGTCGTCGTCTGCGGCACCGTAGACTTCAGTGCTGCTCTTTGCGAACCTGGCCAAGAGAGCTTCCCTCTCTCGGAGTTTTGCGCTGTCACTTACGTTTGTCTCTAGTAGTAGACCGTCAATATAGGACTGTTTGGCTGAACTGACTTCGGATTGGGAAACGGACTCCGCTTCCTCGACAATATCGGAGAGCGCATTACTGCTCAATTCCTTTTTCTCGGTAGTGGTCTTCTCAGAAGCCTTTGAGCTGGCACGAAAGTGTCTAGGGGAGTTGCGGTCAGCAGCAAGAACTGCAAATACCTTATGCTTTTGTCGGTTGAGGGCTGCAGCAATCTTCGCTAGATCAGAACTTCCATAGGATCTTGAACGCGGAGGCGGAAGAGTTATCCTTTCGGTGGTTTTGTTAGGACCTGGACCGCTTCTGGTTCGAAGCAAAAACCCGTCGCCGACTTCCTTTGCCTCGCGGATCACTGGTTTTGTAGGCGCAGCAGTCTCTGGAAGCTTGGAAGAAATGATATTAGAAGTCAGAGTGTCGTCCACATCTTGGGAAACTTTCGGCGAGAGAATCGATGAGAGTCCATCATCGCCGCTCAAAATGGAGTGCGGAGAGAAGAGATCTGTTGAGGAGGCGCCGATACTGATGCCAGTGCCGGTACCGGTGCCGAACGAGGGAATCGTAGTACTTGTGTCGAAGGTGTCGTTGGATCGAGTTGCAACTGTTAGCTGTGCATAGCTCTTATTCTGCAGTCCTTTCGTCGAGTTGTCTATGTTTTGTGTGCGTTTGGTGAGGTCGGTATGGTCTGTTTGCCTAGTGATGCTGCTAGTGGCCGTTCCTTGATCTGTGGTGTCGTCCCATGACTCAAACGACTCGTCATGAGTCTCTTCGGTTGATTCCGATGAATTGTTGTTTACACCGATCGCGCTCTCCCAAGAACCACGGAAGTGGCTGAGGTTGAATGCCTTCTGTGACAGCGCATCAACCTTCTCGGCAACTTTGTATTTTTTACAGCAAACTGAGCTCTGCGCCTGTCTTCCACACTGAGAAGTCGCTTGCCGGGCCTGTTGCCCACACTGCGAGGACCCGAGAGATCGTACCGCCTTCTCCAATGCCAGGCCAACATCGTCGTACAGCTCTCCAAGGCGCAACTGGATCGCTTTAACTTTGCAAGGGATGTCACGTTGGTAGGCTTCATCCTCTTCTACAATATTAAAAGTGAACGCCGACTCTTCATCACCACATGGGGTGTCCACGAGAGATTTTTTGGGATAATCTAGGAAACCAATCGATGGCGTGTTCTCATCTTCGTCATTCGACATTGTCCCTGGATGGATGCAACACACAGGTCAAGAGAGGTTTTTTCGAGTGTAATGCCAACTTCAATCAGGATCAGTGCTCCAAATGGTCGATTGTTGGCTGCAGTAGAGGAGCCGTCAGCGACGGACAAAACAAATTTGCGAGACAAATGCAACCATTGGAGGGAGCCACGATTGAGCGAGGAAGCCCTACACTTTGCCCCCTTGCTTTTACATTTGGTAATTAATCTAACGAGATGTTCCGAAACCGTCTTTACCTGAAGGAAATCTGCGGCCACAAAATCGCTGATATTCCCTTTTTTAAAGCAAGCGAGAGAGATGACCCACCTGCTCCACTCGCAGATTTGGGTCCGCAGCAGAGAGACAAGTTGCCTCGCTCTGCTTACTGCTATTGCCACTCTAGCTTGCTAGCTTTGTACTCAGGTACAGCGTAGTGCGTGGCATCGGCAAGCAACACAACAGCAGGCGAGCACATTCATTGCTTGGTCTGTGCAGTGCTTGGACACATCCATCATCCAAGAAAACAGTCGACGATGAGGTGGGGCAAGAGGCTAAAAGATATCAAAGCCAAAGTTAGCTCTGCCTATGACACCAAGAGAGGCAACCACGGCTATGATAGACGGAGGGACTACGAATACTCGGACGATGAGTACTCCGATTCGCAGGTTTCCTACCAGGAGGACGAGGAGGAGGAGGGGTCGCTCGCCAGTTGGCCCGAACACAATGATTTTCGTGACGGCGACGTAGAACATCGACAAGATAATGAAATACTGGAGGAAGAGGAGGAGGTGTTCGATGAGGCTCGTGAAGAGCTTGATGAACGCGATGAACTTGACAGTGAAAATGACTCGGAACTCGTCACAAGAGATCAAGTCCTGGACGAACTTCGAGCCCAAGCTGCTGCAGAAGCGCTGGGCAAAAGTCTAGAACAGATGGGTTACAATCTCGATAACTGTGACTCGTTCTACAGTTTGTCTGATAAGGAAGAGGCCGATAAGCGATACGACATTAAGCAGCGAAACTCAGAAGTCTCGGATCGCTCCAAATCAGGCTCTCATCAAAATAGGCACCACCACCACCATCGTCGCACCAAGAAAAAGAAGAAAAAGGAAAAACACCGGTCTTCGCGGTCCAGGTATTCGGCACAATCAGATGATCTCGACGATGATACTGTTACGTTTGGCGAATATTCCGGTCGTCGTCATAGCTTTGGCGACTACGAAACGTATGCATCCTCTTCGGACGATGATTCCGATTCGTACACCGAGGACGAAACTTCCTTCGCTACCGGACTCGAATCTTATTCCAGAACTACTGGCAAGAAATCATCACGTAGAAGTCGAAAGTCTTCCAAATCCAAGAGACACGGCAAAAAGCGGACTCGGGACCACGACACGTACTATTCGCGAGACTGGACGCGTGGAGAATCAACCTATCGCTATGGAAAAACACTGCGGGCAAACAGCACTCTGTCATCTGTATCAGATTCAGAGGAGTCTGACCTTGACGGCGATACTGCATATTACACGGAGCGCACCAGAAAAGGACACAAAGCATCGAAAAACAAGCATGCGCCTCGTGTTGAACGCTCCAAAAAGCACCCGCATGGAAAGAAGGCGACCAGACACGAACCCAAGCCATCGTCCTCGCCCAAGGGTAGGGCCCGACAGCCAAATGCAAAGAAGCAAAGTCCAAAGAAGGTTACTAGACCTCGTGACATGTCTTCCGATAGTGATTCTTCTCATATTGGTGCCATGCGAAGTCTTGACACGCTGTCCCGAGAATCCAAAGCTGGAGAACAAGAAGGAAAAAACAAAACTAGAGAAAAGAAAGACAGGGGTGATGGCAAGAAGAAATCAGGCAGTCCAAAAGCAGCCAAGAAGGACCGAGCGTCCGACGACGACGAAGACGACGGATCGGATGCGAAAGCGAAAAGTAGTCCTGCGACGAAGAAGACGTCAAAGGAATCGAAGGAGAGAAACAACAACGGTGAAACGGATGTATCAGACGACGACGATGGTTCCGATTCTCCCCAAGATAAAAACACAAAGACAAAGAAGGATAAAAACAATAAGACAAAGAAGGAAGATGAAAGCGAGTCTGTGGCACCAAGTGATTCCGAGGAGGGCAAAGATCATGACGACCAAGACAACCTCGAGAAAGAAGGGCACTCAGATAAAAGGAAGCGTAGGGGCTCAAAAACAGCTGCGCGCGACACAGACGACGATAGTCGGAAGGAGAAGAAGAAAGGATCGAAGCTCCATGCAGCACACAAACATGATTTGCAGAAGACGAAGAATGGAACGCCTTCAAAACACAAGCATAAAAGCAAGAAGAGGGATGATCAGTTGGACGGCAAAAAGCACCATTCTCATAAGAAGGGTGGGGACCGCACCAAGGATAAAAACGAGTCCAGCAAGAAACACCGAAAGAGAACGTCTGATGAGAAGAAGAGGGGTTCAAAGAAGGTATCTTCGGGAACTGATGTCGCTGCCTCCAAGAAGTTTTGGCCCCGGCAATTCATGTCCCTTCGAAAGAAAAAGCATGAAGAAAGCGATGACCATGAAAAGGAAAAGCCCGAGAAGGTTGCAAAGTCCAAGAAAGCCGTGAAACCCGAAAAAGCTGCAAAGACCAAAAAGGCAGCGAAACCCGAAAAGCATGAGAAGCGAAAACGGCACAACGAAGAGGCAAAGGATAGTGGCGATAGTGGTGACGAAGCCATGGACGTACTTCCCAGCCCGAGCGATGAAGTCGAAGAGAAGGAAGAAGAGAGGGCTGATTCTCCACGACACAGGAAGTTAAACAGCGAACAAAGCAACAGCCGCGAGTCCAGGGATCGCAGTGTTAGTCCCACTAAATCGGATACTAAACGGGAAGCATCGCCTCAACGGAGTCGAGCTTCTGAAAGGAGCCGAGCATCTGGAAGCAACCGAGGGTCTGAAAGCAACCGAGCCAAACCTGTTGACAAGGAACGCGCGAAGGAGACTACATCATCCGTAATTCGAGAGATGTTTGAATCCAAGACCAACGACAGCTCAAGCAAGAGAGAATCAGCAGATCACCAACAAGCAAAGGATGATAATCCTCCGATAGGAATATTGGAAATGGCGGCAATGGCAGCCATGATACCTCTAGCAGCTCCACTTGCGGTTGCCTATAGCTGCTATACAGCGGATAGCACGCAAGCAATGCTGAAGAAAACATCATGCACAAACTGTCCCAGCAATAGCACCTCTCGGAAGAAGGGCAGCACAGACCAAAAGACGAAGAACGATGAAGAGCGCGAAAGCAGGAGGAGATCTAAAAAGAAACATCTTGACTCGATTCTACTGAGTGACGACGACAGTGTGAACTCAGGAATCAAAAATCCAATATCACCGAGGTCGAAGTCGCCAAGATCGAAGACGTCGACGAAAGAGACTTCAGAACCTGATAAGACCAGTCGTGAGCCTGACGAATCCAAATCGAAGTCTTCAAAGCAGAGTGCTGATACTTCATCTCATTCCCGTTCCAAGAAAACCTTGAAAATTCTACCATCTCGCAATAAGTCAGCGCCGACACCACCCATTATACCGAAGACACACATTCAGGAAGCCCCCGAAGGCTTTGAGTCATATTTGCCCGGTTCCTCCCAGGCTCAATGCTTATCGGACACAGCTACACTCGCAAGCCAGGCATTCACAACCATTATTCCAGGTCAGCAGGGAACAGTGGATTCAAACACTCCACCGAAATCACAACGGAAAAAGGGGAAGAAATGGATACCGAAACTTCCCTTTGGCTCAAGTAAAAAGAGCGACGGAAAGGAAGTTCTCAAGGAGCAGAGTAATGACAACATGTTGCCGCTACCGCCAACGACGACGACTATTGATGAAAGCACGAACTCACCACGGAAGGAAACTCGAAAGCAAGAGAGGCTCCCGTTTTTGAGGCCTAGCAGGAGCGCACAATCTGCAGTCGCAAAACTAAACAGTGAAGCTCTACCGTCGTCTTTCTGGGAAGACACGCCTCAGCCGTCACCACGGAAGCAGAGAAATGTAACCACCAAAAAACGCGTCGCGCCGCCCACTCCTGACGGTGTTCTTGGTCACTTCAATTGCGCAAAGTCTTCAACAGTATGCGGGAAAGTGGAGGAAGAAGATGAAGTGGACATTGAAATTGACCATAGCCTGCTGAGCGACTTTGAGAATTTAGCTATTGACGCACTCCGTAAAAAGGCCAAGAATCAAGAAACGAAGGAAACAGAATTTGACCCTTCCAAAGCTACGCAAGAGGATCTGATGAAATACTATGACCTGGGACGAACTCTGTCTGATGTCATTGATGCTCGCCAAACGCTGGAGACAGCATACGGCCTAGCCTCGGGTGGAGGCAGCTTTGACCACACCATCGACGAGCAGCTGGTGGAACTCTTGGCTCATATGGCCGAGATGGATCAAGAGGACGTCGTCGAAATCGAAGCAGCAATAAAGAAACTGAAGAGACACGCACGCAAGCTTGGAATAAGCGAGCGAGATCTTTTGTTCAGTGTAAAGAGTGCGGAAGAAAGTGCTCTTTCAACGGGGGACGACGACTACCTGAAACAAGACATTGCTGAAGTAACTCCACCAGCAACATTTGGAGAGAAGATGTTCGACGCGTTTGAGGGATACTTTGGAAAGAGTCGCAAGTAATCAAAGAAAGCTACATGTACGACCGCAATGATTCGAAAGTCTTGAATGTATCTAGCATTCGAGTCTGCACGGGTACCGACACTCCAAGCCGGCTTCGATTGAAGAGCTCGCGCCGTGGCTGAATGAACAAACAAATGCCACAAAGAAGGATCTCAGGGTTGCGCGAGCGGATGGATGCAAAGAATAATGTGTGTCTGGAAAGGAAAGACAACATCGGAGAGTTTTGTTCGCTGTCAGCTGGGAAGGCAGCCAGCCGTAGCCGTACATTGTCGTGGCTGAATGAATACAAACAAATGCCACAAAGAAGGATCTCAGGGTTGCGCGCGCGGATGGATGCAAAGAATAATGTGTGTCTGGAAAGGAAAGACAACATCGGAGAGTTTTGTTCGCTATCAGCTGGGAAGGCAGCCAGCCATGGCCGTACATTGTCGTATAGAAGAAATGTAACCTCATTCATAAGTTTTAAAGTTCCCTGTACTTAGCTGCATTATATTCATTGAGCTCTTGGACCTGGAGACCCTCATGATCGGACGTCGTCATGGTTATCTTGAAGAAGGCCACAGTCACGCATCAATTCCGCCATTGGCAAGCAAAAGATTCTAGCAGCCATGCAGATTCCTTTTCCAGGTTGGAGTTTCGGTCGCTGTCCAGATGGCGGTGGCGGGGATGTTGTTGTTGTTGTTTCTGGATCAAGCCGTGTCCCACAGCAAAAGAAACATCCAAACCCAAATGTAAGAACTGCCACTACGAGCACCAACGCCATGTAAATGGCACTGAGCAGCAAGTGAAATGGCAGAATAAGCAGCAACCGAAGCCGATACTCAGCATAGTATCGATGGTCTACGAATCCTTGCTTGCAATTGGCACAGGATCGAATGACTTTTCCGGTGAGATGTACGTGGGTTTGGCACTTCCAGCACATGTCTTGGTGACAGTTTGCACAGACAATGTGATCGCATCCAGAGATTTTCATTATGGGTGCCTCACAGTGACTGCAGCGCTTGGACATCATTTGAATGGCAGCTTCTGATTCTTCCAAGTCTAGGAACTGGTCAGTACCTCTAAACTCTTCACAGGTCATACCTGCATGCAAATCTCCATGAATGGCACAAAAGGCGTGCCGACAAGAAGGACAGGCAACTTGAGGATACACCAAAGTGGTATTGCTGGATGGATTGATGTTCTTATTGTCACTTTCAAGACTGCTGGATGTTCCCTCCTGATCACTCAAATCATTGTCATTTGGTTGCACTGGATTCTCCAAGTCTTCAAATGAAATGTCGTTATCAGCGTGGCTACAGTTCTCACCGTTCTCCTTGAAAGTTGTTCCTAGTCCTTCTCCTTCTTGTAAAGTGGGTGGAGTGACCAATTCGTCACATTGGGGACATGTCAAGAGAGTAGGATTTTCTTGGAGTCTTTGGATTTTCAAGTATTTGTTCCAATATTCTGGCAGCGACGATAAGGAGACAAATCCCGACGATGCCGATGATGATGAACAAGAGGACGATGACGACATTTTTTCGGTGGAAAAAGTTTTGTTCAGTTGGATTTCTTGGAACGGGTCATCTTGCTGATGGCTGCCATCAAACTTGATGAGTGGTTCAATTCTTCCCATGTTCTTGATAGCATCTTCAACGTCCTCGTGATCATCATCGGCAGGAAAATCTGGATTTGCCGTGAGAATACTCTTTACCACTTCAGAGGCCAAGCAATGGCGACCATCGTAGTCAAGGCAGGGTGAAGCTGTTCCGATACCATGAGGACAAGGCACTGGAACGTCTCGGTTCTTCACGGAAAGCTTACAGTGCTGCGCGAGGCACTCATAGCAAAAGGCATGACCACATTCTTCCACTTGAACGCGGCGTCTTCGAAAGGACCTTTTATCGCTCCTCTTGGTTACATGCGTGTCGTCTCTCTTTGTCATCACGGCGGCCACAATTTCCATGCCACACTTCCCATCCACGCTGGACCCTGTTTTCCTTGTGGCAGAATACTCCTCATAGCAAATGGGGCAGATCGAATCCGTGGAAGCCACGGAGACATCACAAGCAGGAGGGTCTGCCATTGTCTTGTTCAATTCTCATCAACTAAATAACTAAGCTGTGGTGGCATTCGATGGGTATACCAAGACTTCATTTATTTTTGGCGGCAAGCACCCTTAGAAAATTTCGCGTATATTTTTTGTAGAAAATCTCCCTCCGGGTTCGTGTTTGTGGAACACAGTCAGTGCTGCAAACTGCAAACCTGAGGAGAATCGAAAGGGGTACGGTTTACAGGCTGAATCTAAACTATCGAGACAAACGCAAGCCCGCTCCCGGTAAGACATTCGAATGGGAACCGGAACCTCATGGAACGTTTCTCGAAAAGACTTAGAGGACTCTTATTAGCCTCAACCCTAAACTCAACTGACATCACTCGGATCGATCGATCGATCCAAGCCACTCGTACACTTGCATTATTCTGTTGGATACCTCTTCTTCTTTACTCTATCAACATGATGCTTCCTCCTCTTCTTTACAGCGGCTACTCCTCTTAGCAAAGGCTACTACTCACCACCATGACAGGCTCCTCTTGGTTGGCTAGGCTGGAAAGCGGCAGCCGTTCGATCGTTCGGTCGTTCGAGATTGATCCTCCGTTCGACGGATGACTTCTTCCGTCTTCCATGGAGCCTCTTCACGGAGCAACCATGACGACTCCTCTTCCACGGAACGACGACACCTCTACGGCAACAACAAGCGACTACTACTACTAGAACAACAAGCGATGGCAACAAGCTTCTTCCGACGGATCAATTCGGTCTTCTTCCTGCTGACAGACGGAGCCTCTTTCATTGCGCGGCAATGATGCCTCCTCTTCTACGGAGCGGCCGAATCCTATGGAGACAGTCCTACTACGAAAGCAGCAAGCGACCGCTTCTCTACTACTCATTTGATTGGTCGACTGACTGGAAACATGAAATCTGCTCATTATTTTGGACATCAAGTCAACAATTCTCCTTTGAATCTTTGAACTGGGTGCTCCAGTCTTCATGCAGAGCCACC